ACCTGTCGACCGACGGCTTGGGCGCGTCCCAGCTGATGGGTGGCCCCCAGTCCCCGATCAACGCTTTGCACCACGCCAGCCTTGGAAACGCGGCCCTCGGCAGCCCGGCCGCTTCGGTCGCGCCAGGCCTGCTCTCTGGAACCAGCCGCACAGTCTACCTGGGAAACATTCCCGCCGAAACAAGCGCGGAAGAAATTCTCAACCATGTGCGCAGCGGTCAAATTGAGTCCGTCCGTCTGCTCCCCGATAAGAACTGTGCCTTCATCTCTTTCCTCGACAGCAGCTCCGCTACTCACTTCCACTCCGATGCCATCTTGAAGAAGCTGGCCATCAAGGGAAATGACATCAAGGTCGGCTGGGGTAAGCCTTCCCAGGTCCCGACCTCGGTGGCCCTCGCCGTGCAGCAATCGGGCGCGTCGCGTAATGTCTACCTGGGCAACCTGCCCGAGGAGACCACGGAGGACAATCTCCGGGAGGAACTAGGCAAGTTTGGACCTATTGACACCGTCAAGATCGTCAAGGAAAAGGCAATTGGATTCGTGCACTTCCTTTCCATCAGTAACGCGATGAAAGCGGTCACCCAGTTACCCCAAGAGCCACAATGGCAGGCTCCCAAGCGCGTATTCTACGGTAAGGATCGCTGCGCTTACGTGTCCAAGACCCAGCAGCAGAACGCCGCGCAGTTCCTGGGCATCGCTCCTGGCTACGCGCACGTCTTGAACTCTGCAGACCGCGATCTGATCTCGAATGCGCTCGCTCAGCAGTCAGTCGCTGCGGCCGCCGTGGCTACGACCGCCGGAGGCGTGAACAATCTGGGCAACCGGACCATCTATCTTGGAAACATTCACCCCGAGACTACGATCGAGGAGATTTGCAACGTGGTTCGCGGCGGTCTTCTACACCACATCCGTTATATTCCCGACAAGCATATTTGCTTCGTCACCTTCATCGACCCTACCTCAGCCGCCTCATTCTATGCTCTCAGCAACCTGCAGGGACTGATGATCCACAACCGTCGCCTGAAGATCGGCTGGGGCAAGCACTCGGGCCCTCTCCCACCCGCGATCGCCCTGGCCGTCAGCGGCGGTGCATCCCGTAATGTCTACATCGGTAACCTAGACGAAACATGGACCGAGGAGCGCCTACGACAGGACTTCTCCGAATATGGTGAGATTGAGTTGGTGAACACACTGCGCGAGAAGAGCTGCGCCTTTGTCAACTTCACCAACATCGCCAATGCCATCAAGGCCATTGAGGGCATGCGCAATCGTGAAGAATACCGCCGCTTCAAGATCAACTTTGGCAAGGATCGCTGTGGTAACCCCCCACGCCAGGCCGGCAACCAGGGCAACTCACAGCAGAACCGCAACGGCGGTGGTATTGATGGCGGCCCACAGTCGCCCTCCCCCGCGCTGAACGGCTTCCAGCAGAACCTGAGTCAAAATGGTTCGCAGTCTAGCCCGTCACGTCCCGCTCTCTCCCCGGCGCCGGGCTCCACGGGCTCCCAGAACGGCCAGCAGCGTCACCCGCTCCAGAACGTGTCCTCCCCCTCCGGCGTGCTGAACGTGGGCGCCAACAACCCACTTACCATGTACCTGAACCAGATGTCCGCCCAACAAGCGCAGGAGCAGGAGAACCGCCTCTCCGACCCCATGGTCCTGGCCGGTCTCCAGGCCCAATCCCAAGCCCCGTCCCAGCAGTCCCTGTACAACAGCACCAGCAACGGTGACCTCTCCAATGGCGCCATGGACGCACCTATGCACCATGGCCACGCCCACAAGCCCTCTGCCAACGGTTACCTCAGTGTCGCTGGCTCCGGCCCCGGTCACCACGCCACTGCTAGCACCAGCAATTTGAGCGTGCCACGCGCCCAGCACTCCCGCGCTGTCAGCCTGCCTTCTTTCTCGCAGGAGCCTTTCGGCCCGGTCTCCAGTCAGCCGAGCCACATCCGCTCCGGTGCGCACCAGCCTCAAGCTAGCTTCTCTAGCTTCTCGGGCCTGGGTGGCTTGAATCACTCTGGCTTTGGTCTAGCGATTCAAAATGAAAATTCTCTGCCCGGGTGGGCAGAGGAGGAGATTGGAGCGAAATAAAACGCCCCATCAAGAGTTTCATGTCCTCGCATCTACCTCATCTCATTGAAGATGTTAATATTCGACTCATTATATCTTTGCCACTTCGCTGGTGAACCTTAATGGCATTTTCTTTCTTTCTTTTTTCCAATTCTCCCCTTCTGTTTACCCCTACCTTTACTTTACAACCTTCTTTCTCTTTTCTTTTTTCTTATTTACACATAGTTTATTTTTTTTTGTTCTGACTGTGACGCCATCTCTATCATTTTTACTATCTACTTTTTTGATTTATTGTACTGCTCTTAATCATTCTTCTTTTTTTTTTTATTATTATTTCTTATGCTTTTTATTTCAAATTTTCTTATTTCCTCTGGACTCGGACGTGACTCTTGCAAATGACTTGTTTCATACTGCCTCTTTTCTCTCTCTTGCTCTATATGGCTATTGGGCTTAACCTGGCCTGATCTAGCCACTATATACCCAAAATATACCATCCATACCCCCCTGTCAATGGTCTCGCTACGATCCTCTAATCACCTAATTCTTCACTTTATCATTATGTATTGCTAGCTGATTATGATTTTCATTGCCTTCTATCCCTTTCGCATTTGTCTTCGTTTCTGTGTTTGATTGCTTCCAGCCCAGGCGAGACTAAGGCTGCAATGTGTATCTGCTACCTTTCTTTCCACTATTTCATTTCTTCTGTGTGTACTTTGACCTCTTATTGGTTTGGTTTGTTTTACTTTACCTTGTCTTGTTTTGACTTGTCGTGCCATGCCATGTGGATGCTTGCATCGGGTGGTACAATATGTGACAATACCCTTGTATCTCAATAGTTTTCCTGCCTGGAGGCGGAGGCAGAGGCTGGGGTGGCTGTTGAGCCTTTGTTTTGAGGCGGTGGGTGGTATTTGTGTTTACTGCTCTTGTGTATCTAGTTGGGTGGAGAGCGATTTTGGAGGAATGAATGAGTCGATGATGTTGAATATTCGGTGCCGAGATCGTACTATGGCGATACAGCGTAGGGTGAAAGGCGTATAAAGTTCAATATTTATCCCTTGTCCTGGCTAAAATGGGGATCATGTAGACTGCATGTACTCTTCGCTTCACAAGTCGTCTCCCACAGTTATGACGTTATGTCTGCAATAGACCTTTATTAACTTTCTTCCGCCTCCTCATCTCATTCCACCACTTTTGCCACTTCCCTCCCCCATCGGGCTAACTATCAATGTCCTTCGAAGTACGGAGGGGTAGTGGGTCAAAATCATTAGTTTTGCCCTGATTGTTGGCTGAGGTTTCTTGATTTTCAGCATCTACAGAGTAATTAGTCACATGACTAGTGACATGGATTTCTTCCTCGTCAGATTGCTCATTGAGCATTGCAGCAATCATCTTCTTCTGTTGATTGAATCTTTGATGTTTATTTTGATTGGTTTTAGGCCTAATTGGCCAGGGTTTCCAATCAGCTGGTCTGCCAGAAGGATGCAAATGCCAGCAATCTGATACCGTATGATTACGCATATGGCAATGCGTGCAGTATCTTCCTGAATTTGATAATTTTTTCCAGGGTTTTTTGCTAATTCGACGTTTTTTATTAGCGGATTGATTTGATAGATTTCTTACCTGTCGATTTTTCTGGCGATTTGCCTGATTTGCCTGATTCGTCTGATAGCTATCAGCCATAAAGATTTGTTCGTTGGTTTGCATATGGCCGCGCGCTTCGTCAATCAGATTAGCGAATAGCGATTCGATCGTGTACGATTCGGCATCTCTGCGAAGAGATTGAATAATATTCTGGATTATTGGTGCATATGATTGGTCAAGATTGTTGAGCACCCATGCAAAAACGATCTGCTTAGGGAAATCAATCCCTAGGCTTGCCAATTCGATTAGCAGACGTCTTATCTCAGTAAGATAGTCATGCACGCTATCGAAATTGCTCAATTGGCTATTGAAGAGCTTCTTCAATATAAGGAATTCAGTGGTGAATCCTTTTGGTCGATATTGGGTGGCTAAGGCTTCCCATGCTTGATAGGCTGATTTGGTATCTCCCAGCCAGAAAAGCGGGCCATCTTTGCATGATAATTTGATAGATGACAGGGCATCTCGATTTATCTGATCGATAGTCTTGAATCGATCAGATGGAATAGCCAGTTCATTTTGCCCTATTTCGGAGATAGTAGGGCTAGAAGATCTTCCAGGTCTATTAGATCTTCTTCCTGACCAAATCGCAATGCTTCTGCAATCAGGTGATCTTTGATCAGGTGGTAAAGCAATTGCTTTTTCATAAGACCAGTGTTGATTAGGAATCTGGCCTTGCTGAATAGCAGGAAGCTTAGTGTAGTCGAATCGAATGGCATCGATTAATCTCTCTGAATCAAGAATAGCTTCGATTCGGATAGACCAGGCAACATAATTTTCTTCTCCTTTGAGAGGATCGATATTATGTTTATTAATCATTTTGAGTTGAAAAGACTTGATTGAATTTTTGAAAAAAGATTGTTTTTGTCAAGAAAGTCGAGATTTCTTAGTGTTTCGTATAGAAAAGCGGACGCGACCGGTAAAAATCGAGTATAATTTTAGGAAGTCTGAGGAGCTTTTGCCTTTTTCTTAAGACAGAGAAGTTTCTCTTAAAGGTAAGGGGATTTTGATGAAGATAGAAGATCGGAGGAATAGTGTAAGCCGAATTGAAATAGAATCAATTCGGGCTCATAACCTGTGAGCAAGCTATGCTGCACAGGTAGGTAAGGAGGAAGAAGATTGAATAAGATAGATCGATAATGTATACTCCAATCCCCGTGCACGTGATCCACGCTAGACCCAATTCAGACTAGTCCACGAAAGCTTCCCATCAACTCGTCCCCCGACGGGCTGAGCTTCATCCCACCATCGCGGTGCTGCTACAACCCAATCCAACCATCAGATCTCGTATAAATGGCTCTCCCACCAGAGCAGATCAACATCAAGCGGCGTCGCGAGGAGGAGCCCGTGGAGACACTTTGTATGTCACTTCCTTTCTGCTGTCAGAACTTTGTTTTGCCGTTGTCTACCCCACGATCTAGACCCCGCCAACGCATTCTTGTGATTATTGCCTGTTTTGTGTCCGGTTTTTGAATTGGCTTGTGTGTTTTTTGATGCTTTGTTTCTGTCTTTACTTGTGGATAGCGTTGTTTTAGATTCATTGCTTGTCGCTTTTTCGTCTTGTCTTCGACAATCCGTCGAAGCCCCTCACTGACTCTCTCCAGATATCCAGTCCGCCTCGCGCCAGACTAAGCGCCGTTTCACTGACTATGTCTTCGAGCGCGTTACCATCAATAGCAAGGATGTCGGAAATGACGCGACGGGCCCTCCACCGGGAAATCCAGCCGCCCAGCGCCTGCTGCGCAGCCCTCGCTCCGTGAGCAGTCTGCACATCCCCAACCGTCGCGCCAGGCAGACGACCAACGCCAACGGTGTGCCCATAGTACGCGCTACATCCCCAGGTGCAGAGATCCGCGAAGCCCAGCGCATGGCCACTGCCAGAAAGGAAGCCGAGGAGAAGCGCCAGCGTACTCTCCAACCTCAGCCCGCACCCCAGCCCACTCCCAGTCCAGCTCCTTCCTCAACGACGGAGCTAGGAAGACCAAGCTCCCCATCCGTGACACCCTTGTCGAGTCACGCCCAGTCCCTCCGCCGCTTTCAGATCTCGCGATCCAATAGCCCGAGCCTCGGGTCACCGCGCAGCATGGGTGGCGGTATCCAGAAGCGTCGGCCAGACGGCGCAGCGCCCGGTGTAGCCGTGCTTGTCGAGCAGCTTCGGCGCCAGCCGCACTCGCGCCAGGCATCGATGGTAGCAGGGCTGGTGGATCGTGCTCGAGTTGATGCAGCTGTGCCAGAACAACAGCCCGACGAGGTCCCAGTGAAACCGCGCAAACGACCCCTCGTCAACCAGGCGGAGAGAAAGTGGCGTGCAGAGCGTCAGGGCGCTATTAATGCTGCGAAGCAGCATCTCTCCGAGGTGCTGGAGAACTCGGCGCAGCAAGCGCATCAGAATACATGGGACGAGGAATCTGAGCGTCTCGTCAAGGATTTGGAGCAGGTTGCGCTTGAGTTGGAGCACGAGCATAATATGGAGGTTGACGATCATACAATGGACTTTACGGAAGCGCCTGGTCCACAGCAGCCGCAGCTAATGCCTCCGCCTATCTCCCCGCCGAAGCCGATGAAGTATCAGCCCCGTCCGCCGAAACAGCCTCGCAATGTACAGCAACAGCCCGCTCCGGAGGCAGAAAAGGAGGGCGACGTCAGTGTGGGTGCGGGTGCGGGTGCTAGCGCTGGTTCGGCTGTGGTCGAGGATAATGAGGATGACTACGTCTACGACGTGTATATCCGTCGACCGCTGTCGGAAAGCGAAATACTTACCAATCCCCTGGCAGAGCTGGAGTGTGAGCAGCAGCTTCAGCAGCTTGAGGCGGCGAGTCGGGGGATTGGTGTTATTGTCATTACTGCCGAGGACGAGGAGTACTGGGAGCATTTCGTGGAAGATGAAGAGGAGGTATGGGATAGCGAGGATGCGGATTCGAATGGTGAGTGCAACGCAAGATGTCGTCCGAGGTTTTGATTAAAGCGGTAATTGTTTTTGCTGACAAGTTCTATCTGCATAGCTGAAAATAATCCTGCAAACGAATATCCCGATGAAGAACTTTCGTTATCGGATGAAGATGACGATCCGACTGCTATCTACCACAAATACAGGCATCGTGCTACCTCTGATGACGAGGAGTTTGACATTGATGACTCTGGTAGCGAGGGTGGTGCCCGGTATGGATCTGGGTATGGGTTTTCGCAACGGTATGGTGGGGATAGGGATTCAGATGAGGGTAGTTATTGATTGTATCGGTATTTGACGTGTTTTGCAATGTTTTTTGTCTGTTCAAGTGTACAGAGGCAATAGCATATAGCGTATCGACATATGGTGTTCCATTGTCGGGGAAGACACATCCGATGAAAATAAAGCATAGCCAGAGCATCAACTTGAGCTTGTCCAGTTTTAACTATGGAAGATGTCGATACAAACCATCCATCACATGAAGCCTGTATCCTGCGTGAAGTCGAATAGAGGCGCTGTAGCAGTAGATTAATGCCTGGCCAATTCTAAAACTTGGCAAGTAAACGTACCGTTCATGATCGAATCAAGGTATGAGACAGGTGAGAAGTCCATGGGATTCAGCATATCCAGATACCCCTCCGTCCTGACCAAAAGTTAGCCCAGAAATTCATTCAACACGCAAACTATCGTCTTACCCAATTCCAAACATTGGTGCAGTATTAGCGCCGATAGCTGCCAAATTCTCATTCTCGGCACTTCCCATTTCTCCTTCTCGATCCAAGGCACTTCGTAGTGTGACCAGAGCCCTGATATGCCGAGCTGATAACCACTGGCTTTCACTATCAGACACTGCAGTGCCATCATCACTGACCCTGGAATCCGACGAGGAAAACACATCAATTACACGCTGCTGCAGACTGCGGCATTCGGGGTCATTCCGGGTTTCTTCCCAGATGCAGAGGAGCAGTGTCGAGCTCAGCACTGTATGGACCATTGACCAACTGCGGAGCGGTACCACGCTGAGGGCTTGGAATTCCAGAAAAGCCTTTGATGCATCGATCAAGCTTCCCTTTGCGCGGGACCGAAGAAGTTCGGATTGAGGGTGGACGAGTCGTGGAGGGGTCTTCTTCATGGCTGGGCGGCAGATTACCGATACGCAGAATGAGGTGTGCATTCTGAGTGCTAGATGTTGAAGGATTTGCTGGAGAGAGGTGCAGTTTTCTTTGGATTGGAGGTAGGACTGGCCGCGCTGGGAAATGCTGTCCAGTCTTTGTAGGTAGCCAATTGCTTGCTCGACCTCGTCCAGTCCGATGGTCTCTGCTCGCATGATATCCAGGCCAAGTCGACATATCAGGTGCATTACAGCCTCGTATGATAAATCCTGATGTTCGAAGACAGGTTTGTCGAGGGGCCACCCCGTTACTGTGACGATGGGTGGGCGATCGTAGCATAGGCAGAGAAGACTATCTTGCCAGACGATGGTTGACCTGGAATGTACATCAGTTGATAGGCTATTCATTCGAGGCTCTTGAGTGATTTGTCTAGACCTACCAAAGCGTCCGCGCCTTGGTTTGCACATGCTCAGGCAGATGTGCCGTGCTTCGTTGCGTATGCAGCCCCATCGTCTGCGCGAGTCGCACCGTCGTACCGAGCAGTGCCCATGCCGCATCAGATTGGCCCATGTTTTGCATTGTATTACCCAGAATTAGGAGTGCTTGGATGATGTCCAGAGATGGCCGGAAGAGAAAATTGGCTAAGCGGAGGGCATGAAAGGACCTGCGAGCTGTTGTACCGTAAGCAAGCGACCATCGGTGTCCTCGATACGGGCTTCATCCATACCAAAGTCTGTTGCGAGCTCCAGTCGCTGAGGATACTCAATATCGGAGTAATGCGCTCCTGCGGCCAAGGTGGCAAGCAGAAGACTGATATGACCAATAGATTGATCTGTCGCCCACCGCTCTGTGATCTTGTCAGAAGTTTTGAATTCACCTTCAGAATGGGCATTCAGATAGGTGTATAGATCAGATTCGAACCGGCCCATGTCTGTCAATATCGGGTTGAACGGGTAGGCAGTGACCTGATAGTAATGGAAGAACCTGGATCTAGTTAGTCGCTAGTAGGCGGAATCAAATGGCTAAACATACTTCAAGACCTCATTTCTCTGCGGCAACACACCCAGCAATGCTTTCCACCGATCCCGCGGTGTCTTCGAGTCCATAAAAGGATAACTATTAAAAGTATTCTGCAACCCCAAAACAGACCCAACCTCCCTCGCCACCGACTCATTAGCATCCGACGCCCTCAACCGCAAAATAGACACAACCGAATTATCCCCAGAATAAACATAATTCTTAGAACTATCCTCTGGCCGAGCAGTCCTCTCAGTATTATCATCTCCCACGGCACGCGGTGAAGCAGGCGATGCCGAGCGAGTAATCTCTCGATGCGAGGCCGATCTGCGCCGGGAATGCGAGAGCTCGTACGTGCAGATCTGCGGGTGTTTGCGTCTTTGACAGGTTTTGCAGGGCTGAGTCCCGTCGCATTTGACTTTGCGTTTCTTGCAGGGGTAGCAGGCGTGAGATTCGCGCTCGCGGCTTTTTAGGCGCAGCACTCGGTCTACTTCGTCTTGACTGGGGCCACTCATGGTGCCGAGGTTGCCGAGATGCGCCGGGGTGGTCGGATTCGAGCTTACTTGCCGAGAATGTGTAGATTCTCAAGTATCAGTGGTCAGAGTGCCGGTCCAATTCGTCTGAGGGGAATGATTTGGCGTATTTCCTGCAATGCTTCAGCAGTGAGGGAAGTTGTAGTTGACTCGCCTTCGTCATCCGTGTCCAGAGCTAGATTGAGGCGGTAAACGCACGGACCAACGGTTGGTTGTATCGCAGGGTCCAAGAAGATATCCTTCCACTCCTCTCTTTTAGAAGATCTGTTCAAAATTCTTTACATTATCTGCGGGTCTACCATTCAGCGCTGTGCTACTATGATGAATGGAATATTTTCCGGGGTTCAGCGTAAGGTAGCCCACTGTGTGTAGACTGGCGCAAAGTGCATTCCTCAAAGTATCGAGAAGTAGGCTAGTATTTTCAAGACCCGAAAGTTAGGTGGATCTAGATGGGTTGGAAACTAGCGAGTGCATGAAGTATGATGCAGCTTGTTCTACCCATTAAGTAGGATAAAAAATAGGAAAATTACATGTTTGATGCTTGGCGTGCAGCAACATATATATTTGTGAATGAAGGGGAGATAAGGATCATCATGACAGTGAGATACGCAAACTTATGGCTACATTCAGACTTTCCATATCCATTGACATTCATGTTCAAATTAAATACAATTTCAAGAATAACTAGCAATAATCAAATTTGTCAAAAACAATCTACTCCTCCCGGAACCCCATCTTCGTCCAGTTCTCAAGGACCTTCTTCTTAACGTCCTCCGGGAACGAGTTCTCAAAGTCAGCCGCTTGCCAGTCCCGTCCAGTAGTATACTCTGACGGCATCAGAGCATCAGAAACAACCTTTCCACCCATCGTCGGCGACCCATTACCATGCGACATGTACGGAACCAACGGGAACCCACGCACATCCTCGAAGAACGTCTCATCGAGGCTAGGCCGGCACCGCGTCGAGAAAGCCCACATCACATCCTTGCCGTTATACACATCAATATCATCGCCGGCCAGGACCAGTCGGTTAATTGTGTAGCCAGCCTTATGGTTGAAGACGACGTCGCCAACGCGCTTGCGGAATTCAGCAGAGGTGGTCTTCATCTCGCGCAGACGGGCGGTGTCGATGCGCAGGGCAACCCATGTCACTTGAGATTCGAAGGGAGCAAATGCGTCAGTGACGGGTAGGCCGTTTTGCTGGCAGACCTTGCGGATTTCAGCCGCGGCGAGAGAACCGATCATCGTGTGCGTCTCATCAGTTAAGCGGCCGCAAGATGACATGGGGAGGATGGGGTCGTTACGGTAGGTGATTCGGTTGACCTTATACTTTGGCCACTGATGGACGTCACCAGGGAAGACGTAGCCGTGCATTTCGCCGAAGGGACCCTCGGGGCCCTTCTCGGTGATAGAGAGGGTACCTTCGAGGACGATCTCGGAGTTGGCGGGTACGTAGAGGTTGTTCGTGTCGCATTTGACTAGTTCCAAAGAGGATCCGGTCATGGCACCAACGTAGCCAGCTTCTGTGACGCCGTCGGGGATGGGCATGCTAGAGGCCATGATGGCAGCTGGGGGAACGCCAAAGGCCAGGGCCCAAGGGACGTCTTTGCCTTCCTTCTTCCACATCTGGTGGATCTGCCAGATGTGCTGAGGCTCGATGACCAGTCCCGTAAGGTGTTTATCATCAGAGACCATGGCGCGAGCAATAGACCAGTTGGTCCATGATCCATCAGGAGACTGGACTATGTGCATGCCATAGGTTTGGATATACTTGCCACCGTCGGCCTGGTGGATCAGAGGGGCAGGCAATTTGGTCAGATCAATCTGGCTTTCCTCCAAGACATTCTCCTTGCAAGGATCAGTGGGTACGACCGTTGGTGGGATGGGAGGCATCTCGCTGGCAGACAGCATCTTGTCGAGGATTTCCTTCATCGAGGCCGTTGGCGGTAGGGCCAAATGGCGAGCCAGACGACCATAGCGGTCCTTGGAGGACTTTCTCAGAGATCCCGGGGCACCGAGAATGCGGAAGAGGCCATTTTGAGCGCCAATGACGTTGTTGAATAGAGGGGCCTTGTCGTCGGTCTCACAGACCAGCCGAGTAATGGCAGCAGCTTCAAGATTGGGGTCAACCGGGGTGTTGATCTCAACGAGGTCATCGTCGGCTTTGAGAGCCTCCACAAAGGCTCGGAAGTTAAGGTGTGGTTTGTTGTTGGTCATTGTGAAAGTGTTGAGATGTTTGGTTTTGAATATAGTAGGGTTGGGCCTTCAGTGTATAGATTGGTGTGGATAGAGAGAGCTCTGGGGATCGCACCAACACGCAGGTTATATATGATTTGAAGTGACTCGGTACGGCAAACTCGGATCGGTCGCAGGTCCTATATTTGGATCTCAATAGGCTAATTTGCCCATTACGACACTCGGTATGCCGCAAAACTCGGGATTCCTCTCTTGCCTTGGTTGCACTCCCCCGAGGTCCCGAGTCTCCGAGCCTCCGAACTGCCCCGAGGGAGGCCATCCTCCATGCCTCGTCGCCTCAGGAGTAAAGCGGAGTTCGGTATCAGATCTCGGAAGTCTCGCATTGTCCACGAGTAGGGTCAAAATATTTGCCGACGCACTCTCGTTATTGGCTATTGACTCGCAACTAGCACCTGCAAACACCCAGGAAGAGTTCCAGCATGTCGTTCGGCTGCGGGGTTGCACATAAATAGAGGGGGCAAATCCCCTCAATTGAGTCAGACCCGAATGACAAACTGTTTGCTCCCATCATGTTCTACCAACCAGGCGTCACCGAGCACAACCTACCCCATGACCCATTCAAGGTAACGATGACCGTCAACGCGCAACGACAGAGGTCGCTGACAGCCGCAGGCATGCGTGGTCCCTCGACCGATCGGATGGATCTCCACGCAGAACAAACAAGGCCAAGCCAATCTCGCGCCCTACTCCCAGTTCAATAATCTGACCTTTGACCCGCCGTACGTGATGTTCTCATCGAACCAGACGGTCAATGGCACGCGGAAAGACACTGTCATCAATGCGGAACAAACCGGCAAGTTCGTCTGGAATCTGGCAACCTGGGACCTGCGCGAGGCCGTCAATATCTCCGCCGAGCAAGTGCCGTACGGAGTGGATGAGTTCGAGCGGGCCAAGGTGACCAAGGAGCCCGCCTCGCTGATGGATGTCCCGATGGTGCAAGAGTCGCCGGTCAAGTTCGAGTGCGAGTATCACTCCACCGTTCGGCTACCTGGAAATCCGCCCATGGGCACAGTAGATGTGGTGATCGGCCGAGTGATCGCCGTGCATATCAAGGACGAGGTTTTGACGGATGGCATTTTGGATATTCAAAAGACGAAGCCCATTGCGCGCTGTGGGTATTATCAGTACACCGTGGTCGAGAAGACATTTGACATGGTCATTCCCGGCATGTCGGAGGATGTACTGTATGGGTTAGAGGGGAATGCGAGGCGTAATAGGGAGGCCCAATCGCGGAATAATCTCGAATAATGATCGAAATCTCACCACGAATCAGGATGTGAGACTGTCAGATTTTAGTCTGAAGGGTCCAGTTGCCACATGGCAAAGGATATTGATGGATAAAGGGGTGGTTCATCGGTCGACGTTTCCAAGGTCAGAGTCGGTGAGTGAGTGCTGACTGCTGACACGGCAGAAGCCGGCCACGAGGACAGACAAAGTACTCCGTATACTAGAACGAGTAGAACCTTTGTACGGAGTATTGTATATCGACAGTCAAGATACGCATCTGCCCATATCCACCACTCAATGCTCCCACGTCCCTATCAGCAGTCAGCAATCCGCACCACACTTGGATTTACATAGCCCTGGAAACCTTAGCAACCGTGCATAGCAAGTTCTCCACGATACACCTGCCATTCACAGGTCTGCTCGCCCTTGATTGCCAGATCAGGGCCACTGACCGTGCTGCCCGCTTCGTTTATCACGGGCTATCCGACTCGTACACTGTCTATCAGCAAAGCCAAGACTTGATGTTGCAGTGTACCCTACCAGCCAAGCGGCGGTACCATGCCAAGAAGGACCGCCAAGCGCAGGGATATCGACACTCGGACCGCCAAGAGCCCCGCCTCCATTGGATCTCGCCAGTCTTGGCAGCACTTTAGCCTTTGCGGAGATTCAACCAGAACAATCAGTAGTCTGGGCAGAGTTGAGTCTATGAGTCTCATGAGCCTATCAGGCCGGCCGTCCTTCAAAGATGGCGCTATCTCGCGTGCTGGCGCAGGCGGGCTGGGCGCCCCAACCGGGGAATGGCGACTCGGCCTCTTAGACATTGGAGGCTGGATGTGGTAAATTGGTAATTGAGGTAGAGATAGCTCTTAATCAACCAGCACATGGCGGCCATGGCGCAGCTCTTGTGCCGCCAATTTCCAATCTTCTGGCCCGGCTATCGACGGTTTCTTCGCGATGTCTTGATTTGTGATTCCCGTTTCTAGTCAATGCGCCGACGGGAACCTGAGATATCAGAGGCGCAAGGAGAAAAAGATGCCAATTAACTTCATCCGCGGCTGTGAACCACCTTCCTGAATGGGATATCTCTTGCCCCCTCCCCCCTTCCCCTGCTCCTAGTCTGCATTCTACTACCCTTAGTACTATTCTGGCAGGCGCGGCATTTAAAATATAACCCACACCCCCATCTTTCCCGCTTTCTTCTTTCTGTCGATCATCTCTTTTGTTCTGTCGCCCTTTTCCTATCCATTATGAATGCGTCCGACCCCATCGAGGTCGCCGAGGTGTCCAAGTCCAAGGCACTTCAGCACGATGTCGACCTGAGCGAGAAGCGCCAGGATCCTGGCCAGGATCTGACTATTGAGCCTGCTCCGGCCGACCAAACTACGGAAGGCGAGGATGAAGTCCTTCACAAGGTGTATCCCAGTGAAGAGGACTTGCGGACTCTGCGCCGTGTCGCGGGACGTCTTCACTGGACTATCTTCACTGTCGCATTTGTAGAGCTGTGCGAGCGGTTCTCATACTATGGAACTACGGCAGTTTGTGAGTGAACAGCAGCCATCTTGCAGTATGAACTACACTGGATGAAATACTGACTCTTTCATAGTTGTCAATTTTATTCAGCGCCCTCTTCCGGCAAACTCGAAGACCGGTGCTCTGGCAGCTGGCGCTGATTTTAATAACGACGTGCCTGGAGCTCTGGGAATGGGGCAACGCGCTTCTACTGGTCTGACACTGTGTAAGTAAGCCGCGTGGAAACAGAAACTAAAGGACATGTTTGCTGACATCCAGGCACAGTCAATCAGTTCTGGTCATACGTGATGCCATTGGCCGGTGCATATATCGCTGACCAGTACTGGGGTCGATTCCGCACCATCTTTGCATCCATTGCTTGCGCTCTCGTAGGACACGTCATCCTGATTGTGTCTGCCATTCCTAATGTCATCGCCAAACCTGGTGGCTCGATTGCTTGTTTTTCGATCGGTCTGGTCATCATGGGTGTTGGAACTGGTGGCTTCAAGTAGGTGGAAAACAATAGATCATCTGGTGGAGAACCATCGGCGACGAGACTAATCTGCTTCGCAGGTCTAACATTTCCCCACTCATTGCTGAGCAATACCGCGAGGACAAGCCATATATCAAGGTCATGCCCAATGGAGAACGGGTGATCGTTGACCCTGCTGCAACAGTCGCCCGTATCTATCTGTACTTCTACCTGATGGTCAACGTTGGTTCCTTGGTCGGCCAGCTTGCCATGGTGTACGCTGAGCGATATGTTGGATTCTGGCTGTCTTTCCTTCTCCCCACGCTGATGTTCTGCATCTGCCCGACGGTGTTGTACTTCTGCCGGGGCAAGTATCACCTGGTCCCACCCACGGGCTCGACTTATACCCAGGCCTTCCGTTTGTGGTCTTTGGCTATGAAGGGCCGCTGGTCTCTCAATCCTGTCAAGATGTAAGTTGCGGCTCATGTAACCGGCTGTTGGATGCAAACTCATACGTATAGGTTCAAAAAAACTGCACCCGAGCACGAATTCTGGGATCACGTTAAGCCCACCACTCTGGGCGCTAACAAGCCTCAGTGGATGACCTTTGATGACGCGTGGGTGGACGAAGTTCGCCGTGGACTCAAGGCTTGCCAGGTGTTCCTGTGGTATCCTCTTTATTGTAAGTTAAAGTCCACCTGGAAATCTCATGTATACGGCTGCTGATAATGTTTCTAGGGCTGGCCTACAACCAGATGCTTAACAACCTGACCTCCCAAGCCGCAACCATGCAGCTGAACGGTGTCCCCAACGACGTCATTAACAATTTCAACCCCCTTGCTCTGATCATCTTCATCCCCATCTTTGACCGCCTCGTATACCCCGGTCTCCGCCGCATGGGATTCCACTTTACCCCACTGAAGCGCATCACCGCTGGTTTCGCCGTTGCCGGCTCCGGCATGATCGTTGCCACCGTCACCCAATTCTACATCTACAAACTCGGACCCTGCGGCAAAGACGCTAACCGCTGTCTCGAGGAGCTCGGCGAGCACAGTCCCATCTCCGTCTGGATCCAAGTTCTCACTTACGTTCTGGGCGGTATCTCTGAGATTCTGGCCTCGGTCACCTCGCTCGAGTACGCCTACACCAAGGCCCCCGGAACATGCGTTCGCTCGTGCAGGCCGTGGCGCTTTTCACGAATGCCATTTCTGCGGCTATCGGACAGGCGTTGGTGGGTCTTTCTGCGGATCCGCTGCTTGTGTGGAACTATGCTATTGTGGCTATTTTGGCGTTTGCGGGCTGCGTGGGCTTCTGGTTGACTAATTTCAAGTTGGATCAGGAGGAGGATAAGCTTAACATGTTGCCTCAGAGTAAGTATGAGGGTCGGGGGGAGAAGACAGATGTGGAGGCGAAATGAGGTTGATATGAGTTGATGTATGATGGTTTATGAGAGATGGGTATGATGCACTGCACCTGTGGATTAGCTTGATGCTATCTCCATAGTGTGTATATAGTGGTCTTGATGATATTCAAGGCTATAGGAAAATCAAAGATAGTTAATATGACTAGTCTTTCGTGTGCTGGTGGTACATTAAGATTGTAATATACAAAGTAAGAAGTTATTACTCTTCTTCCTCTTCGTTGACATCTTCGTCCACGTCGCTTTCGTCTTCTATATACTCTTCCTCGTTTTCGTCCTCCTCTTGGCCGTCATCGGCATCCTCAGCTTCTTTTTCCTTCTTTCCATTCTCCTTTTGTTTCTTGTTAGAACCAGTCGACTGCTTCGCAGTCCGCTTTGTCCCGGCACTATTCTTCTCATTTCCGTCTTCCTCATCCTCCTCCTCATCAAATTGATCGTCATCACCATCATCCTTGCTAGAACTCCGCGTCTTCGGTCCTTTCTTTCCTTTTCCATTCCCCTTCTCTTCCTCCTCATCACCCGACCCCTTCCTACCACTAACATCCCTCCTCGCCTCCCTCGCCCTCTCCGTATTCCCAACAACCTGCCTCCCCTCCTTCGACCCTTCAACCTTCTTCTCCTCCGTCTCTTCTTTCTCCCCCTCACTCATCTGCTCCCACGCCTTCTTCGGCAAATACCGCTTCCGCGTACCATTCTCGTCGTCCTTCCGCGCAGTCCCCGATCCCTCTTTTGTCTGCCATTCTTCATTCGTCCACTCGTTGAGATGCTTTTGCGATGGGGATTGCCCGTCTTGTTTAGAGGTTGTGTAGTCGCCGCCGCGTTTTTTGTATTCGGAGGCCATCATTTGGGCCTGCGAAGCAGTAGCAATCAGTACAGATTAGATGTGGTTCAAAAAGAGATAAAGTTGACGGGTGAATGGGCGGGCAAAAGGAGAGAGGTGGAAGTGGTTAGGGGAGGGAGTTCCATGTTACCTTGCGAGCAGACCATTGTCCGGGTTTCCCGCCCTTGTCACTGTTGTGAATTTCCTCTTTGATTTCCTCGCGGAGCTTGGGATCGGTGTACTTGTCCTTTGGTGCCATTGTGACGTGACGGATTGAATTGAATTGGGTTCGTATGGTTTTTGAATGGGTTGTTACTTCGCAGGGGGTGGGAGTGTAAGCGGAATTGAGTATAGAAGTTGTATAAAAAGATCTACTTTTCGCGGCTAGGGACCATGCCTTTTATAACTACTCTACTTGAACCCTACGCAATCACACTCGGCAAATATAAATCCATCAGCTAGATTCTAAATTCTAAATTCTAAATTCTAGAATCCTGTATCTACAATCAAGGGTCACCTTGACGATGACATCTCCACGCTACCCGTCCCCGGAGTGACATCATCCCATCCCATCGCATCCGATCTCCATACGGTGGTACCTACTCACTTACCCAGCCCCGGACCAAAGTTAAACGGAATGCGGGCGCGGCTGGGTCTGGATCGGGTTCGTTCCTGGGGAAATCCAGTTTGGGCGCAACTTAATCGATCGGGGAGATGGGTGGCGCCGTCAGAAAGATGGGGCTGGGGCTGATCGAGCTGGTTTCTGGTTTTTGGAAATAGGTGGTGTTGTTGGATCCTTGATTGATGGGTTCGGGGTTTGTTGGGACGTTGGATTGGTTGGGTTTGTGATTAAGCTTGATTTGATCTGCGACTGTGTAGGTAAGGCAAGGCTAGGTAGGGTTGAGGTTTGGATCGTGAAGTGGTACGATATGACGCCGTGTAGATTTGGCAGTTCCGCCAATTAGAAAAAAAGGGGTTGCTTTAATATTGTGATTGGTAGTGGAAGGGAGGGGAATTTGAGAGGAATGATTCTTTGCTATTTGTTGATCTCCTTATATCCAAAGACATAGTAAACGCTGGAATCTACTACTAGAACGTACTCCCAAACCAAGACGACGTAATCAACAAGAATGATCACAGATGATGTAATATATAACAAACCGAAAAGAAAAGAAAAAGTCGTCACAAATATACCCAGGTATCATGATAAGTCAACACATGTCAAACCACCCAGACACGCTGTCTGTCTGTCTGTCTGTCTGTCTGTCTACGACAACTTCGGGCGCAACCGCAAACTCGGCCCAGCCACAAACTCCATCCCCTCATTGATATCCCCCTTCAACGCAAACTTGATATCCTTGTGATAATGATCCCGCGGCTGCCAAGGCCCCTTATCGCCCGCGCGAGGCAACGTGCGCTGCGCACGGGTCACATACGTCGAGTTCAGATTCAACAGCGGACGCTCCTGTAAATTCTTCGCGTCCGCGGGCTTCAGTCTCGGCGTTGCGGCAATCAATTTGCGTTCGTCGAGGGTCTTGAGCAACCGCGTGACGAATTGCACCGTCGCGTCGGAACCGAGGGTCCACGAGGCATTGGTGTATCCGATGATGAAGGTGGCATTGGGGAGGTCTTGCAGCATCACGCCGTTCCACATGAACTTTGAGCCCGGGTCGTACTTCTTGCCGTCGATGCTGACTTGTGCGCCGCCGGCGAGTTGGAGCTGGAGACCTGTCGCGGTGATGATGATATCTGCGTCTAGGGTTTCGCCGCTGTTCAGGGTGATGCCGTTGGAGACGACGGTCTTGATGGTGTCTGTGCGCACATCGGCCTTGCCCGCCCGGAGACTCTTGAAGAAGTCCCCGTCTGGGCAGACGCAGAGTCGCTGGTCCCAGGGGTTATACCGGGGCGCAAAGTGCGGCTCGTAGGGGATGTGTTTGGGCAGTTGGCGGCTGACGTTCTTCTTGAGGATCCATTTGGAGAAGGTGGGGAATTTCTGGCAGAAGAGGAAGAAGATGCGTGTTGTGATGATCCAGATTGCGCGCTGGATGCGCTGGTATGTGGCTGAGGGGAGGATGTATGAGAGCCAGTGGTTGGCGGAGCGGTTGGGGAGGGAGAGGATGTAGGTTGGGCTGCGCTGGAGCATTGTGACGCGGGCGGCTTTGTCGGCCAGATTAGGGAGGAGAGTGATGGCCGTGGCGCCGGAGCCGATGATCACGATCTTCTTGCCGGTGTAGTCCAGGTCCTCGGGCCAGAATTGTGGGTGGATGATTTGGCCCTTGAAGGCGTCCAGTCCGGGGATCTTGGCTTGGAGAGGCTGCTTGTAGTTGTAGTAGCCCGTGCCGAAGATCACGAACCGCGCAGTGTACTTCTTTTCCTTGCCGTCGGCGTCGACCGACAGGTTCCAGACGTGCTCCTCATTTGACCAATCGGCGTTGGTGAGCTTGTGCTTGTAGAGGATGTGCTTGTCAATGCCGTACTTGCGCGCCGTGTCGCCAATGTAGGTCTTGATCGCAGAGCCCTCGGCGATGGGGTTGCTGCGGTTCCAGGGGTTGAACGCGAAACCGAAGGTGAAGAGGTCCGAGTCGGAGCGGATGCCGGGGTACTTGAACAGGTCCCAGGTTCCACCGTGGTCGTGGCGGGCCTCGAGAATGGTATAGCTGAAGCCGGGCAGTTGGTCTTGGACGCGGTAGGCAGCGTTGATGCCGGAAATGCCTGCGCCGACGATGATCACGTCGAAACGGTGCTCCGACTGTCCATTGGCGTGGCCGTTCATGATGGCGAGAGGGGAAGGGGGTAGTGATGGGAGGAGGATAGGGTATGGAGGAGAGGAGATTAAAGCAAGTCGATCACCATGATACTTAAGAAGATCAAAGATGGGGTGGCGTAGCGACTGTTTGACAGCTCACATGCCTCGGTTTCACGGTGATCCATGATCGGCGGTGGATTGATCCGCCTCGCGATGGTTGCCCTCGAACGGAGTGCGGAGGGATTTTAAAGTATGGGGGCGGAGGGTTAATACCGAGTCGGGAGGGTTATAGTATGGGGTACCTGATCCAGTTTGTACTAATGTAGGTAGTACTGCAATGTACGAATTACCAAGTACTTCAAGACAAGACTTGACAGTCGAATTCTTTCTGAATGTTTGAGTGTCCACGAGACTAAAATCCCGAAAGTCTGGAGCACATCACGCCGACTGTGCGGGCTCCACAAGAGCAGACAATGACATGCGACAGGGTCGAGTCTGTAGACAGAGCTAGCATTGACAATCTATAGTATACTACAGTCTTTATCTCCATGATGGTATAGTCAAGAGTCGACTGTCTATCTTGTGCTTCATAAGCTGCAGTCGCAACAAACTGGTTACACAGATCTACCACGATCGAGATCGTAGTCCAATTCAAGACATGACCCTATAGAGAGCCATAGTGAAGCAGATACAATACATACAAATGCAGTGTAGTCTCCATTCTGACATCGATAACGGTCGCATGTGTCATGCCTCTCACCAGAATCTCAAGTCTACCTGCCATAACCAGCCGAGGACCCTCATTCTTCTCCACTCCTCAGGAAACCCTCGCAAGAATCATCACAAATCCCCAGAGATTCCACCTCGGTCCCAGCTCCATAGAACCCAAAATCAAGCCTCTTCCACCGTCAAAGTAAAAAGATGAAAGAACACACTCGAACACCCCACCGGCGATCCTTTCCCCATTCAGATAGCTTTGCGAGATCGCCATCGACCACAGGCGGCTCCGAGGCCCACGAGCGGATGGTTAGTTCCCGAACTGGCGTAGCGTGTCCTCCTTGACTTCCCCACAGGCACGGCAGTGGACGCTCTCGCCGACCAACGGTACCGACTGGAGAAGCCAGGGGGGGGGGGGGAAGCGCTTGTTGAATTTCACATCATCGTGCCATTTATCAGGCGCGCGGAGGTCGCGATCATGGAAGTCAGAGTCCAGTGTCCCATCCCAGTGGTGCCTTCGACATCACATCCTCCGTGGTCCTGGTCCTGCTCCTGGTATACACTCGTCGCCATACTCAATCCTTTGACAGGATTGAACGGACCATAAGCACTGAAAACGGACCGTACGCGCTGAGACAGAATCAACCTCCTGAACCATCCAAGTCCCAACCATGTCCCTCGCAAAGGCAAAGCTCTCGCTCGCCGAGAAGCTCGACTTCCTCCCCGCATTGGCGACTATCTTCGCCGCGGCGACTTGGTCGCTTTTCACGGCTCTCTGGCGTACAGAGCGCCAGGCCAAGTCTCTGCTGCTGCACGTTGGCTATGCGGTTTTCCGCCAGACCACGGCGCGCTTATCCCCGGCCCAGATGCAGGCTATCTCGCCGCCGAGTAACAAGATCTATGAGCGCTTTGTGAAGAAGGTGGGCGTGAAGTCTCAATCGGTGGAATTGGGTCACGGCGCACAGGGCCATTGGATTGGTGATCGCAATGCGAAAAATGTGCTTATCTGGTTTCATGGTAAGCAGAAACTGCCCACACCCCTGGACGGATCCAATTGAGCTCTAAAATTGGAATGCAATTGACTGACCTTCTTTTTTTTTTTTTTCTCCAGGCGGCGGCTTCTGTCTCCCCGCCAACTTGGGCTACTTCAAGTTCTACACCCAAGTCGTCGCCGACCTCGAACGAGCGGGCAAATCCGTCGCCGTCTTCAGTCTCACCTACACCCTCGCCCCGGAAGCAATCTACCCAACCCAGCTCCGCCAAGCTGTTACTGCAGTCCGCTACATCCTCTCCCAACCTAACCGCGACCCATCAACCGTCTTCCTGGGCGGCGACTCCGCCGGCGGAAACCTCGCCTGCGGCGTCCTCTCCCACTTGGCCCACCCTCATCCCGAAATCGAGCCGCTGACGCTGGGCGCGAACAAACTCGGCGGCGCGGCAATGATCGCACCCTGGACCCTCCTCGATAGCGTGTTCCCGCCCGAACAGATTATTTATGACGGTGGGGACTTGATCACCGTTGCTGTGGCGGGGCCGTGGAGTAAGGCGTATTTGAGCGACACGACCAGGGATTATTATACTGATTTGTCGCATGCGCCGACGGAGTGGTTCAGCACGTTCCCTGTGGAGAAGGTGTTGATTACCGGTGGTGGGAATGAGATTATGTTGCCGATTATTCGTGATTTTGCGGAGAAGTTCCAGGAGGGGTTCCCTGATGTGGAGTTTTTTGTCGGGCATCGCGAATGTCATGTTGCGCCCGTTTATAATTTGGAGTTGGGGAGTACCGAGGAGACGGAGCAGGGGAAGAAGATCAAGTCTTGGTTGAGGGAGTTGTTGAAGTAGGGGAGGAAGGAGGTTGTAGATGTTGTTTTGTTTCTGTGGATCTTGGATATTGGCCAAGTCTTTGACGGGTTCTATATAGGGTTGGAGGGAGATTGGGTGTTGATAAACATTTTCAGATGAATATATATGCTTTGTGATTGATGACATTTGTGTAACTCGTTCGTACTACTTCATCTCTATCTAGAAGGTAGTACTATCAGTGCAACGGTAAGCTAATTTCTACCGAGAAAGGATGACTGCAGTATTGATTCCCGGTCGTGTTCCAGGGTACACATTCGGGAGGTTTTCCACGTTTTCCACGGTTGCCAACTGACAGGTAGTTTGTCGTCCCATTTAATTTTAATTCCAAGTCTAATTCTTCTACAGGTAATTCTGGGGATGTATAGTATCTGGTTTCACAATTCCACATCATATCTTCACAGAGAGCGCAAGTACATGGCAAGTAACATCAGACCTCTCCCTCAATCCCTGCATAGTAACAGTAGGGTATAATCACATTTCAACCAAAATCGCCAAATCGATTCTCTCCCCCTACAACCCTCCCTCTTACAGACCCTCCCTCTGCTGCACCTCCCTCAATCTCCTCAACGACCCGGACGCAAACGACCGCACCCCCTCCTGCATCCACGTCGGCATCGCCCGCACCAAACTAGCCGCAGACTGACTAGCCGGCAAAATAACCTGCCCACTATTCTGCGACAGGATCTGCTTCACAATCGCACCCGCCACAAACTGCACCGTCATAATGGGCTGGCGGAAATGCGACTCGTGATCCGTCAGCATCTTGATCATCGGCGTCCGCACCCACAACGGATGCACGACGGAGGTGCGCACACCGGGCGCATTATACCAGAACTTGAGTTCCTGGCGCAGCGATTCGTGGAAGGCGAGTGCGCTGACCTTGGAGCAGCAGTAATCGGCCATTTCACCCAGGGCGACGAACGATGCCATCGATGCGATGGTGACCACGTGCCCGTGATTGGCGCGGATCATGGCCGGCAGGAACTCCTTGACCATGAGGAAGTGCGAGATGGTGTTGACTTCGAAGGTTTGTCTGATCTTGGACTCGGGTTCGTCGAGGATGGTGCCGTCGTGGCCGACGCCGGCGTTGTTCACGAGCACGGTGGGCTCGCCGTGGTTATCGCGGATCGCCTTGGCGACCTCGGCGATGCTGGCGGAGGAAGTGATGTCCGCTTTGTAGAAGGTTACATTCGCGGGCAGTGTGAAGGTGGGCTCGTTGATGTCGAGGATGATTACGCGCACGCCTGTTTTGGCCAGGTCTTCCATGACTTGTTTGCCGATGCCGCTGCTGCCACCGGTGATGAGGATGAGTTCGCGTGCGGGATTCCAGCGGGGGCTGCTGGTCCAGTTGTTCAGGGTCCATTGGGAGAGGGACTTGTTGATGCTGCGCAGGAGGCCGAGGGCGAGGACTACGCCCAGGGCTTTTTGGGTGAGTGGGTTGCGCAGGTAGGCTTGGGCCGGTTCGGGGATGTGCGCGAGGGCAGTCTGGGTGTATTGTTGGAGGAGATCGAGGTAGGCCGCCATGGTGGTGGTGATAGCAAGGGGAGAAGGTGAGGATGAGGGATAGAAGGTGGAAAGTGACAATTGGAGAAGGGAGGGTGAAAGGTAAGGGGGAAAGAAGAAAAGAAGAGCTGCAGGAGAAGCTCGACGATGTCGATCGGGGTCTTTTTATGAAGTCCTGCGATGGAATTGAGTGCCTTAAGTGCGCGGGTGCACGATTGGATCCAAGGATGGTTGCTCAAGGGCGGAAAAAGTGGACTCTGTACCGCCGGCGACTAAATGCCCCAAATAATAATATCGTGTCGCGTCTAGCATTTTGGGGTTCTCCACCAGCCGAGGCTTTTATTGTGTCACTGCATGGGGATCGACAGACGAATGGCCCTGGAGGATCCTCCGCAGGGATTGTACTTGATGTACATGGAAATTGGGACTGGACTAGCACCAAAGAGGACTAGAACAAGACCTAACCTAATTGAGCCACCACTGCGAATCCACAATCCCGAAGCTTTTTCACATGCAACTCCTTCGGTTTTGGTTCGTGCTTTTTACTTCCCCGCAGATTCTGTCTGTGTAGGGCGGGCTATGGAGTACATACTACTCCGTACTCTACTCGAGACTCTCGGCACTACATCGGCACAAGTACCCTGATCATTCCATATCCCCCCCCCCCCCCCCCCCAACATGTTTAACATGATCCATGCTCAGGCACTGACGTCGGAAGAATCCTACTGGATCTGGTTAGATCTGGGGACCCCATTCGATCTTAGGGCTACCATGATATCACAATCCTCCGATCTCACAAGCTGGTCGGCTGGATTCCCCCACCTGTTGAATTAGAATATCGCATGATAGTCATTCTTTGATACCACTCCAGGAGTAGACTAGTAGTAGTAATGTAGTAATATCTCCCCCCATAGGCAGACAGATTGAACTATGAGCTCATCTTTCACACCGTTAGAATCCCCAATGACATACGCCCAGTACCGAGGTCGATCCCCAACCGCACCGCGGGGCTCGCCGATCGGTGGAGTCCACATGGAGACACATGTTTGCAGGAGTTCCTAGCATGCATTGGTATTTAGTTAGTTTGCACTGGGGCTATCTTTGAAAGTGGAATCTTTTCTCCCCCAGACTTTTCTTCCCTTTCTCAATCCCTCCGACAATATTCGAGACATGTCGGTGGTTTAATTCCTATTTTTGATATATCCCTCCGCTCCAGAGGACCCTTCCATCCTAGGATCTCCTGCATTGCATCGATTACCTTGCAGACATGGCGGCCGGAGATAGCTTTCCAGCCCTCTTGGCCTTTACCCTCGTCGAGGCCTATTTCCTGCAGCGCACTGTCTTTGCGGATGACACTTTTCGGACCGTCGTGCTAGGTGCATTAGCCGTGAATGTCTTCCTCAAGGGTGTCTATAGTCTGGTCATTTGGCCGTTCTTCTTGAATCCACTGCGTCATCTGCCCAAGGTCTCGGTACGTACTACCCGCCAGCCCTAATCAATCTACCATCAACCACCCCAGTCCAAGCCCTATAGCCCACCCAGTCTATATCCACATCTCTAAAAGCTTCATCTAACATGTTGATCTTGACAGGGCCTCATGAGCCATGCCAAAATCATCTTCGACTCCCCCCGCGGGCGCATGCCCCTTTACTGGATGAAAACCATCCCCAACGATGGCCTCATCCACCTCCGCGACATGATCGGCCAAAGTTACCTAATCGCTACAAACCACCAAGCCCTCCTCGACATCATGAGTACTAACACTTATGATTTCGAGAAACCCTGGCGAGCGCGTAACTTCCTCGCTCGTATTTTGGGCTTTGGTCTGATTTTGTCCGAGGGCGCGGCTCATAAGAAGCAGCGGAAAGCGTTGACTCCTGCGTTTAATATCAAGAATATCCGGGCTATGTATTCATTGATGTGGGATAAGACGAATCAGTTGCTTGTTGAGATGGAGAAGGAGTTGAAGATGAATCCTATGGATGGGACAGATCCGGAGGAGGGCGTTGGAAAGTTGGAAATGGGTGTTTGGGGGAGGTATGTCAACATTCTTTTCCTTGCTCGTCATGCCCTCTCTTTGGAAAATATTTGTGTTAATGCGAGTTGTGTAGTCGCCTCACTCTCGATATCATTGGTCCCGCCGCGATGGGCCGTGATTTCCGCTCCCTGCAGAATAGTGATAACCCCGTCGCTGAGAGCTTCCTGCGTATCTTGGAACCGACTACCGAGAAGATGGCCTTTTTGGCTATGAACTTTACCCTGCCACAGTGGCTTGCGCAGCGTGTGCCCTGGCGCCTGAACCAAGTCATCGCTAATGAGACGGGTTTCCTACGGAACCTCTGCAATGATATCGTTCGGGAGAAACGGGAGATGCTGGCTGCGTCCAAGGCCTCAGCGAAGGATCTCGAGGCTGATATTCTCGGCACTATGATGCTAGGCGGCGATTTCAGTGATACTGAGCTGGTGGATCAGATGTTGACCTTCTTGGCCGCTGGAGTAAGTCTTCCTCTACTATCTAAAAGACAGATATACCCTATATTCTATAGATGCATCTTGCTAACCACTTCCCCTTCCAGCATGAAACCACCGCTGCAGCTCTAACCTGGGCCTGCTACCTTCTCACCCTCCACCCCGAAATTCAAACCCGCCTACGCACCGAAATCCGCTCCAAAATCCCCTCCGCCACACACCCCATAACCCACTCCGACCTCGAATCCCTCCCCCTCCTAAACGGCGTCTGCCAAGAAGTCCTCCGCCTCTATCCAACTGTCCCCGCCACGATCCGTGAATCCATCCGTGATACCACCGTCGCCGGTAAACACGTTCCAAAGGGAACACGTCTCATCCTCTGCCCCTACGCCATCAACCGCGCTCCGATCTTCTGGGGCGAGGATGGGGACAAGTTTGTCCCTGAACGCTGGATTGATACTGATAAGGCGGGGAACCAAGTGCCGAATAATAACGGGGGTGCTTCGACAAATTTTGCCCAGATAACGTTTTTGCATGGGCAGAGATCGTGTATTGGTAAGGATTTTGCGAGGGCTGAGTTGAGATGTGCGGTTGCGGGCGTGGTGGGGAGGTTTCAGTTTGAGATGCAGGATCCGAAGCAGGAGATTCATATTGCGGGCGCGGTTACGACGAAGCCTGTTGAGGGGATGAATTTGAAGATGTGGAGGGTTGAAGGGTGGTGAATTGGATTAAGAGGTGGAAGGTAGGGTAGGGTAGGGCAAGATTCTGGCGTTTTGGTATGGGTATAATATGGCTATGGCTTGATATCTTTATGAATACCGTTGTAAATCTTTCTGTTCTTGATGTATAAAGTGACGACTCTTATTCAATATGCAAGTCCTTGCTCGTAATAGGACATTTTCTCATGGAAACTCTCTCTCATTCATCTCGAGCCCGTAAGCAGATTGATCTCCCATCAATAATCATTGGTCTCTTCCTCGTCAGTTTCTCCTTCGTCAGTCTCTTCTAGTTTAGGCCGAATAAGCAGAGAGACCATGTAAGGTAGACCCCGCTGCTCCGCCTCAAGCTTCACACCGAGTTTTCTTGACTCAACGGTGTGCTCCTCATCGTATGGATCGCGCTCTAACAAGAAGAATATTATCCGACCCAACCAGTACCCTTGCAAGAACTCCATGATGGGAACGCCCATCCCGTCAAATTTGTCGTTGAATTTGGCCACGAGGCTCTCGAGATCCTCCAGTCCCAGTCTTTCTTCGTCCAGAATTTCTTCCACTTCCGCTCTATCTCTTTCTTGAAGCTTGGCCATATGCCTGAACTCGCCCCCTCTTCGACGCAACAGACGTGTCTCAAGCCTAGTGCGTCAAATGTGAAGAATCTAATGACCGCCCGATACACAGTCGGGTTGTCTCCAGCCCATAGGATGAATGTCGTGACCATTTCACGAAGCCAGAAGTCAGGGTCCTAGCGCCTCTTTAAAAACATTCCCAAAGAAATTGAAGTCATAGCTTGGCGGAGCAACAAAGATATAGCGCTACATCCGCTGGGGGAACATGCGCAGACACATCCATCTCCGGCAGAGGGGATGATGGCACTGGTTTCTTCACACCTGAGAAGCATGTCTTTCCAATTCCACCATTCTTTCTCAAAGGATATATATGGTCTCAAGGCCCTGTTCACCAAGAAACCAGGAAGATTATAAGTAAGGTGATGCGCAATGGTTGAGCTTGTCCTGGGTACCGGTCGATTCGGATCTGCAGATTTTGAGATCAACCAGCTGACTTGATCTATCCCTTCCCGGACATCTAGTCCATCCCTAATATCATGGAACGCACTTCCATGAACCATCAAGGGTGAAATCCCGTTCAGATCCAAGTCATTGATTCCTCTAAATCCGCAGTCGTAGATCCCTTGCAGCGTTTTGGGAGGAAACCAAGCATAATGATAAACGCACTGCCAGTGACCATTATGTGGAGTTTGTAACGATGTATCGATAGATATTTGTTGTTCCTTAAGCGCTGAGTGTATTTGCGTCGTCCAGACGTCAAATATGAAAGGTATCTCGGCATCTGTATCGATGTCCCTGATAAGACCGGGCAGCTTTTCTGGTGGCAAAAACGATTTGGCGAAGTCCCACAACCCTTTTAATCTTGTGATTAACTCGTGTATCAAGAGAGATCTCATGGCATCGCCGTTCTCGATCTCATCACATCTTCTAATCTGATAGAAGTCGAAGCCGCACCCAGCCTGGAGCAGAAGCTTCACAGACTGATAGGTGCTCCCAGATTCGGTGTCTTCCACGAATTTGATCTTACAGGTATGAGCATCGGCACCGGCTTGTAACAGGATCTGTAACCCTCTTGGCCATCCAAAAGCCAGATCAAGTAGGGAACACTCGCCGACCCGATCATTCACGACAGAAGGCTTGGCTTTGATAGCTGCTTTGAGATCATCCTCGGATTCTTGTAAAATGACCTTGACAATGTCTGGGATAGCAGCATCTGTCGTAACAATAATAGAGATAAGAATAAGCCCCGGGTCATGCCAAAAGAGTAAAATGCTGAGTGAGATTGGTGCATACCATCATGGTACCGGCAAACAAACCACCGGAGTCCTTCTTTGTCCTTTAACGATTTGGGAGGTTGGATGCTACACTCATAGATATCAACCAGATAGTCCAAAATCTCCTACTCGCCCATCCATAGATGAGCATATTCAAGTATCCGAGACAAGCCCGAGCTGCCGGAAGTTTCACCTGAGCCCGCACCACATTCAATCAAGAAACGAAGTGACCTAGTTGAGCAAAGCGAGTGATACATTGGTATAGTCTTGAAGGTATACTACAATAATTAGCCATGCCTCGGGACGGTGGATAATCTCACGTACATCCATAATTGAAAAGCATCCTGCCTCGCCAGGCAATGCATATACATCAGAAGGTGTTGCCTCCCCTTGATGGAATATCTCTTGAAATTCTGCAATGGCGGCATTGAATTCACATTCCACGTCTTGGGGAGATTGGGGGTAGAAAAGCCGGCAGTTCAACGAGTTCAAAATTGTCACCACGCGGCTGGAACTTGCATCCCGCAGGAACCGTAGATTTAAACACGGGGCGATTGAAAGCCCAGCTGAACCCATAGTCACTGATATTGTGAAATTGATTGCCAGACTCAACATGCGAACTGAATGAGAATAGGACTTGGTCGTGGCTTTGCGCTGCCCCTTGAAATTGGGATGTGTGCGAAGTTGGTAGATAGAGCCGGTTGAGCTCAAGTTCTTGTGAACAACCTGTGGCTCAGTCACAACGGCAACCTGACTGTTATGGGCTTGCCACGACTTTTGTAAGCTTAACGATGGCACTAGTTGTTTTTGGATATCTTGTATGCTCGAATTCTGAGAGTCTTGAATCAGTATCATTCAAGGTACCCTACATGCGGACGGACGTACCATGTCATGTATGTTACGAGCGGCTGCCTGCTGCATGCTGATCAAGGTTTGTGCGTGTTGGATTGAGAGTCTAATTTCATGTCAGTTTAAAAATTTAAAAATATGAGTGATAATAACAGCGGGCTTACGCATGAAGAATGGTATGCAAACTCAGCTGTAAGCTATCCAAGTCACTCGACATGTCGCGCAAGCTGTTCTTGCGAAAGGGATATATCGCCTTCTTGAAATGAACACGAATAGCGGCCATATCACCAGATCCTCGAGATGCAAACTGATCTATCGCTTGATTTAGTCTCTTGATAACTCGCTCAATATGTCGCAGCTTCTCTTCAACATCCTTGGAGATAGCGGCGTCTGCTGCTGTGGAGCTCGCTAGAAGCCCACGTAGCACTTCCAAAGGAACGCGAAGCCCATCGGCCTTTTGGGAAAAGGTGCGAATGTCGTCGTCGAATCCTTTCCATGCTTGGCAATAAGAGACAATCTCGCCACAGACCTGGATACCAAGCGAAACGACACCTACGGCCGTGCCGGTCAAAGATATGGGATCGGTCATTATTATAATGCTAGATAGAGAATCAGGAGTCTGAAAGCCTTCCATATGCCGATCGAGTAGGACGTTAAAAGCCAGGTGATAATGGCTGTGCAATAGGTTAGCGCCTTGTTGATCGTGGCTCCAATCATTATGCTCCACACCTTGGCACCCTGGGCGGCTCTTCAGCTCGTGCCTTCGAGGACAGAGATTGCCCGACTTATTGCTTCTCCAATTGTTCTGAATCAAAGAAAATACTCTTAGTAGTAGCTGAAGTAACTATTCTAGTTTGCATGTCAGGAATAGGCCTTGGGGGAATCTGATCAACTTAGCAGACAACAAGGCAAGACTTTGGTATGGCACAAAAGCCGAATCCTCTCTACAAGAACCGATGTTCGGATCACCCAAAGTATTCTTTAGCTATGAATTGAGCTATCATTAAAGCTTCATTAACTAAGTTCAATCCGAAGAGTTTAAATCCTATATAAATTATCCTCGTCCTAGACCTCCATCATACATCATCTGGCTAATGCCACTTCGGTCCACGGGCCTGCAGAATCATGGTCGGAATAACACTAACAGCCACCATCAGAGCCGCAGCGATGCCCGCACCACCACCCCAACCAACAGTCTCAAACATCTGGGGAAACCTTTTCAAAAAGTCAGTATAATTCACTTGGTCAAAATGGAAAGAGGCCAAGCTCACCAGAAGGGTCCGATGAATCCCCAAGTCTGTCGCACAAACGTAATGAACACACCCACACTCGCCGCATCCGCGCGGTAACAATCCACGGCGTACGTGATATTAATAGTAGTAACAATCTGATTACCACCTGCGGCGATAGCCGCGCCCACAATAGGCGTGATGTTCCACTTATCGCCGGCCTTGCCCAGTTGCACCGCAAACACAACAACACCAACAATAGTCAGCACATGTCCGATATAGCTCAGCCACAGACGGTACTCAGCCGCCGGCGGAGCACCAATTTTCTTCTGTCGCAGTGCCATCCATCGGTCACTGATCAGGCCACCAATCTGCTCACCGATCACCGAGCCGACAATCACGCCGATGAACTGCATACCGACTTGCTGGGTGTTGAAGCCGAATTGCTCTGGGAAGACTTGCGGGATCTCGATGGTAAGCGCGATGCTACCCCAGAGGAAGATCATGGCGTAGGCGCAGGCTGGGATGAACACGCAGGGCTTGGTGACGTAGGTCAGGGGTTGGACGAAGTCCCAAATACGGAGGGGTGCTGGGTCGATGCGGCGGAACTTGAAGATGCTTTCTTTGGCGCTGGTGATTTGGCTGGGGGCGTTCTCGTTGCGGAGGTAGAGGGATTCCGAGCCGAAGAAGAAGTACAAAATGAATTGTACGCCGTTGACCTAGAGTCGAGGATTGGAGTTAGAGTGAGATTATTTCTGTGATGGATGGTATTAGGATACTCACGATAGCCAGGACCCAGTAGATCCAGCGATATCCAACACGCATGACCATGAACCCAAACAGGAACGGAGCAACTGGCACACCAATCGTCACCATCAGCGTCCAGTAACCCATGCATCGAGCACGATCCTTCTTGAAGAAGGTCTCCGCGACAACGGCACTTCCCATAGCGGCCGCGGGACTGATGAAGAAGGCCGTGATGGCACGGCACAATCCCATGGTTCCATAGGAGTGACTGTTGGCACAGCCAATGTTTCCGACCAGCGCACAGATCAGCGAGATCAGGAAGATAGGCCGGCGGCCGAACCGGTTGCACAGTGGGCGCCAGAAGAGAGGCGCACCACCGAGCACGGCGATGAAGAGGGAGACCAGGTAGCTAGTGCGCTGCATGCTAACACCTAGATCGGCCGAGATGTTGACAAAGGCAGATTGGATAGAGGCTGCAGTGAAGAGACCGATCATGGCGTGGAAGACGACCAGCGTTAGGTTGACGGTTTTCTATTTGGATGGCATGTTAGCATCAGTAATGTTGTTTGACTTTGGTGTTGTTGAGCTAATAGGGGTGATGCTATTTACCCTCCATGTCGGCCAGTTATACGGGTCTGCATCGTTCATGTCTGGTATCGGATCCAAATCCAGCGTGCCATGACGGGCGAGCAGATACTGGCGATGTTCCTCGGAGAGATGGGCGACTCGGTCCTCGACATAGAATGCCTCATGCTTGCCAGACTCAACAGCCCCAGGGCTAACATCAGCTTCCTTTGCATGTACCCCCTCGACATGCTGGGAGTTGCTATCCATCTTCTCCATGGCTGTCCTGGACAAACACAAGTAGAAGATAGAACAAGTATAAAAAGAGGTTCCCCGGACAAGAGAAGGCCGAAATGTACAAGTAAGAAAGGTCCGACGCCGAATGGAAAAGGGAGATTATGGGGTCTGCGTGACCATCCTTATATACAGGCCCCCCTGTACAGGGCTGCTTTTCTATGCGAAGTCCGGGGTTTCGCAATTCATCGGAGATACTCACTGCATCTGGCTCTGGGGGCGGGGACAGGGAGAAAGGCCCATGTTTCCAAAGTCTCCACCCCCAGACGCAGAACCTGGAGAACTAGAGCCCAGGAGGGAAATCTGTTGTAGCTCTGCTGGACTCGTGATGTGATTGGCCAGGTTAGGCCATGGCCGGATATGATTTTTGCCCGGGCGAGTCTGGATTGTGTGGGGATTGTGGGGTGTGGAGAGTGTTGGGATGTAGCAAGACCAATCATCGCGGGGAGAAGATCATCTGGTCGTTCGAGACGGGGTGTACGATTATCTCAATGACAGGTAGATACCCCAGACCCCGCCATGTGAATAAGTGTTCCAATGGATTCTTCGTGGAGAAAAAGTTGTTTTGGTAGACGAGCTCACCAAAAACTCTCCTCCTTTCTCCCGACCGGGCGCATAATGCTTGTTCCCGCTTGGCGGCTGGGCGCGGTTGGTGGCGTCTTTAGCCATTCACAAGCCAAGGATCAAGCATAATAATACAGGGAGAAATGAATAAGATTCTCTTGTGATGCTCCGTAGCGAACAGGGTTCATGGGTGTCGCGTAAGATGAGATCCGCTGGCACTAGTACTCTATCAGAGTCTACGCAATTTACGCGTCTTGGCCCCGAGCCAGCTGAGGTGGCCAAAGCTTCGTTGGGCCGTGGGGAGCAGCCCACCGGGAAGACAAATTGAGGTCTAGAGGCTGTCGTGGATTTGATCTGTTATTATCCGCTTTGTCGCGTGCATTCATATTATCTATGGCCAGTCAGGCTACTCGCTTGCAATGCCCTTGTACTTTTGCAGTCCCCGTTTGATATTGTGGGGATATCCACATACATACAGAGCGAGTACGAGGTATACTCTATGGCTACGAAAAATCCATCATATCTATGTTTCACTAGATGCTACTGCTATTACTCCCTCATGGGTTTCTGCAATTTACTATTTTCCACAACATACAACTCATCCACCACATCATCCAGCTCGTGCTTCGATTCCTCCTACGCCGAGCTAGTGCAGTTCACACCAATATCCCCCTGAATTCCATCGCAGATAACCACCGGTGGGCTACCCGCAGGGCTGGTCAAATTGATGCGCGATAGGTGGATTCCCGAGCACACCGCGTTGGGGGAGCAGGTCAAATCAACAACCTCCTTGCCATTCTTGCCCGAAGACGTGCCATAGATGTTGTCAAAGACAATGTTGGTGATGTTGACCGCAGACGGGTATGCTGCACACTCGGTCGCATTGATGTCAAAGTAGCACTGGTCCAGGACCACGGGCATGTCAGTGTTCTCGATGTGGATGTTGCGGTAGGTGATGTTGTTGATGCGTCCGTAGCCGACGTCCTGGCCGGCCCAAGCCTTGAGGCGAGCACCATTCTGGATCGGTGAGTCAGATATCTTGTCTATGGGGACTAGGTTCATGTCCGGGCTTTCAGAATCTTGATCATGCTTACCTGGCCGTTAAGAAGGGTTACATTTTCGATGTACGCATGCTCGATAATATCCTCCACACCCGAGTACTGTCCGATGCTGCCCATGCTAACACCGTGGGTGTTGTTGCACCACAGATTCTGCACAAAGATGTTGGATGTGTTGGGCTTGGGCGAGAAGCAATCGTCTCCAATATCAACACGGGTGTTAGTGACGCTGAGTCCATTCACGTTGAGCGTGTCAAAGCCGTCAGTGTTCTTCGGCAGAGCCTGGAGAATTCCGGTCAGTTAACATGCATATCTATCTTATCGGAGACAATTACGGAGGCATTGGTTGAGAACGCATTGATGAACACGTTGTCGAAGGAGACATCATTGGTGCGCACGAAGAAGTTGGTCCAGCACGGCGAGTTCAGCTGCGTGATGCCCTCCACGCTGACGCGAGTTGCATTGTCGGTCAAGAACAGAATTGGTCGATAGAAGGTATTGTTTGAGTCCTGGAAAACAGTTAGTATCAGGCCAGATGGATTCAGGTTATACCACAGACTATTGTCGTACCAGAATCTCTCGTCCGGCAAACGCATTGTACCATGCCTGACCGTTACCATTCAGGGTACCATGACCAAAGATCTTGATGTCCTTTCCACCCCAGACCCAAAAGGTGATGGACTTTTGGAACGAGTAGTAGAAGTTGTTTGCTTGCCAGTAGTCGATGTCGTCGGTGAACTAGGCGTGTCAGACGTTGAATTGAGACTATCTCAGAATGTGCTGCTTACCTTAATCTCACCCTCCAATTGGACCTCGACGTTATCCAGGAAGCTCAAATCGAGCTTCTTGCCAATTACATATGTCTTGCCCTTCTTCAGCAGCAGACGGCCGCCATGATTGGCGTGCTTGATACCCCAGAGGAAATCCTCGGATATGTCATCTTTGTCATTCTTCGATGGCCGAATTGTGACAGTCCGACGGTCTGGGTACTTTTGTCCATGGGCTCCAACGTGTCGCAGTGAGGACTTGTCATGGACAGGGATGATTTGGGCACCTTGAGGTATCCGACCCGTTGAAGCAGCGGTGACTGCGCCGACAAGCAACGCGCCAAGGGCGAGGAATTTCATTTTGAGTGGCACAAAGCACCCTTCCAATGAAAATAGCCGAAATATCCAATCGCAATGACCAATTCACCTTCAGCAGATTGTACTTTGAAATTGACCCTTTTCTCAATCGTCACAGTGCCATCTCTCATCCATTTGTACTCTGCTCCCCCAGCTTCGCCCGCCTGGGTCAGCATTGGCACGCGGGGAAGCAAATTGCATTTCTCCGCCTGTAAAAATGCACAATGGCTTGAGCAACATGAGAGTTTTGATGGGGAACGATCAACAAGAGCATATCGCAGCATTGCGCTCAGTCTTTTGCAGCACAGCTCGGCATGGGCGGATTTCTCCGCACTCTGCCAAGCACCAGGCCGCGGGGATGCGGAGAGGTCTAATTTTGTATGTTAAGAGGGACACTTTATTAAAGAGCTTGGTCTTGTGGCCGGGCGGTAATCTGCCGTCTTGGAAGTGGTGATTTGCGCATGCTGGAAATAGGTTGTTCCACCAATCAAGGCTGGTGTGCGGAATTGATGAGGGTCGGTGTGTCAAGTATAGCCTCAATTACTGATGACGATCTTGACGATCTTGTAGATTTGTCGGTCACTAATTAATGTGTAATCATTAAATATGGTAGTCATGAAGAAACCACCCAATCAAGTCTTACGCTCAAGCCCTAGGTGCGAAGCACAGGCTGCTAAATGACGAAGTTTATACATCTCTTAGCGACTTCGCCGTACACACATCAGGCTAAAAACACAGACTAGGACATTTCTAGATATGTTGAAATTCCCAACACCAGAAGATCAATCCAAATAGAAATTCTAGACCACATAGCGGAATCCAACAGCAATCTGGGCAGGAGTCGGGCCATTTCGCCCCATATCAAGGCCACGCTCGAGTTTATGATTCTGGCGCTGCAAGTAGACTCGGGTGACTGTTGCTAATATAATAGCCAAGATAGAAGCAGCTAAGTTGACCAAGAATGCAGCAAGATATCGTGGTGAAGAGTAATAAAGGTAGGATGCCCAGACTATGATTATAATATCAGCATGAGACACAAGCTCGAGAAATTGCATTAAACACACCATTTGGCGTGTTACAGATTGCATTGATTATAGCAATAGCTGATGCACGCTTGATCGATGGCTGTGATAGTGTGCCTGCTACCCATGATAGAAGAACGATGGCTGCCGAATAAAACGATCCTGGCATCAACATCATGGCAACGTCTATGGTCGTGACCAGTTACCATCAATGAAAAACGATTTGAATCAAAAATGGAACTTACAGCGTGCCGCGGTGTTCAGCGTCGAGACGGCTATAATGTTAGCCGCGAGACAGATGACCATTGGGCATACAATGTGCCAGTAGCGTTCTTGTTTCTGTTACCTCGTTAGATGAGTTGAGTGGCGTCTTTCAATCACATACCTTGTCAGAATGGAAACCGTTCAGAATCATAGTAAACACGCAGAGCATATATGGTGGCTGCAAAAGATTTCGAATAAGCAATTGAACCGCTTCTATCACAGACTGGGAGCTACTAACAGCGGTCAGGCCGTAGGTTTTATTTCGGGAGTATCCGAGGGTGGCCACCACTGAGGGAAAGAAATTGGTCACAGCTCCCGCGATATAGATCTGTTTCTGTCAGTCTCGCTATCACAAGCCACAAGAATTGCCATTTGGTCACATACACAGTAAAGTGTGCCCATGAAGAACCATGTCTTGGGGTCCGTTATGGCCATCATGACGCCCTTTTGCACGCTGGCTTCGTCAGCATTATCTTGCTGGCCGTTGTCCTCTTCAAAACTCCATAACAGATACTCGTGCTCAAGCGAGCTAAGCCCACTGACAGACTTCAACGAGTTCGGCAAAATGAATGCAAGGAGGATTGCTAGACCAACGGTTGCAACACCCTCAATCAGAAAAAGCTATATTCAACGTAAAGCTTAGTGGTAGCTGGAGATTTCGGATTTAAGAAATTTGCTCACCCATCGCCAGCCCTCCAGGCCATGCTTTCCATCCAATTTCAAGATTGCGACAGCAAACAAACCACCAAAGGCGTTGCCAATCTGAGAACCCGAATACAGAATAGCTGTCCGCATCGCATACTGTTTTTTGGTATAGAACAATGACATGTAGAAAAGCGCTCCGGGGAAGAATACTGCTTCCACAAATCCGAGGAAGAAACGAGAAGCCATGAGGCCTGAGGGATTGTGGACAGCAGCTGTGCAGGCAGATAGAACACCCCAGAGGGCCATGGAAAAACAGATGTAGACACCAGGAAATCTGATTTTTCCCACAATGAGATTCGATGGGACTTGCATGAGGACTAGAGGTGGAATGGTTAGTTATGGGTCATCTCAGAAGGAATTAGATAAGGGAACGTACTATAGCCTACAAACAAGATGCTGACGCATGTTTGATACTGCACGGCTGTCATGTTCAAGTCTTGGTCGATCTGGGCCAATTTAGCCGCAGCAATATTCTGTCGGTCCAGGTAGTTCATGATATACATCAACACCATGCACGGCATAATCCGGAGATCCAGCTTCAAGGTCGCACGTCGTCTAATCTTGGCAATTTCAATCTCAGATAGAACGGCCAACGAGGGTGGCATAACTTGTGGGTCACTAGCTGATTTGCCTTCTTCATCAACAACATCCTCAACCTCCTTCGGTGGGTTGTCTTCTTTGTTAGCCATAACAATGACTGCTGAATATCCAGATTGCAGAGGGACGGTTTTTAGTGCACGGTCTAAGACCTGGGGCCGGGGAAGTGGGAAGTGCCATCTATATGCTGTTGTGCCCCCACGTCTGGCACTCGGAGAGTTTTCTTCTCAGGCCCATGTCTTCTGTCCAGAATAGAAGTTCCGAGTGAGCGGGGAACATGCGTAGACGTTCCTGGTGCATATCTGGACAAGTTCTGATCCTAGTCCAGCAAGATCAGCCAGTCAAGTTCAAGATCAAATCAGGTAGGATATTTGCGGGGGTGCCAAGGCTGGGGATATGCCAGCGAGGCGTGGGGGCGCTCACCAATCCACGAGTCAGTCCCCACGACAGCCTTATGAAACTCGGACTTTGCCCGATCGGAGCTTCGAGGTTCATAGGAAATGGTCTTACCTTCGGAGTACAGAAGAACTTAGACATGAGTGTTTGCGGGATGTCACTTGAGGAGCAACTACTGTAAAAAGAAGTCTCATTGTCCATTGGTCCCAGATGGAGATCCAGTTGAAAGAGAACGCAAGCTCAGCGGTGAACGAAGCAATGATCCTTGCTCACAGGGGTTTGGATGTCGCTAGTCAAAAAATCCACCGTGGCCAAGAGTGCTTCCTTTCATGTGTAAGTGGGTCAATTGCAGGACTTTCAAGATACAGTAGGTGGAAGTTGTCCGATGATGCTGTTCCCCACGCTCCTGCCCGTGGGAGGTGTCTCCTGTATGGAGCCCAGCTCAGGCTACTCGGGGCAACAGTGTGGGGGTTACAGGTTCTTCCGTTTCTTATCAATCTTCTGCATGTCAAGCCGGGGATGTTGCGAAGTAAGTACATTCTCGTCTACACAAGGGATACACGCTCTTTAGATGGCCAACTGGTAAATATACCATCAAGGAGTTATATATACTCTCAACGTCCAATTATTGAATAAAATTAGATTGCAAGGCACAGGTGGGTAATAGCTTAAGGGAATATAGGCTGCCTCTCAACAATCCAGCCGGAGGCAGTCGAGATACATATTCCATTACACCACTTGAATGGATATTCTTCCTCAACGACATCGTTGGGGTTTAGTCACGAAGCACACCGTAAAGTCGTTCTTTTAGATGCATTCCATTGGGTATCAACGGTATATATACAGATCGTTAATGCTTCCACGAGGCCGGGTCGATTATAGCTTCTTAGCCGCCGCAATTATTCCAGTGACGCAACTTATGTTGCCAGCCCACCAGGCCGCAGAGCGAAGATAGCTCAAAGATGGGGTTTCAATATATGAGTAGCAGTGACTCAATGCGACACGCGAAACCGTATACCACACACCAAATATGTTCACAGTCTCACTTGGAACTCCGGCGTACACTGCAATCAGGGCTGGTTCATATTAGGACAAGTAGAAACATTATCTCAGCGAGCAGATACACTTACTGGCTGCTACAAAAAACCGGAAAATTCTCAATGGCATTTGCATGCGCCGCATCCTCGCGCTTGAGTCTGTTGAGAGTACTTCAGCTAAGTTTTCCAGACTTCACTGCGGCCTCACCAAGGGTTTCCAAGCCTTCGTGCGGTGCCACATTGTTGTCAATGCCTAAGTAGACCTTTTTTAAAGCGAGTGCTCATCCAGACATATGTGACGAACCAGTTAGCCAAAAGTAGGCCAGCAGCATGATTTGGGGCCTGCCCCCCGGTGCAACGCGCAATCCAAGTGTTGTCACCAACGACCTGTTGAATTAGCAAAACACCTCCCTAATTCTAGGGTACCATATATAATAAGTACGACATGACTTCCAAGTTAAACATTCACTAGTAAGCCCCTCATTAAATACCATTTCAGGGGCGGCCCCTACTACAGTTTAAGTATGTGCACGTTTGCACCAGAACTGCGGGCAACGCGATCGTCGGGTCAAGTGCATGTGGGTTCTGGTTGGCCGAGGATGGTAAACTCGGTTCTACAGTAGCAGCCAAGTCTCGTTTGGGGAAAGTCGAGGTGTGCCGTAGGACTTGGCTATGCACTCGATCGAGGCGATCTCGATCGTGCAACTTCTGTGCTATGGAGATATTACCCGGTAACAGCTCGGGGATAGCGTGTCGGCTTAATGACGAAACGAATGGTTGGATGGTGTCAATAAAGCCTGAGCTACAAGCACGAACGGCTTATTATTGATTTAAATGCACATTTAACTGTCATCAAACCGGTTCTAAGTTGCGAGACGCGCAAATCCTGTGCATCTAACATTCAATCTTTGCATTAAAGGTTTTACGTAATCGGGGCCATCTTTTCATACTACCGTACGTACAGTGAAAAGTCAAACTATTTCCCTAGCAGTGGCCTGCTCAAGTTGATGCGATGACCCCTTTGTTGAGCTTCGTGCTAGAGAACAAGTGTCTCGGTCCTGGTCGCTGGATCGCAAAATCATCGTTACAGTGTCTAACTCTCCTTGGTGACGACTGCCGAGCTCCGACCCCCCGGTGTGATTAGAGATGCAGGAAAAACGATTGTTTACTGTGACGTGGTGGGCTTGCCGGTTCACGACGCTGTTATTGGGGATGGGCTCATTTTCCGAAAGCAGTAAAATCTCCACAGGGTGATCGTAGATAACGGGGACCCGTAGCCACTTGTAGATACCGTTCAGCACCGGGATTGAAAGTCCGTGAACGACAATTGAGAAGAAGACTAGCCAGTAAACCACTGTAGAGACTTGCATCAGTAGATTCATGCCAAGGAGTTGGTTCAAGTCTTACCTGGAATCATAGCCGCCGTTAGATAGTTAATCTCAGCATCACTTTCACCAGGATCAGGAAGTAATCGACGAGCATATTCGACATAGCAAATCGCCCCAATGCCTTGGGAAAACAGTGAGCTAACATTCAAAAACTTTTACGCGGCTTGGACTCACCTATCGGAGCGAAGTACCCCATGAACAGAGCTTCCTTCCAATCACTGCAAACCTTGGGCATGAACCGATATCCAAGCATTATAGCAGGGATTCGTCGAAATAATACAATCAGGATTCCCAATGAGACCAATCTTGCGACTGTAATTCCAGTAACATGAGGCATATGGAGCTGATCCCATGGCATGACAGCTCCAAGAAAGACGAACGTGCCAAAATTCAAAACCGTCTCAATTGACGAGTTGAAAGAATCATGTCGTGCCTCAATCTCGGAGTGGTACGAGCCATCCCAGTTCAGTGCACATCCAGCAATAAAGCAAGCAAGGGTTTCATCGGTTCCGAAGCAGCCACAAGTGCCAACGATGAATAGCTAATCAAGTGTCAGCAATTTTTATTGACGGCAGGAACAGATATGAAGCAACGCAATTTCACTTACCCCAAGAGCAACTGGAAATAATACAAAACTCTCCCTATCGATCCACCTTCTACGCCACGTGTTAATGCATCTGCCATCTGAGCAGGTAGGAACGAGATTCTTACCTCTTGGAAGCCAGATTCAAGCCTTTCCGACCGACGAATCCAACGAAAAGACCATACCCCGAGCCCATCATAATCATGTACAGAACTCCTTCCACAGCCCAATGCGCCAAGGCGCGACCGACATCTCCACCAAACCGACCAGTATCGGTCTCTCCGATCCAATCACGTCTCATCGGCCCCGTGCCGTTATTTGGAGCTTCATCGTATCGTAGTAATGCAATTGAGAGCAGAAGGAAAGGAAATCCAAATCCATCATTTCCACCTGCTTCGGCCGAAATAAATTCTCGAAGCTGCCGTCGAACATACTTGTCGGCAAAGGGGCCCTTTGCGATCGCTTGAGATAAAACCGGGTCTATACAGATGACACAGGATCCAATGATACAGGCTGTCAACTATACGCCAGCTTGTTAGCGATCTGTCTTCGTGAGGAATTGATGTGCGGAGAAGCCATACAAAAGATAAGTGGGGTATCATCAACTTGATGCATGCTGAAGTAGCCAGCCATTGTATCGCCATCAAGGGGAGTAGACAAATTGTCAGCTCAACCAGCCGTCGACGTAGGTATCGCTTGGGCAGTTCATAGCCAACTTTGATCATTTGAATTCCAAGGACAAGGCGTGCCAGTGCCTATAGCTGTTAGATCGCGGGTCGTCCGGTTTAATGGACCTTTGACGAGACATACATAAGCAATGCCTCCGATATCTTCCCCGTCACCACCATTGCTCCATCGGCTCATGTTTATTAGATTTGTGGTAAACGGGCCTAGAAGAGCCCCGAAAATGAACGAAGGCACTGCTGACCGTTAGATGCGATCAGATGAACCGAGTGAAATACATACATGCTTCCCCAAGGTACCATCTCTGTTTTATTTTCAACGAGATGAACCCAAAACCAAGCAAGAATATACCTATTCGAAGTCAGTATATTGATTACTCGAATCCAAGATGTTCATGCCTAACCAGAGAATGTGATAGCGACATTGAAACTGCTGATGTCAAGGATTGGATGAAGCATCCTGTCTCGCAAGTAGCGAGGTATCAGTGCCGCATGTGAAGCAAACCTTTCAATCGCAGGACTCCAAATCAGATATAGTCGAATCGAAGAGTGGCCCCTTCACGCAAAGACAACAATGAGACCTGACAGCAATTGTTGGAGTCCGGAGCTCGGGCCCGTCAGGTCAGTATCGGGATAGATTGTGCAAATGCCAGTATGATTCAACTCCGACCCGAAGGAATGCGCGCCCTTCTTGGGAACCCGTTGAGAAAGTCTCCTGCCATGATAAGATGGCACAACAGCTTAGCTGTAGATATCCCTTCCTGCAGGGGTATTCAGCTTCTGACGTATCATAGATAACAGTTGGGGCAAACCTCGGCACAATGCATTTAGGTATAGCTACACCCTATTTTTAGCTATAATTGAAAGGACATGATTTTGGTTCGGGAAGCGTGTAACATCACGAAAGAAGATCTAGTTCATAATTAGATCGATAATAAAAGAGGGGCTGTGCACCGAGGCGAGGAAATATGCAAGTACAGTAGCGAATCTACCTCAGTGCAAGGTCCAGGCTTGCAACAAACATGCAGCCCAGCTGGAACTGCAATGATTACGTCCCCGGCCAGCCACTATAGCCCTGTTTCCGTAGGATCGGCTGCGCCTACGAAGCTTGGTACAATTTTTCTCCACTTATCCTTGCGCAGTCCACCATAAACGAACATATCACAGCGCACAAAAGGAGTAGTTCATGCCTGCCGACCCGCAGTATGCACGGATCGGCGCTGCCGCTGGCCTTATCACCCCTACCAACAATCCAGGGCCAGAATGTTCTGTCTGTATCAAGGGATGATGGCTACTGTATGAAGGCGTGGGTAATTGATTCGAATTCTTCATTTTGCCATTCGTTTTTTGCTTGACCTGTAGAACTAATGACGGCGCCAAGTCGATGCCAATGTTTTCTGGAAACATTGGCGCTGGGGTGAACGATCGTTTTAACTGCTGATCCAAGACATGCTAATGGCGTTAACATTTGACATTGCTACATCGATTACGATTTCAAGTCAAGAATACCAGTGGGCTCGAAATGGGCTTTCACTGCCTTTCATTACATGACTTACTCGATCCAACCGCATTCTCAGTCAGAGTCCAATCAAATCCCTCATGCTCGTCACGTCAATCCAAGTTCTATCAGTGATTTAGAAAACAGGAAATATTTATTTCATAATGTGTACACATATCAGACTTCATTATTGTGAGAAGCAGAGATTATTTGGGTATCAATATAGAGGAGATTATTCATAAAAAAGAATTCTTTTCCCTACCCTCCCTTGCCCTGCCCTTCGCCAATGGCCATTTGGTTGCATTTCCTCATCAAATCTGTGGCAGGTCTGCAAAAAGATTGTTGTCCCAGAGCTCTGCTCCACTGGTATCCAATCCCTCAAACCAACCTCCCAAATCAAGCGGCTACAATAGTCAGCATGACCATCCCCAATTCAAATAAAAATGTAGAACTTACCGCAAAATCACTAAAGTCCGCAGACAACAAAGAAGGGAAATCAAAATCAATAGAAGAAACAGAAAGAGGAGTCGTCTCTATCGGACCATCCAGAGAAATAGCAGGCTGATAATTCCACATAAGCAAAGCAGCTTCATAAGAAGAAGAGAATGGATATCTCACCTGTGGAGGCGGTCGGTCCGCACTCGCCAACGCCTCGTCATACGAGAGGCCGCTCACGATGCCTCGACCAACACGAACAGCTCGTTTGGATGCTGCCTCGATCATATGGAAGGGATCTTCTCCCTTAATGCGAGACTTGACTGATGCTAGAATCAGACCCAGGAAAAAGTATGGCTTTGTTCCTTTTCCAGTGCCACATCCCACTCTTCGTCCAAAGTCATCCAGGGCACGCTCAACTGCTTGCAGCATCACGTTTTGCTGCGATTGAACCATGCTGAGTAGCACACTCGTGTGCATGCATTCCATCGCTGGACCGGATGATTGACTCATCTCTTGGGCTTGGAGGGATAGCTCTACACAAACCGTAATAGCTGCGTGGAAAGTTTCGTCGCAGAACATCCCACTTCCGAGTTGCGTTATATGTGGGTATAGTATCGGGTCGGCAGGGGTGGGAAGCTCCATCTGCGATAGAATCTCAAGAGATTTTTCAAGGCAGACTTTCCGCGAGTAGGAGCATTTCGGGAGTCGCACGACGCTCAGACAGAAAGGGCGGTGGAGGGCAAGTAAGAACTTGCGCATTATGAAGAGATGTAGAGACTGAGCAAATCGATGTCGAGCCGCGTCAGAGGGATTAATTCCCGATGCATTGTCATCGAAAAGATCAGACGCAGTTTTCATTGATCGAAACATGTCCTCGCTCATTCGCAGCGTCTCATCATATGATAAGTCGAAACGTAACGTATTGATCTTTTTGGCGATGCGATATCGAAGCTCCAATGTCTTTGAAAGTAGGCATTGGTAGAAGTTACGCGTGTATCGTGCGGTGCTCAGAGGGGCTGGGTTGTTCTCCATGTTCTCGTATAATTCGGAGTCATCCCAATTGGATGGGGGATCGCAGTCACACTCATCCAGGTCCACTGACGGGGGAACCCCACGATCAAGAGAAATCTTGAGATCGATCTCCACAATCGTGGTCCACAGTCGACGTCGAAGCTCCGACCAAAATGGAGTGGTCGATTTACGGAACCGTGTCGGATCACGGTGCAGTCCCATTGTCATCGCAGATCGAATGAGGGAGCCCGAGGAAGCCCAGGCAACGTCGCCATCGCTAGCAATAGCAAGTCGAGCGACTAGAAGAAGAGTCTGTGTCTGGATCATCTTGAAGTCAATATCAGGGCTCACAAAATTGCAAGAAATGTATGACTGGACTGCCATGATCCACTTCATTGCTGGCTTTTGATAAGTGTCCCGCTCATCTCGTTCTGGAGATTGCGAATAGAATCGGCTGCCTGCAGCCATGACTGCCAGTAGCTGGGCAACAAAGGCCATATCTGGCTTTTGGGGGTTAGCCCAGTAGTCGGCGTATTGTTTGAGAAAGCTTGGGACATGCAGAATTCGAAAGGTGGTCTCGAATGTGTCCAGATATAGCTGAAGCAGCCGGTCTGCAACGGTTCGCGATGGCACCATCACGTCGAGTTTGAAAGCCTGCTCTCGAAAAGCTCGCTGGTGCTCCTGACTTTCACGCGACCACATCTCGAACTTGAACTTTTTCATGTCGCAATATTCTTTGTCCTTGACAGTCTTGTGGCTGCGCCGCATGAATGTGCCGATATCTTGGAACTATAACTTGGGTCAGCAGTTTACTCATGTATTAAAAATGTGTCTTGGTTGTAAACTTACAAATGATACCGTCGTGCTATAGTGGCTGCGGCCGAAATATCTGGTCTTGCCTTTTTTGCCTCGGAAGCTGCAGTCGGGCAGGAACCGTACCCGGTCATCGACGCCAGCACCTTCAACGCTGTTTTGAGAGGTAGTCACCTCAGAGAAGGTGTCATAAATGGAGGTTTCTGGTGTTTGAATGGCAGTCCCAGGCTTTGCCAATGCACGCTCCAACGTGCGCAATCGCTGTCGGAGCTCATGGAGCTCGTCTTGATGGCCACGCTTGGAGACACGAGTTGAAGTTGATTTGGGACCCATTTTCGAGTCAAAAACAAACATGCCACCCGTACTTCCTGGTTGCTCGTCCTGGCCGTTGGGTAGTCGCATGCGGGAAACTGGGGGCGACATGCGTTGTGAAGATCCCGATGTCTCTCCCGGCTGAGGGCCAACAAAGACACAGGAATCCGCTGTTTTTGAGCGGACACATTGTCCACATGGAAGGGAGCGGTCGCACTTTAGCTTGCGTCGTCGACATTCAGTGCAAGATAGTGGGGGGCGACGTCGCCTCTGAATCACTCTCCCCGACTCGGCGGCGTCTTCTTGAAGCATGTAATCTTGATGATCACCCATTTTGGTAGTTTTCGTTTCCTATGAAGATATCCTCTTGTCAAGAGAAGCGAAGATGCATCCTTTCGTGCAAGAATACATATAAGTTGCTCCTTGACTCGCGTAGAGCCTTGCTGATGCAATCTCGCAGTAATGACCGTTTTGGGAGTACCACGGGCGACTTTGTGTAGTGATGCTCTGATTATCAGCCACGAAAACCCAATAGCAGCATTTCAATGACCAGAAGTTGTCTGAAATTGTGTCGAAGAGGGCGAAAGTGCGACTTTCTATGCAACGCGTGCTGGAGTTAAGGCAAGAAGAGAAGTTCTCCGTGCTCGGAGTTACTCTTTTCGGCATAAATGCCAAGCCCCGAAGTCGTGGACGCCTGATTGATAAGCCTTTTGGCGTCGGATAAATCGACTGACTCACAACGAAAGCCTCGTAAAAGTGGAGTGGTCATGATGGAAGGTGACCTGCATATGGCCTTTATCTGATTCTGCTGGTCTGCTTCATTCGCTCGTTTGGACCACTGGTGTCCGTTCGGACATGGATAGTGGCGGAGGCGTGGTCTAATGCCGCGGGGAATCCGCGGGCACTCCGTGTGTAGATATCGGTGTGGAGAATAAGAAACTAAGTACGACATGGAGCTGGTTCAATATGATTTTGCATATGTACGGAGTATTCTCCATGCATTTGTGGGATAGATTGCTCTCTTGAGATAGACTCTCAACTTTTAGTATCGTGTTCCCACTATGTCTTGAGCTCGCCTCAAGATTACAATTATTACCACAAGGCTACCTAGTTCATCGCTCTATAGTAGTGGTCACAACTCCTATCCATATCTAATACGGTACCACTGCTAGAAGATTTCCACTCGACCCAAACCACCATGAAAGGCCTCGAAAACCACTCTTGCGGGATTCTAGGCAGAAGCTTCAGCATAAGCTCACGCCTTTCACGCTAAGCACGTGTTAGGCACTAAGTGCGAAGCCAATCCAGCCACCATCAGTACCCAGTCACCATGCGATTCTGTTTCTCTAATCTTTTTGGTGCACATCCCAACCAGCACCCGGCTAATATTGGAGAGACGAATCTTGGTCCATTCCAATGTCACCTGGCTTGCCTTTCAGCAAGGAGACCTTCAACTCCAGCCATGAGCTTGACCCCGCATCGCGTCTCTTACCAGCCTCCTCTCTGACATCTCAACATCTTCTCATTCGCCCAACAGAGGACATTCAGAGCTTCTTGAAGAAAGATCTATGTGTAGACAGGCTTAACCATATCCACCAATACCTATGGCTGGCTGGCCGACCGATGCCTCCCAAGCCCCTGAATTTTCAAATAGCAACATCCCGTGATATTGTTGCCGACCACAGAATTGATATGCACCTGGTATGGGAACATCCTCAACGCCTCCATCTCAAGCCACTACCACGGTATATCCTGGATGCTGAATTTTGGGCTGCAAATTTGATGACCTGTGAAGGGCCATGTTGTACGCAAGCACGACGAAACCACATCTCGCCAGACCCAGTCACCACATGTACCAAAGACATCTACAAGTGCGCGCTTGGATTCCTTTACTCTTATATCTCCTTGGTTCGATTTGAATGTGATCTAGCTATCGCCCATGAGCATCACCTCGTTCCGAAGGATGTGACCTGGGAGAAATGGCTTCGTTTTGTCCACCAACTCCTAGATAAAGGAGCCACTAATCCGAGTAACGTCAACCTCCGATATCTCTATGGCGAGTTGAGGCTGTCACAACTCAACAAGATCTATGCATTTCGCTATGCGAGTCCTTTACGAGGCTATCAGTTTACTTATCAGACATACGGAGAGCTATTTCGCGATTATCTCGGCCCCCTAACTGCTGGAACCATCTACATCGCTCTTGTGTTGACAGCGATGCAAGTTGGACTGGCTACTAGCCATCTGGGTGAAAATGCATCCTTTCAGAATGCATCATGGGGGTTCACAATTTTTGCAATACTGGGCCCATTGATTGGGGTTCTACTAGCGGGCATTGTGGGCGTATTCCAGTTCTGCACTAATCTTGTTGTGACCAAAAGGCTCACACAAAGGCAATTTGCGTTATACGAAGATCAAAAAGTTCAGAACCAGGTGCCTTGACAATGGTGTAATCAAGAGTCCAAGGTTAAGGCGAAGGGTGACGTGTGAGGCATATTTCTACCAATATTCCTTTGACCGACGCATGAGCCTTTGTACATCCACCAACCTAGCGTCCATAATCAACGATACATGAACCTTACATATGCTTCCCTACCATGATAAAGACGCAAATCTGAAAGAAGGATATCTTATTCTGACCTTTGTCTAAATAAGAATCCTCCACCTCGCTGTAATCAGCGACACTTTCCTATCCTCCCGATCTCCGGGTAATGAACAGCCCATATGTTCACCCATCTCTCATATCTCATCTCAAGCCACCGTAGACAATCACTGAAAAGACGGCCCTGGATAAGTTTGATCAAAGGGCAAATCAAACTCTCGAGAGACATCAATACGGATGCGCTGATTCTCACCGATAGGAATCACCATGTGCGAGACATGGGAAGAATTCAGTGCAGGGGCATGATTCTCAAGAGCCTGAGGGTTGACGGTACCCTCTGGAATGGGCATGATGTTTGTCGAGCATTCAGAAAATCCGGGGCTGGGCTGGGCAGTGTCCCATAGAGAAACATTCACCTGGGCTCCTGCGTTGGGTCCAGGGTACTCTTGAGTAGCAAGAGTAGCCAAGTATCCGGGGCTGGTTTGGGCATACCATGGAACTTCCTCGCTCTGATCTCCGGCCATGATGTCGAAGGCGCGCTTATTTGTAGGCGTGATTGGGTTGGCCTGAGGTTCCATTTTGTCAAGGAAAAGGTCCCAATTCTTTCCCGCAACCCGTTCTAGAGTTCGGTTGTGGGTAGGAGACGATACACCTTGCTGGTTGTAAACTGGAGTGGTGTGCGGCGCATAGGGAACAGCATATTGCGAGGCACCAGAGCCAGCCATGGGGATCGCTGGACGTTGCAGGCCTCTAACTGGAGTCGAGTGCGGTGCATTTGGAACTGGATATGGCGAGACACCGGAGCCAGGAGTTTCTGTCGACGCAGTTTGCTGACCTCTGAATGGAGTTGAGAACGGGTCTTCGAGAGCAGTGAAAGGCGAGACAATGAAACCTCCGGTCTGCACTGACCTGTTCTGATTTGGAACAGCCAGAGGGGCGTAGCGGGGGCGGTTCGAAACACATTCAATCTCAGTGTCATGCAGAAGCTTCTGCAGTAGGTCCACGGATCGAGCAGCCAGCAGGAACCGCTCCCGGGTGTATTCAACGCTTTTCGCATCGTATTGACCGTTGATATCGTACCTGATCTTCATTTCCCAAGCGAAGATACCTTCCAGGCCCTTCAAGAATTTCTCTCGTCCCGGGACATCATCAACACCGTTGCGGTCCCATGTCGGCACAGTGTAGATTGATTGTGCCATACGGTTGACTTGGACCTGACGCAGCGAGCGGCGGTAGGGCTCAGCTCGCATGGTGTTATAATCAGGCCAGTTCCATTCCTCATTCAGCCGGTGTTTCTTGGCGAGATACTTGAAGGCAGTGCGCTCGAAGATCTCCATGTTGGCCACCCTGAACTCGGAGAACAGATCGGTGTTGCGGTTCTCATGACAGTCTCGCTCAATGAAGGTAACAACATCAGGGCACACCTCGCTCATCGGCTCACCCATGACGTTCAACTCCCGAACTTCCCATTGAGGATTACCCAGCTCGTCGAAGGTGAAGAAAACCAGGCGGCGGTAGCGCATGATGACTTCGGTCGTTGCAGGAGACGGTGCAAACTCAGAATCAGGAATGAAGGTCCCTACCGGAATGCCATACTCGACGTAGCTGGCGAGGTCAGAGGTGTAGACCTCGTCTGCCACATCTTTGATGGACATCGGAGTAGTCATGGTCGAGGTTTATCAAGACACAGATGGCCAAAGCGAAGGGGTTATGAGACAAAAGCGGTTTGAGGTAGGATGTAGGAAGTGAAAAGATTCCGAGTCACGCCGACGAGGGAGGAAACACCGGCCGCATCGTGAAGCAGGATAGACCAAGCCGCAATGGACGAGGCTGTGGCGGCTGGTGATGCTTTCCACACGCATCAAACGCATCAAACGGACAAGCCACATCACTGGGGTGACTTGAATCCCATATTTTGTGAATGTTAATACAGAAATTGGGTAGAAATACAGCTGGAGGGTTGTTTGGAATGCGATTCTGAATGACTATACGGGCTAATGGGCCTCGTTGTATAGGATATGTGGCTAGTGTAGAAGCCAGAGTCATGGTATGTGTGATGTGACAAGCTTCATCTCCCAGGAGTCAAAAGGCAATTCATTTTCACTCATTCAGTCTCCCTTTTCAGCAATCTTGGTGCAACAAGCGGGCTACCAGCCAGTATCTTTGAGAAGTCATGAGCATCCAAGCAGGCCTGGCGAGAATTAAGGAAGCTGGGCTCAACCCGGGCAAAGATATCATGCTGGTAAGCATCAAGTAACTTTGATAATGTGTCAGAGTTGAAAGAACTATTTCCTTTGTTAGAAAATATCGACTTTTCTTCTTTCTTTGGCAAGCCTTCTTACGCGGGGTTCTTCATGTCCACATTGTTGATCAAATCTTGGACGTCGACGATGGCGTTGTTGGCTCCCTCGCCTCTGACTGTTGCGTTCGGTAAGCGTCAAAGTGCTGTTGGGGATATCTTATATGCCTTCGACTTACACATGGTCATAGTATGAGCTGAATCACCCATCAGTACTGCACGAGGGTGGTTATGAGTATGGTTGGGACTAAACATCCAGTCTTCAATACGAATAGAGCGTGCTTCCGTATCCTCTGGAAGTTTCTGGATCAAAGAGCGGAATGGCTCAGCCCAGTTGTCGGTAAGTCTCTTCATGAGGGCAATACGATCGGCATTCTCCTTGGGCACGGCGATGTCTTTCTCATCAGCCCACGACACAATAATCTGAACATGGTACCGGTCCTTGCTGCTTTCGTCAAAGTTGTTCGGGGTGTCGAGGACTGCTAATGTGTTAGAACTGATGATGCAAGATCTTCGTTGCTGCAACAACATACAACTAAAGAAGAGAAACACATTCGTATCAGGATGTGACCCCTGGAAGATGTACGGGTCGATGGACTGAACTCCGCCCATTTCCTCGGTCGTGTACAATGTTGACGCTCCAAGAAGCTGCACGGGCAGTGAGTTCATCTGACACCCATCTGGATACAAGATCTGACGGGCACGCGATCGAGCGCCGTCAGAAGCGACCAAGAGCCGGCCAGTACAGGATGAGCCATCCTCAAAATGAGCCGTGATACTGTCCTCAGAGGACTCAATGCTCTGCAATGTCTTATTCCACTGGGGTACTATCAGTATCCAATATCGCTAAATATTTATCAAACCAATCAGCATGTAACCATACCTGGACGTCAATTCCAGAAGTAAGAAGCTCTCGCAGCCGACCGCGATTCACCCGAATACGCTCTTCGGCAGGTACACTATACAGTGCCTCTCCAGACTTAAGGTTGAAAAATTGGAAGCTCCCCACGTCCCCGCGCGCAGAGGCCTCTTTGTTCACAAAGGTATCCGGGAAACGCTCCACCAGATTTTGCGGGAGCAGTGCGCGCAGAGCAGGCAATGCCCAATGCAGAGTCAGACCCCATCCACCCGTGCGAGCATCCAGAGCGGAGTCGCGATCGAAGATCTCAAACTGTATTCCTTGACTCTGGAGATACTGAGCCAAAACGAGGCCGCTGATGCCAGCACCGACGATCAGGACTGGGGCGTCAGACATGGCGGGCAGGGTGCAACGAGGGGAAGCTTGGATCTTGGGTCAGGATCGCCCGTGGCTTTTTCACTGGGTTTACCGAGCAATACAACCTCGTATCTGATTCTGGTGACCGAAATCCGGGCGAATGAATGTGAGACGGGGCTTTTAGAACTTTCTATCTTGGGCTCGTTTGTTCTTCGGCAGTGAGTCGCGGGTCGGGTAATAGTAACAGGGGTGTAGAATAGTAACAGGGATACTCCTGCGCCGAGAAGTTTCTTACGGCGTGTCTCGGAATAATTATCGACCAGGGTTGAAAGATGCACTCGATGGTCTGCAAAATACTTTTTGGCGCGTCAGATCGTTTTCTTCTTTGCTGCAGGAAGAATAAGCACTGGAATGTCGAGGGGATCGTACAGTAGTACTAAATTTGTTTGGTTCGAAGGATTCGGATGCACTTGGCGAGTCCAGAGAAGCTCTGGCGCCTAATTATTACAATGATACCTTGTTCCTCCACAATGAGGCTAGCTTGACCAGCTTCGGGGATAGTCAGCTTAAACGACATTATCGCACAGTATTAATTGTCCTAACTAGTGCATATAGTATGTCTCAATCGAGGGCCACAGGCTACGGTCTGGCCAAAATTCACATTCCGACGCGGTCGCCAATGTAAGCTTCTTACGAAACGTCGTTTCCACCAATCGAGTAAGCTACAGAGAGGGCTTTAATTCAGACACCAACACAAGTCCAAGTTCTATCCTTTCCACTTAAGATTTCCCGATTTGAGTTCTGATGAGAGAGAAAACAAACCTCGTCGCAAACCGTTCATGCTCAATCAGCATCAGACTCCGCCTCCCTGAAACCCACACGGCCCGAAGCAACTAAGATCGACCCCATCTTTTCGACGGCGCCAACCCAATTTCCAGCTTGTCCAGTCATCGCCCATCGCATATCAACTGCGCAGTCTGCGCTGTTAGAGGATCTCCCGGACCCACCCGAGCGCACCCTCACCGGAGCTGGACACCTGAACGAGAGTTTGGCGTGGCGCGATACCCTTGTCTAGCGTGATGAAGGATTCTACAATGTCTGCATGGAAATGCAACAGAGTTTTGTGAGGGAATAATAATCCCTGCCTGGAGAAATCTTCTGTGGATTTGTTGGACCACTGAGCTGGTTTGCCTATTCATTTTTTCATTCCGGAAAAGTCAAGGGGAGGGTATCCTCCGAGCTCCGAGGGTTTGGCCAGATATACTTCCTTGGTCAATGAAAATATACTCTCTTGTTACCACAAGCCCTTTTCCAAACGCCACGCCGATGGGATCGAATTGCACCAGAGCATCAAATGGGTTGGAAAGAAAGAAAAAAAAATACATGCTTGCAAGACGACAATATTCACTGAAATAGAAAAACGCACAATTATATACCTCAATTTTAACACCATATACTGGTAAAGGGCCATTCAGCGCTCTAAATGACTTCCAACTATATACACAGGATCACCTCGGAGTCTTCTCCGACTCGTTTTCTAACGACACGGAATACTCCACCGTCATCTCAATTCCACCGTGGGATGGCTCGCGGCTGGACAGAATGAGTTCCTCGCTGGGTGACCGCCGCGGCACAGGCGGCCCGGACGCGTTTGACTGAAGATGCGAGCGCTGATCCTTGGACCACGTCTCCATCGCGTAGCTTCGGCCTTGGGTATCGTAATACTTCCGACCACTGGTTGATCGGAAGTCCCGCACAAAGCCTCGAAGTAACGGAGCCAGATAGGGAACACAAGTCACAATATTCTATAGAAATTTTTGCGTTAGTCAGAAATTGGCCCGATTAGGTTCGGCGGGTTTGCATTTTTGCATCTGGTGGTGCTCGCGGAGAATCGCTTGGAACTACTTACTCCGATATTGAATTCAATAGTTCCCCAGAGAACCAGCATTGTAGAGTTTCCGTCTCCAAAGGCTACTCGGTGGATCTGGGTAAGCCGGAGGATGGAGCAGATTGTCGTAAATAGGCCGAGCAGGAACAGGCACACGACACCAGCTTTTTGGGCGGGCTTGATGCTTAGGCGGAGGAGCAGTGGAATTGGGAGAAATATGATCACAACATCGCAGATGATGGTGAAGATGGCGAGACCGTAGAATGTAGGACCAACAGGAAGACACTGGCCGACCACTTTGAAGTCCCATGCTCGTTTAACCTATTCGTTTCAGTGTCGTGTTAGTTTGTGGTTTTACAAGCCCAAATATCTCGTCTCTTACCGGCGAGCAATTGAAAATTAGGACCAGAGCGCCTGCTAAGTGCCCAGCCGTGCATAGCCCGATAACTATCCAAATAAGTATCCGGTAAAGGTTCATCGAAGTACCCGAGATGAGGCGCAGGTAGCTGAGGCAAAGAGAGGCTTTGAATCCGGCGATACCGAGCTGGTAGAATGGGCGACCTGCATAATTGAGCTTGTTTGGTTAGCCCAAGCGCAGCACGCAAAGAATGGATCAAGTCTACTTACTTTGGTATACGTAGCGAGATCAGGCTTTGGCCGCAGTAGAAGCGGTAATCCGAGTCCATATCGACTTTCTAATGGCAGAGTCAGAATGATGCTTCACAAGACATGGAGCATGCAATACTCACGAGCAATGCACAAGGCACTGTAGATAATACTAAAGATCTGGATCGAAGAAACTGTTAGACATCCCTGCATCATGCATCGTATATTGCCATTGTGTCGCATTCGGAATTCGCCTACCATGCTAGCGACCATCACATAGTCCGCTGGACCCAGTCGACTGGCTTGTACCCGCACGTACAACCGCAGGCAGACCGTAATAATCATCAAGACCGTTAGACTCACGCAGACGCCCAGAATCACCGGGTACTGCGATGCTGCCTCGACCTCAGGCGAGGCATTGTACACCCAACCCATCGTCGCGGGGAGTTGTCAAAAGCGACAATAGTCAGGACGACAGGGAAGGCTTAGAACATGGGTAACAGATGCAAGATTCCACGTGGAAAATCCCCCCTGCTGCATTAATAGTCTGTGTGTTTGTTCCGGTCAAGAGTTTGTATAAATTGACCCATGTTACACAGTAAGACAGAGTGGATATGAGAATTGTGTGTGAAGAAAAGTCAATAATCGCCTTGCGGCCACCGATTCTTCCAAGGTTAAGGAGACCAATGCTTTTCTTGGATCATGTCTCATCCATTGGACCCGTTGTCGGATCTATGGAAATAACCAATTAACTAGACAGAGGGATTGACTAAAGTTCTCCTAGTTTCTTCTCCCCCTTGCGGGCGAGCGAAATTTGTCACCCCAACCATGCCAGGTGGCTGGCCACTCGTACTCCCGATCAGACATATCGCGGCAGTCCCCGGTTCTGGAATATGCCCGGCCAGCTCCTCATATCCGAGATGAACCTGCTGGATCCTTCCTAGTGGCCGCGAATGAATCGGGACTTGGGTCAAAGTGCAACGAACTTAGCACGACTACTGCATCGATGGTACCGCCGAACCGTAATTCCTTACTACTCCCGCACTCGGACGAGGCCTCACCGAGCGATGTGACTCAATCCCCGGAAGGATTCCATCAGGGCTTTTCTTATCTAGAAGCGGATTGCATTAATATACTTGGCGAGTATTGTACTTGCGTGGTTTATCTTGGCTAATTGGTTGGCTGAGTGGGCTGGTTTCACGCATTGTTGTTGCGCATTAAATGCACGTTGCAGCCACGCTATTTCCACATCGCCCCCAAATCGGCCTCTCCTTCTATCTTGGCTTTAGTGTGTTTTTAAATCATTATTTATTTTCTTTTAACTTTGGGATTGTCGTCGTATTTCTGTTTCTTGAGGTCTTTGGCTTCGGTGTCTTTTGTTCTCCTTTTTCTCTTTCTTCTCTTTGTTCCCGACAAGAGCTTATTGTCCTGTCGAGATGGGTGAGAAGCAAGCCGACGCTGTGCCCCATATGGCGAGCGCTGATCGACATGATGATGCCGTCGTGTATCTCGAGGGCCACAGTGATGTACAACCCGACGTGGATCTGGTGGCTCTGCGCCGCAAGATCGATCGGCGGTTGCTGCCCTACATGTTCTGCTGTTACGTCCTGCAATTCCTGGACAAGGTTATGCTGAATGTAAGTGTCTCGCAGTTTCTCCAGCCCTGAACCAATGTACCTTGTTACGGTTTAGCTGTTGTTAACATGGTACCCTTGCTCCTTTTATAGTATGCTGCAGTTATGGGAATCAAGAAAGACCTCAAGCTGGTTGGCAATGAGTTCTCCAACACGGCGACCTGGTTCTTTATCGCGTACCTGATTGCTGAGGTCCCCAATGGTTTGTGTCACCCCCTTCCCCTGGCAAGGGATTAATACTCCTGCATCCTCGGCAACTACCAAGAAACTAACACTGCTTATAGTCTACTGTCTCCAAAAAGTCCCCGCTGCCAAATGGCTAGGAGGAAACGTCTTTCTCTGGGGTGTCGCCGCGGCTGCCTCCGCTGGTGCCAGCGATTACCGTAGTCTGCTGGTCGCCCGAATCTTCCTTGGTATCTTTGAGGCAACCGTAGGCCCGTCATTGATGCTGTTGAGCAGCCAGTATTATACACGCAGTGAACAAGCCCCCCGGTTTACCTTCTGGTACATGGGTCTAGGTGTTGCACAGATCTTGGGTGGTATTATCTCTTTCGCGTTCCAGCATGTTCACCATGCGTCTCTGGAGGGATGGCGCATTATGTTCCTCGTTCTGGGTCTGATTACTGCCATCGTGGGCACCTTGACCTTCTTCTTTATTCCGGATACCCCCATCAAGGCCAAATGGCTGTCGGAGGACGAGAAGGTCGCTCTATTGCAACACGTCGGCGAGAATCAAACTGGTGTGTGGAGTACCACTTTAAACCTGAAGCAAATCAAGGACGCCGTCTTCGATGTCCAGCTCTGGCTCTTGACCTTGACGACTATTCTGGTAAGCCCTCGTTTCTATGTCAAGTTTATAGACACTAAAGCTAATCCCTTTCCAGATCTCCGTATCAAGCGGGGTCGTAACCACGTATTCAGCGACCCTGGTCGCAGGCTTCGGCTTCTCAGGTCCTATCTCCGCCCTCCTCAACACCCCGTCTGGTATTGTGAGCATCTTCTTCACTCTCCTCGTCGGCTTCGGTATCCGCAAGACTTCGCACCGCTGGGCTTGGAACGTTCTCTGCACCATTCCAGGCATTATCGGTGGCGGCTTGCTCTCCTTCCTACCCAAGCACAATAAGGCTGGCGTGTTAATTGGTATTTATCTCGTCAACGCAATCGTTGCCACGCTTCCCATTCTCTACCAATGGACTATGGCCAACTGCGCCGGTCATACTAAACGTGCCTTTGCCAGCGCCCTCGTCGCCGGATCTTTCTCCATTGGCAATATCATCGGTCCTCAGACCTTCCAGGCTCGTGATGCTCCGGAGTACAGACCTGCCAAGATTGCGGTTCTCGCAACCCAGGCTGGCGCTGCTGTGATGTCAGTCGTGCTCTTTTTGTATTATATGTGGCAGAACCGTCGCCGTGATCAGACCAAAGGCCCAGTTAATGAGACTATGGTTGATGAGACCAAGTGGGCGGGCCTCACTGATCGGGAGAATCCTTACTTCCGTTATGCGTACTAAGCGCACGTCGTGGGAATTGGACTGCCGGTTTTGGCTGTCACGCGTTGATATGACAGTTGATGTATTGAAATACTAATGATCTATTGTTCCTATTGTCACCATAGCTTGAATCCAAAAGTATATTCGTGAAGATGCTGGCTTGTTCATTAGACAATAAGACTGATGGTTTCTGAGAATCGACAAATCAAAATTTTTGTGCACGCTTCCAAATGCTCCATGTTATATCCAAGTGTTATATACAACGCATTCGAAAAATATTCACTTCGACTGCCAGAATGGTTTCATGACAGATCGAACATACACGAGCAAATACACCATTAAGTAATTGGAGATTGTGAAAGCAAGGAAAATTCCAAAGTAAGGCCAGATCTTGGAATCATCCAGCCCAATTCCAGACAAGTAGTCATCACCCCAACTGTATGGGCAGTATCCACAAGTTCCGGTGCTGTTCTCGTTGGATAAATATCCCACACCTTGTGCTGAAAGCCACGGACCAGCGTACTCGCCGCAGGTCATGTTCGGTGGGCTCTCGAAGAAAGTCAACTCGCTCTCACTACAGATCACAGGCGTGCCACCGAGGACGGCTGTTAGTACACCGCCAATCCAGTAAGTGAAAGGTGTGGCATAGTACATGGTGTACTTCCAGAAAGCGGGCATCTGGTCATGGTGTCGAAGGATGCCGTTGAACAGCTCGCACATGATGATGAAGAACGGCATCAGAGTCGCGGCGATCATGGAATCGGAGCTAGGGATATTGTTAGTTTCAAGCATTCAGAGTGAGTAGGAGAGTGCTTACCTCAAAGCTGCAATCCATTGCCCCCAGGATGTGGCGAAAAGGAAAAACATGAAGAACATTAGGAAACTATACCCGGCCGCAAAGCCTAGGGGTAGTCCGACCATGAAGTAATACAAAGCGTAGAAGATGACGCCACCAATAACGGTATACGGAATCTCTGAGACGATCTGCGCAGTACTGAATGCAATCCAGTTATACACTCCACTGGGCCCTTCTCTTGCCAGCCAGATATCGCGGTTCATGATGAATCTCATAGAGATCGCGTTGATGAACTCGGGTACCAGCATTAAGACCAAGAAGCAAGAGAAAGCCTTGGATTGTAGATCAGTTGCGCTGTTCCCGATTTGGAGATAAGTCAGCCCGTTGATAAGGGCATGCAAGAATGAGGAATAAAGTCGTGAGTATGGGTACTCAGCTGTTCTCCAGAATTGCCGACATGTTCGCTGAGTGAGAAGGACTATCTGCTGATATAATGGTGGCAGACGTGGAGCGACCAGGGGTTCAGGGTTCTTGCTGGAGCGGATTTTGGAGATTTCCTTCTTGACATCTTCAGCTTCCTCTGAGTTGCGCCAGATCGACGCCCAATCGACGTTGTCTCCAGACGGCTTCATACCACCGACAACCACCTCGATGAGGAAATCGGCAGCATTAGTGACGTTTTGCAGAACGTGGCCGTTTTTCATGAAGTAGTCAAAGATCGCTGCTCCAGATTCACCGACAGGTCCGAAATAATAGGTTTTTCCCCCAGGGCTTAAGGCTAGGACACGATCGAACTCTTCAAACTGCTGCTGATTTGCCTGGTGAATCGTACACAGCACAGCTAGCCCCTGGTCTGCCAATCGCCGCAACAAAGCTACTATGCTAGTCGCACCTTGACTATCCAGTCCGCTGGTTGGCTCGTCCAAGAAGAGCAGCAGCTTGGGCCGGGCGCATAGTTCCACACCAATCGTGACACGCTTCTTCTTTTCGATGTCCAGAGACCCAATGACCGCATTTTGCAACTCGACTAGGTCTAGTGTGTGCAGCACGGTTTCCACGTAGGCCATTTTCTCTTCCTTTGGTGTGCCATGGCTTTGTCGAAGCAAGGCCGAAAATTCAAATGCTTCCCGGATAGTGCTGCTTTCGTCGTGAATGTCCATTTGCTGGCAATATCCAATCTGACGATTGAAGGAACCATCGATGGGTTGGCCATCGACATACAGGGACCCTGTTAAGACACCAGCACTTTGTCGTTGTGTGAGGGCAGTCAGCACTAGATATCATGTGTTGTTAGCGGTCTTTTCCTAGATTACATCTACCGCATAGACTTACACGTCGACTTTCCAGCTCCAGATGCACCAACAAGGGCTGTCAGAGACCCTGGTCTGCAATACCCACACACTCCGTCCAGCAAATTCCGAGTCTCCTTTCCGATTTGCACATTCAGTTCCAAATCTGCCCAAGTGAATGTGGATTCTGTTGCCGCCAAGGACTGTTGAGGACCATTTCCCGCGAAACCGGCTGGGGCTGCACGTGGGTCCGCTGACACAGGCGTCTTCTCTTCATCCTGCCCAGTCGACTTATCTCGCTTGAACCAGCTATGTGTAGGCTTGTACTGGATGGGGCCCGCGCTATCCAACTCCCACTCCATGGCCTCACTCAGCCAGCAAGTAAGGCCAATGAAGACTACGGTGAAAAGGCAGAGGATCCCTATATATCTCGTTAACAAGTTCTTCAAGTAATACTTTTTTTGTTTTTAGAGGCGGAGATAAACTTACCAAAGTTGCGCCAGACATGACTATAATAGAACCCGAATTGCGCCGCTAGATAGTCGTCACCATTGACCACAATGCTCCCGACCTTACTCCCGGCATATGCACAGGATTGGTATGCAACATCGGTGTAGTTAGAGCCCGATGGGACAATCGAAGACGTAGCACAGGTGAAATTCATATTATGAAACTCAGCAGCCATGACAGATTCGTAAGTGTATAGCGCAGGTGTCGTATACTGGTCAAATGGTTAGAGTACTATTGCATGTCCATCGGTCAGCGCTAACTTACTGCTAGCCATCCGACCCACGGAACATCCTGAATCATCTTGTCTACCGATAGGACATATCCACCAAAAACGATGCAAAATAGCACAGATACACCACAGTATCGTAATGCGACTTCGAAGTTGCCAGACATGGCAGCGAAGACACGGAATTGAGATGTCAGGCAGACTGTGCACGTGTAGATGAACAGAAAATCAATGAAAAACGGACCCGCCTATTTGATGTTAGCATGCCTTCATGATACAGCGGTAAATGCTAGTAGCGTACCTCAGAGCGTAGTCCAGACAGGAAGTACAGCACGATGAGATACAAAAATGTCAAGACAAAAGTCACCAGCATATCTTGCATCACTCGAGCGAGACAAACTGCACTGGGCCGTACAAACGCAAACTTCTTCTGCCGACTGAGGATATCACGACCATGCATGGCATCTTCTAGCTCTGACATTTGCAGCCATGCGAGTAGGATAGAAGAGTAGAATAGGACGCCACCCCGTGAATACATCCCATCAGTAGTCTGGGGCTGATTGTAGAACATCGAGCCAACCAAGAGACCATATACCACGGCGGAAATCAGCTTAATGTACAAGGGTCCCATGTGACCCTTTAACTGCCATAGTTGACGCTGAGAACAAAGTACGACCTGACGGAACAAGGAGATGGTGTAGGGAGATTTGGGCGATACGAAGCGAGATTTATCGCTTTGCATAGTCCGCTTGAACTCTTCCACGCTACCGCACTCCGAGTCGGTTGGGTATGTTGAGCCACCCTTGCCTCCGAATCGCTTATCTTCGTATTGCTCGATCGACCTTTCGACATTCTTGAAAGCCTGGCTTTGTCGGAATGCAGCTTCAAGCTCGATGGGCCCTTTGGGGGCCCGGTTCTCCCAGCCAGGTCGGAAGCTCCGTCGCTCAGGAACCGTGATGCTAGTCAGAAAATCGGATGTAGTCTGCATCTCGGTACACTCGTATCCCAAGTCCTCAAAGTACTGCTTGGCCTCTTTAGCTGGGCCCTGGAAGAGCATGCGGCCTTCGTCTATCAGCAGAACTTTGTCCATTAGCTCGTATATAGCATCTGATGCTTGATAAAGTGTGAGCAGAGTGGCCTTTCCGCAGGTGTCGGTCATAATTCGTAAGCTGCGCGCATAGTCTAGAGCAGACGAAGCGTCGAGACCACGGGTGGAGTTATCCCAACAAGTCACAGATGAGTCGGTTGCCAAAGACTCGATGATCGAGATTCGTTTACGTTCACCACCAGAAACACCTCTGATATACTCATTGCCCACGAGTGTGTTCATTGTGTGGGTCATGCCAAACACTCGCCCGTAAATCTCCAGGTATTTTGGGATCCGATCCTTGTAGCGTTTGGGAGTCTTGCTTTGCAGCGCGAATTCCAGCGTCTGGCGTACATTGAGCGTAGGAAAATGCACGTCATCCTCAGGAACATAGGCGACTGCGCTGCGATAATGCTTTCTGACTTCATCAGGGCACAAGCCTGAATAGTCGATTGAGCCCGTCACACCTAAAAAGGAAGAATGATGACCTGCGATGGTGCGAAGAAAGGTCGAACAGCCAGCTCCAGGACGGCCCAAAACTCTGGCATCAGTTAGCCCTGCAAGCTTGTGATCCTCATAAAAACTTACAGCATCATCTCTCCGCTCTGAACCACGCCGGAGAAATCTCGAATAAGCTGACGACCCTTCTTCGGATCTTTGGTTGATAGCCATGGCTGAACAGTCCATTCATAGATATCCTGGAATGTAAATGAGCGCCAAAGGGCTGTTCCTAGAGTCTTCACATCGGCATGGCCGTCACCTTCCGCCCAAGTTGAGACGGATTGGAAACAAACGCCTAGATTAGAGCGCTTCTTGCCTCCTTGAACTTCTTCTTCGAGAAACTTGTCGAAAGATGAGTGAGGCTCTGTATACTCTTGGACTGTCAGGGTCCGGTGAATATCTGCGATGGCGCTCTCATCCTCTTGACAAACATGCACCCGCGGACCATTATCTCCAGAAGATGGAACTTCCTGGCCGGGGGCAAATGCGGAGCTATGAGGATGGGAGTGAAGAGGCGCGGGCATATCTCGGCCTGGGACGATTGATATTTGAGGTGTTCAATAGGCCCAGATTATACCATACCATCTTTCGGCTATGAGATACTAGGTGAAAGTGGTGGCCGTCGGGAAAGCGGTGTTTAATACGAATTCAACAGCCTCGATTTGACCAGGCCTCAAAAAGGAAGCCAAGTGGTACGCATGACTCTTCAACAGTTCCAGCCAATACAACAACAGGAACAAGCAGGCTGTAAAAAAATTCGGGAGATCTAGTGGACCCATGATGACGGATGGTGAATTTCTCATCGCCTTAGGTTAAAATCGTTGCCAATAAGCGACACAGCTTAGTGAGGGCCATGAGGGCCGGGCCTGAGAGACCCATGCGGCTGCGATTGTTTCCCCAAGTCGGGAAATCATCTCCATTGACCGCGAGAACTTCGAAGCACACTTAATCAAGTCAAACAAGAAAGTGGGCGCGTCCCGCGGCACCGCGGCGCGAGATTTGCAGAATCGGGCAGCCAAGAGGAGAAGATCCACTGGCGAGCCAAACTTCGGTCGAGATAAGCGGGAATGGCGGATCCAAGCCACTGGATCGTGGCAGGCCCGGCGGCGATAGCCATATGGCGGTGGCAAGTCGTGGCCAAAGCGGTGGCTAGCTCGTCAAGCTCTTTTCAGGGCCATGAGTTCACGATGCCATAGGACGATGCGAAGAGCGAGTGTAACTGTTCTGTGGTTACTGATAACAGGTGAGAAGGAATCCAGGCTTCTGCCCAGTGAAAACACAGGTTGTTGTGCTTAATGGAGCAACAGATCAAGCTGAATCATCCTCTTGAGGTCGATCAACGGCGATGCCAAGATATCTGGAGAAGTGGCTTCTCTCGGAGAATTAAAGAACGAAGAGAAACAAAGCGACTGACAACCGTAGTCCTTGCCGATCTTGGAAGCCTCAGGCAGACAACCTGATTCCAGGCCAACAACTATAAATCCTACTGGATCAACATGACAACTATTAAATTTCACATCCCTTATGTTCCTTTGCCACTTGAACCTGGTCTAATCATAAATTAGAAAGAGGAGAAAGCTTCTGAAAGCGACCCTCGTCTCTTCAAATAGCACAATTCCAGTGATTCTGCGCCGTAGACACAGGCATACGGATATTTCCCCAATATTTCTCGCTGAAGCCAACGTCATAGCTACCCTACAATGGAGAATCAGAGGTTCATACCATCCGATCGTGAAATATTAGGCTCTATGTCATATATATGTGTGCCTCAAGGTCATTCACAGAATGTACTAGGTTGATCTGATGACACCAAAGTTATTAGCAACAGCGTCGTTCTTCACAATCTCCCACAAGTCAGAGATCTGCTCTGCCACCTCCTTAGGCAGTGGCCCATCTCTAAGTGCAGCCGCAGTCTGTTTGACTTGGTTCAAGCTGCTAGCTCCAATAACAAGAGCATCACCAAGTCCTGCATCAAGAGCCGAATTGAACGCTACCCATCGATATGCAAGCGCCGCTTTCGGAATACCCGTCGCCTGGGAAATCTCATTCCACTTGTCCAGTGCCTCGAAGAAAGTGGGTTTACCGTATAAAGTGTGATAAAATGATCCCATCGATGACTTCGGATCCCAACGGCCCTCTCCTTTCGCACCAGAAGTTAATTGGGCTGTAGTCTTGGTGAGGAATCCCCCTGCGATGGGACTGTAGGCATAGAATGCAATTCCATGCTCCCGTAGAGTTGGAAGAATATCCCTTTCTAGTTGGCGGGCAACTGCGCTATAGTTTCCTTGATAGACTTTGGGGAGAACGTAGTTTTTCTCGGTCGCAACGCGTATGACGTCTTTGATCTCATCTGCGTTGAGGTTGGACAGCCCAAAGTTGTTGAATTTGCCTGCTCGGTAGAGATCATCGATACCAGCAAGAGTCTCCTCAAGAGGGACCTTGTGGTCGGGTGCATGGAGGTAAAAGTTGTTCACCTGGTGTGGTTAGTATTGCAGAAGCTATAGGTCTAGATTCTATGCTGAACCTTACTTTCTCAACTCCAAGCCTTTCCAGACTAGCAATAGCTCTCTCGAAAATCCCCTTTCTAGTTGAGCTCCCTGGAATCCATCCTTCAGGATGCTTGGTATCAACAAAAAATTCGGACAACCCTTGGCCTTGGCCAATGAGTTTCTCACTGGTACCACCGCCATAGGTCTGAGCGGTGTCAAGGTGATTGATCCCTTCTGATTTAAGGGTCTCGAACAAGCTGGAGACTTCTGCGGTATTTGTGAAGCTTCCATTATCGACAGTGATGCTCGCTCCACCGAATATAAGTACAGGAAAATTGGCTATTGTATGACGATGTTGATTCGAATACTTTGAAGTATTGGTGTCTTGATGCTTGATTATTGAATAAAGTTCCACCCAGGAGAAAACAGTTTATTAAATATTTTTCATACCTCAAAGGGTTGAAATCAGTCCGTGAATCAGTGACTTGTACAGCCTCATCGAGGGCTCTCGAAGAGCCAAGACATTTATAATCAACGATGGCGCATTATCAGCTGCCTCTGCTGAAACTCTGGCTTGTTTTGATTAAGACTAGCTTCCCGTGTTCCTTCTTGGCATTTCTATAAAGTCAGCATTTTGGTTAAACGAGGATTAGGTCTACGTTAGCGACGATACCAACCACTGTCCACTCTGTAGACTACCAAATAGTCAATTCCTGCTATAATACTCGATCGGCTGGATTATCCAATTCGAGAGCGTAAACAAATGTCCATAGACTCAGGGCCAATAAAGGTGGACGTGAAAAGCGGTGAAAGTTGCACCTCGCAGCCGCGGTAGTTCTCAAAGCAACTCTCTCCTTCCACCAACCAACCGGTCCAAGACCAGCAATGACTGTCAACCACCCAACGACCTGACAATGCTCTACAATGCCCTAATACGCACCCACCACATCACCTCGCGCAAGAAAGTCGCTGCCCTCAAACGCGCCGCTGACCTCCACCAATGCTACGTGCTCTTGCGCTCCGGCGGCTGCCCAGGAATCATGTACGTCGAGGGCCGAGACAAAGTAAAGGTTGAGGAGTGGGTGGGCATTGTGCGGAAACTGCGGTATAAGGATTTCCAGCTCGTCACGAGGCCTGGTGCGTTGGAGCTGGAAGATGGTCAGAGCGAGGTGGACGACAAGGAGAGGAAAGAGTTGGATATAGGACTGGCGGAGGTGGAGAGTGTGAAGGACTTTGGGAACTGTATGGAGAAGCGTGGGGTGTGGAAATGGTGGAGGAAGGGCATGGGGTATACTTGATTGTTTGCAGTGATCGCATTTGGAGTTACTTTGCGTTGCATTACTGGAGTCTATCGTCTGCTTGAATTTTTGGGATTCGGTGGCAATAATATACCTATCTAGGTCGCACAAGGTGAAGCTTTCACCTTTATACATATTTTTGAATCATATCACGATTCCGAAGTGGACTACGTTGTAAGAGTCATGAGCTTGGTAGTGTTCCGGAAATGTGCTTAACCCTCGATGTGCCATTATCTGAGAGAATGATGCGGAACCGTGGCTTCCTGTATCAGGCATCAATAAATTGACGACGTTTTCAGAGCCCCTTAAGCTGCAAAGCCTGACCTTCGATTTTCTTCCCTAGACTTCGTCGTATACAGTGAACTGTTGCCAGTTCGCCAAAGTATCTAGCAGCAATAAAAAATTGACGTAGGCAGAAACTCAATTTCTGCTTCATGAGAGTTAAGATCAGATACAGTATCCGAAACTCTCACAATGGTGGAACGCGAACTCAAACATACAGTTATTCTATTGTCCTGGGCGCGTGGGTTGGTTTGCTTCCAAGCTGTGTTCAAATCTATAATTGACCCGAATCTATAAATGATGCAGTCTATATAATAGTGTTACATAAATTGTGTGATGTTGCAAATGTCTTCCGCTGCCTCAATCTCCCAGCACGCCTTGCTAGCGGCCGTGGCTCCTTCACCAAGAACGGGGGGTGCACTGGTCGAGGAACTTGGTCTTCAGCATGGTCTCGTCCAGAGGCACCTCGAGACTGCCAATTGCGTGCTCAATGGTCTTGGTGAAGACTTGGCCGTCTTCAAGCTCCACGGTAACCATTGCCTGGTCGGGCGTCAAAGCCGTGTTGATCTCAGCCGTGATTCGATCCCGAATGGCGATAACCTCGGGATCAAGCACAACTGCATCATCGTACTCGGCGGGCGTAGCCTTTCCAAAGCGAAGACCACAAGCGCCGCTGTGATAAACGCTGAACTTGGCCTCCAGCCCATCCTTGGGGGTCTTCTTGCCTGTGAGTTCCAGCACAAGAGGGTGAACCTTTGCTGTAACCGACTTGATCTTGTGTATATCAAGGTTCTTACTCAAGATCTCACCGTGTAGCTGAGCGCAGGCGTCGATGATTGGGTGGATGACAATACCGCAAGGGAAGGGCTTGAAGCTGTTTCGCAGGATTTCCCAGCGGCCAACACCATTGTTGACGAGGCTAAACTCGCCCTCACCACCAACCCACTTGTCAAGGCTCTGCAGGATGTCTGCCTTTGAAGAGCCGACAACGTTTGCCCATCCACGTTTGGCCTCCAGCGTCGTCTCACTGCTGGTGTAGCCGCCCTGGGCCATGACAGCCGCAAGCAAGCCGCACTGCGCAGCACGGCCGGGGTGGAAGGACTTGGTGTGGGATCCAAACATCTCTCGCAGACCGACCACCTGTGTAGCTGCGAGTCCGATAGCGTGGGCGGTCTCTGACATAGTCAAGCCAAGGATCTTGGAGACGGCCACAGCAGCTCCTATGGACCCGGTGGACGATGTAATATGCCTATATACGCCCCCCAGTTCAGCAAAACAGTCCATCTACCGAGGACGACAAAGGCAGGCTTACCATCCCACATCATAATGTTCTGGCCAAACGGCCAATCCAACCTTACACTCGGCCTCGATGCCGGCCACCAGAGCGGCAATAAAGTCTTGACCGGATACTCCCGTCCTCCATTCCGCAGCAGCAAGCAGAGCGCTTGCGACAGGGCCAGTTGGATGGATGATTGTGTCAAGATGTGTGTCATCATAATCGTGGACATGTGACGCAATGCCGTTTATGAGAGCTGCATGTTGCGCGTCTATCTTCACCTCCCCCTTGTGCCCCAACAGCGTTGAGGTAGAGGCGCCGAAGAATGGTGCCAGAGATTGGCGCTAAACAAATCAGTAAGACAATGCAGGTGGACAGACAGCAGTAATTCCGCCAACATCGAATTAGACATACTGCAATGAGGGTGGCGGCGTGATTGCTGCCACCGATCGTGCAACCAGCCCAGTTGTAGAAGCTCCGCACAGCGGCTCGGACGACGTCGCTTGGAAGGTCAGAGTATTCAAGGGCCTTTGCCCAGCCTGCAAGACGCAGTGTCGCCATTTGATTAGAATGAAGGAATTGAGGACAGAAAGGGTCGATAGACTGAGAAACTTAAAATATTTCAAGGATAAGATAGTTAACATGGAAAAGGAACTGCGAGCTAGAAAGCACTCTCGGCGCCAGTCGGCAGTTCCGACAGAACCAGACATCTTCGGCATCTTCCGACACTTCGGAAATGGAGATGGGAAGCACCGGTGGCTCTGGCGAACCATCTGGAGACATTTCTTCGGGCAGGGAGTCAGGCTAGAACACCTGCCTATTCGTAAGCGACGACAGTCATTGCCACAAGCCCCACAGGCCCCAACGAGTGACCTTTCGGCTTGAACCGATGGTATAGAATGTCGCCCGCGGATATGCCACGGTCTGAAAAGGGAGCGCCCGGCAGTCCCGCCGATACTCGTCCCAAAGTTGGTAACAGATTGGTCCCATGAATTCAAGACTCCGCATCTCCATATGATTACCACGTGAGGTGAGCGAGCAATGCGCAAACGTACAAAGATGTGGTCTTCCCCAATTCTCCTCTCCAGATTCTAAGGCGCTAGAGTGATCGATTATTTCCCTTGTCCGTCAGCGCAAATCACATCCTTTGATCTTTCAATCGCTAGACATAATGGGCTTCTTGGGATTTCGCGGCAAATCGCTGCAAGCAGCCCAAATCTGGGCTGTCATCATGCCATGCTACATCTTGTAAGTTGGGAGAAATAGCTGTGTATGTGATGCTGTTGACCTAGTTTGCTGACCGGTCTACGCCGTTAGGTTTGGATACAACAATGCCGTGGGGGGAGGTCTTCTAGCACTGCCGTCCTGGATCGCTACTTTCCCTCAAATTAACACCGCTACTACAACCGGAGCGGAAAAGGAACATAATTCTACCCTCCAGGTAAACGAAGCCTTGCCCATAGATTCGAGATCAGAACAGCAGTGTTAACTTTAACTCACTTTATCAGGGTACTACGATTGCCATGTATACGCTCGGCTGTCTGTTTGGCTGCTTGAACTGCATCTGGCTCGGAGACAGGCTCGGCCGCAAGCGTACCATTATGCTTGGAGCATTTACCAATATCATCGGGGCCGTTCTGCAGTGTACTTCGTTCTCGCTGCCGCAGCTTATTGTCGGTCGTCTTGTATCCGGGTTCGGATTTGGCCATGTGACCGCCACAGCGCCCAACTGGCAGGCAGAGTGTGCTGGAGCCGACCACCGTGGAGCAGCTGTCATGCTTGAGGGGCTTTTCATCTCCTCCGGCCTCGCTATTGCTGGATGGGTCAATCTGGGAATGTCCACCCATAGCGGATCGATAGCCTGGCGATTCCCTATGGCTCTTTCGGTCTTGTGGTCATGCTTCATCCTGCTAAATACACCCTTCATGCCAGAGTCTCCTCGATGGCTACTGAAGAAGGGCAGAGCTGCCGATGCGAAATCCGTCCTTGCCGACTTGAACGATGTTGACCTAGATTCGCAAGAAGTCACCGACGCAGTAGCTGAGATTGAGGCTTCACTCGAGCTGGCCGGCCAGGCAAAGTTCAAGGACATCTTCAAGAACGGACCTCTCCGACTTTTCCACCGTATGTGCCTGGCATGCTTTGGCCAGCTCGCGCAGCAGATGTCAGGTATCAACGCGTTGGCCTTTTATCAGGCCACCATCTTCGAGGATGATCTTGGCCTCGCTCCAAGGACTGCAAAGATCATCGCGGCATCGGTCTTTACCTGGCAGACCATATGCTCTCCCATTGGTGTCCTAACAGTGGATCGATTCGGTCGTCGCAAGCTCATGCTGTTCTCCGCCTTTGGTATGGGCATGTGCATGGCTATTGTTGCTGGCAGCTCTTCTCAGCTCCATAACATGAGTGCCATCGGCGCCGCCGCTGCGTTCATCTTCCTGTTCTCTCTTTTCTTCCCCACGGGCTTCCTCGGCCTCACCTTCTTGTATGCTGCGGAAATTTCCCCTTTGAGCCATCGCGTGCCCATCACGGCTATGTCTACTGGTAAGTTGATGGGTTGCTAGGATCCTCGACATTGCAGTTCAAGTTGCTAACATCTTTTCGCAGGTACCGCTTGGCTTTTTAACTTTGTAAGTCGACTGCTCCTAGGAAGTGATCCGGGATGCTTTGTATGTGATACTGATGACGTTCACAGGTTGTTGCTGAGGTGACACCGGTTGGTCTCTCTACCCTCAAGTATAGGTACTTTATTGTCTACGCGGCCATCAACATCCTTTTGACTCTGCCTGGTGCGTCTACCCATATGCGCAATTACCGCTGTTGCTAATGTCTGCTAGTCGTCTACTTTTTCTTCCCCGAAACAAACGGCCGGCATTTGGAGGAAGTGGATGCTATTTTCCTGCAAAGCAAGAGCGTCTTCGATACCGTTTCTATTGCCGAAAAGATCCCACGTGGAAACGCGGCTCGCCACTTGATGGAGAAGACTGAGACATATTCTGGTCATCATGAAGAGGTTGCTCGGGATGCTGAAGCGAACGAGATTAGCGTGTAGAGTGAAGCGATCTGATACCCTGAAAGCCAGTTGTGCCGGTGGTAAATCATGTTTTAGTATACTTTTCTCATAGATAATGGGGGTCTAGCAATGTATATCGAATTGTACGGAGCGCCTATTATATAAACTCATCTTCACATAGAAGTGCCAGTATCGTGGCACGCTAGGGACACTTCAAGACCTTCCATCGACCTATAATCATCATTATGAGCGCGTGGCATCAATTCTACCGTAGACTAACTTTCATACCGATAATATGTGACTAATAAAGTGTATTGTTCTCTTGCGAAGACAAAATATAAACTCTTCGCCTGCCTATCCTCCTCTTGCATCTTCCACCTTCATGCAGTCTGGAGAAAGGAAAGATAATGTTTCCAGAATACAGTAATAACAATCCTAAGGAATCCGTACTCATCTATCGTCGCGACAGCCCCATCACAACATTTATTCATTCCTTAGGCCTTGGGTTCCATTACTGAGGACACTGAAGCTGAAACCTCCAGGCACGTGTTGGGGATACCCCATGCACTGGTCGGTCATCTTGCTGACATCCCGTTGCTCCAGAAGTTGGGGTAACCGTGCCATCGGCTGGGCCAATGCGGGTCAGCAACCGTCGGCACCCACCGACTCGACCGGAAGTCCCGAAAACAAACATGACTCAGCACTTTTTTGGCGCGGCATGGCCCGACAACAACAGCTTCGAGAAAATTAGTGTCTCAGTTAGGGCGGACCAAAATGCGGACTGCTCACGTAGGCGGGAATACCGAGACCCCAGCGATCTTGTTATCTGAGATCTCCACATGTAGTCAAGTATCACCAGTGTTGTTACCATGAAGTTCATCGAACCATATCAAATCCCAGGGTATGGCTGTAGACCTCGCCACGACCTGCGAGGACCTTGACGACCCGGACCGCGGCCTGGACAACACAGGTTTCAGAGTAGGAGTATTTTCTTAATTTGGCAATGTAGAATGGATTAAATCAAAACGAATCAACCTAATGAACCAATCAAAATTATGCTCTTATTCATGTTGGACGTTTCACATCCGTCTAGCAACCTTGAACGCTTATACGGTGCTATGTCTCGGGCAGAGGTATTGCGTCCAACTGTTGGCCACCGTCTCTTTAGCTATCCTGCTTAGGCATCTTTTGCTGAGAGTTCATGACTCGCTAACAATGCACATGTACCTCAAAGGGCTAATCTTCTGACGGGAAGGCATCCATAGCTTGGAAAATACTGTCCTGCATCCAAGTCTCAGCACTGATTTGGTAATCACCCAGGGCCATCCCGAAGCTATCCCAAATACTCTCATGGGCCCCGTCGCTCGAAGTCCAACCACCTTCATCGCCCAAAGTCTGCTCGGCCTCTAACTGCACTGACCCGCCGGTGGTGTTAGGACGAGGTCCCCGTGATTGCCTGTTATGTTCGCCCTCAACCGTGACTGTGACGAGGCGATCAAAGGCATTTCGGACCTTGCGTGCCGCGGGCCACCGTTCCGATACAGTATATAAGAGAGTGCTGCATGCACGGATGTCGCTGCTAAACTTGGCATCGAAGATTGATGGGTCCATGCAGAAACAATAAACCAGCACAAGGCCAGCTACAAAGTTGGCGTGGAGGGCTAACAGAGAAAATGAGATGTAAGTCTGGTCATCGTAGAGACGCTTATATAGCTGACATATCTGGCCCGCCGAGTATGCAACTTGGCGGAATTCTGGTTGCGTCGGTGTGAGTGATGGCAGGAAAGGCAAAAATAGCAAGACCAGTGCTTTGTGGTACTGCGTCATGTGGTAATCATGCGTGACATACGGGTGCTTTTCCCTTGCGCAGTAGTCTTGAGTGATGGGAATATTGGCTTTCCATTCCTCGAGAGCAGCTCGCAGTGCGGTGATCTTGCGTGGGTTGATAGAGCCGACGGGTTTGTCCACGCGACATACCGTGTGAGATATCTTGGACTCCAATTGTTGCAGCCGGAAGATGTGGATGGCGGCTGTTAGTGGTGTGATTTGGGTGGGATTCGCCTCTGCTTCTGCCAGTGCGGCGACTACCTCGCTCTCAGTCTCTATCGAGTCATCAATGTTTGCTGGAAGATCTACATCGATGTCTCTATCGGATGGCGAGAGTGGTCGTCCCATTGTTCTTGCCACGGAACGCTCGAGCAGGTATGCTGTCCAGAAGATACGCTTGCGTCTTTGATCAAGCAGAGCCGATATGTTGTTGGACCGGCGGTGCAGGCCGCAGTCGATGCAATGCCTCATCGTCGTTCCGACTATCCACCTACGATTGTTAACTTGGGCATGTCAAATGTCAAGTCCAGTACCTACCATATTCCAGGCCCTGTTGGCGATCTCAGTTGATATATAGAAATCAAGAGCATTGCGTCCAAGTCTTCGAGGCTCTGAACAGAGAAGATGGTCTCGGCATCGGCTAAAGCGCTCGCATAATGCTCCTGGGTCACGATCAGTGTTAAGTTTAGCACCACCAGAGGATCGTAGTCAGACTCACACTCGGAGACGCATGCTTGTTGTCAGGTGTCAGTTGCAGGTACCTGCCACCAATCGCGTACACTAGATGGAGGATGGCGTAATCGCACAGGTCTGCCCTGTTCTCGGTGGACGGCGGAATTTTGTGCGCTGGGACCAGGTTCGCTCTGCCGTTATGCAGACGCATGATCTTCTTCTTGGACAGAAACGGGTGCTTCGGATGCACTCTGGAATAGTATGCATCGATGAGCTTTCTGCCGACTTCATCCGTAGGCATGTCTGCCCTGCCAGAAGACATCGGAGGTCCTCTCTGCATGCCAGTCTCATAGGGAGTTGTCAGATGCGGTGCAAAAGTGATTATTCCTTTGGATGTTGATCGACCTATTCGACTCGGGTCATCGGAGGTGCTTATGGCAGATTTAAGTAGCTTTGCCAGCGGAAACCCACTGGAGGTCCCGAGGAAGGAGTTTGGTGACAGCGCTATAACGCCAGACCCGGCCTCTGCATTGGACTCGCCATCTTCTGCGACGTCATTGCCTCCTGGAGAATCCACAGAATCCCTGGCCAAGTGTTGGTTTTGGTAGACGGGTATATTAGAAAGGTGAGGTGCCGCAGCTGTCTGGGCAGCTGGAGTGGCTCCTTTTTCCAGTTCTGCAATACGGTTTTCCAGAGAACTCACGTACTCGGCAGGATATATTTGCTTGAGCCCGTACGAGCAAGCTTCGCCGGCAGACAGGCAGCTCGAACATGACGGGAAATCGTTATCGCAGCGCTGCTTGCGAGTCTTGCACCTTTGACACGCCAGAGCACTCCGGGCACGCCTCTTGGCTGGTCTCTCTCCCGCGCTGCTTGCATCGGCTGTGTCTTGCTCCCTATCCATACCCATTTTTAAGCGCGTGGGACTGGTTCTGGCAGGGTCGTCACAAGCGACAGCGACCGCTGGCCGGCCAGAGGCGTCGTGGATACGGTGGTGGCGTGGTAACCCAATGATACACACTGCCAATGATATTTTTTTACAACGCCCAATGCTTGCGTCTGCGTGGGGGAACCAGAATCGAGTCTGTATGCAGGATTTTATGCGTTCCGCATTGGTAATTGAGGCTAATGCAAAATGACTGGGGCAACTGGGGTAGATCGGGGTAGATCGGGAAAGGCTAGCCGCCTACTGTAGTCGAGCCCTCACCGCTTACAGGAATCAATAGTAAGCAAGTGGACCGCCAAAACGCTGAATCGGCAAAATTTGAATCGGCAGAATCTGATTTTGAACCCTGTAGATTAGGAAGGAAAAAATAGTTAACTAGTTAAGTCTAACCTATGCTTATACGAGAATCACTTTCTAAGGATAGAAGGACTCAGTCCCTGTAAGCTAACTAGCGTTAGGGCGGGCTTTCTGTAAACTATGTACTATAACAACCAATAACAATGTACGGCTGGAACATAACTCTATTATCATGTTTATCAAGATCTGTCACTGTCATTGTTTATAATCATGATACTTCTCTAGATCGTGTATTAGCTAGGTACGGCTCGGCTTGTCTCTCTTTTGGTATTAATATACTAAATTCTCCTGCCGGCTCCATCTCTTCTAGATTACTTTAGGAGCTAGCCTGTCAGGAACTCTAGTCGCAATTTGCATGCTTGGACATTGGGTAGGATATATGTCTCACCTCGCTTCTTTCACAGGCGACTCGTTTATATAGCATCTCGTTACACAATCCAAAAGCAGATGAACGCGAAAAGAACTTTGATTTTGGCCCGATCGAATTAAAAATCCCTGTACATGCTATATACGAAACACCACATCCATGTACACGCATTATGACCATGATATCAATGGTAAGGTTAATTCCCGTCACCTAATACTTCACCGAGCATGATATCCATACTCCTCCCTCCCAATAGGCATCTCCCCACCACCAGGCAAAAGCCTCGCATCCCAACTCGATGTCGACCGTCCATCGTCAACCTGCACCACAATATCCGTCTTCACTGTGACACCGCCATCATCCATACCTTCTATCTCATGCCCATAACCCTTTGACAACCGACTCATAGAGCGCTCTTGAATACTCCACCTCGTATGCTGGCTCTCTTCGTCCTGCCACTGAGACGTTGCTGTAGCTGTCGCTGTAGCCGAGTCCATCCACCCGGTTTTGCTTCGGCTCTGTTTGTTTTTTAGTTCTGTGTCGTTGGAGGCGTTATTGTTTGAGTTTGATTTAGACCAGTAGCCCAGGTGGCCGTCGCGTCGGGCATCGACGATGGTGCGGAGGAAGAGTCGGGCGACTGGGGCACAGGAAGCGAGGAGAATGCTGTAGTTTTCGATTCTGTGCATCGTGTTAGACTCGTGGATATAACAGACAAGATGAAGGTATGGAGGTACTGATTTGACTTACTTTACCCATAAAACGAAAGAGACGATATTGTAGGTGAAATCGAGTCTGTCGCCAAGGGATTTCAATTTCTATAAAACGGATCGATTGGTTAGCGACTTTTATTTGAGAAATTGGCCATCAAAGTTTGAAGACTCACATATGTTTTCACAATCGAGGCCGCACCAGAGAGAATCAGCGGACCGCACAGGGTAATGGTTTGCCAAAGACGACGAGATCGAACGGTACTGTTGATCTTCTTGAATTGCGACCAAAAGGACAAGTTCTCGCGGTGTATGGTACGGAGAAAGAATTGCCACAGCTCGACACCGGCGATAACGGCCAGTATAAAGTCAATGATCGTGTTGAACCCTTTAGACAATTAGTTACAATGTCGCGGGTGGTTTATATGAAGAATGTGACTTACCTCCTTGCACAAAACCAACGGTAGTCTGGACATTAGGCGATTGGCAGACAACCGATCCATCACTAGGCAGCGGAGTCCACATGTACTGGAAGTATTCAACACGATTTGACTGCAATAAACGAGTGAGATAAGCAGGATACAAAAGGAATGAAGCTCAGGACGGAGCACAAACCGGTCGGTAGGGATTCGGCCCACACTGTAATATGATTTGCAGAATCGTCACCATATTAACGATAATCTGCACAATGGCACACACAACAATCGAAACGCGAATCTTCTTATCGCTCGCGGCAAAGCAGGTCAACAGGAACCACATCATGCCTGTCCGCGAAACCATGGCTGCGGCTACAGCGAGCGGCTGTGAATAGAAGTCATACTTCATGGCCGTTGAGCGCTGTACGCCTGACAAGTAGTAAAAATGCCGACCCAGGCCCCATTGTGAACTGGGGAGAAAATCGTCAGTCGATCGTCATACTGAGCAAGTGGGTTGACTGCCATTTCGGTAGCACGTAGCAGGTCATGCGTGTGTGCTCACCTCATTTGAATCAGAGTCATATGTCCAATGTCGAGAGTGTAGCCCGCAAGGAAAAACAAGTCCTCGAAGCCCCAGACACGCTCGGGGGCAGTGACTTGGGGCAATGCAAAGCGCACCCAGCTCTTTACTGCATAACGGAATAGAAGTGTAACTCCCGCGACACCGGTGAGAACCTATTGTCGATTTTTAGAAACAGCAAGTTCACATCATCAGAAATTGGCATTTAGCATACCCAGCAAGCAGCAAACGTGCCAGTTCCTATGGAATCATGTCAGTCACAATGGTATTACCAGGGTATCTGCATTATGCAAAGAGCAACGCACCGATATCAACATCACCCTCCGACGGCCGGGGAATACTGTCCATCGTGGCAAGGACAAGGAAGGCAAGGGCCACAAGAATTGATTATTCACAGAACGATGCAAGAGATCAAAAAGCAAAGGGTAGGGATATGGCAGTGGGAGTGATGTAAATGCGCAAATCAATCTCGATCGCGATCTTCGTCAAGCTGCAGCACAAGCGGGGGAGTGCAATTTCAAGTACTTTCAATCACATTGGGCCTTGTCTAGTGAGCAATAGAAACCCGAAGAGGGGTAAACTTTCCAATGTGCCAGACACAAGCTCATTGAATCACAATGAGCTTGACTTGATCTGCAGAGCAGATGTACCTTGATAAATCAGAAAGTTGATCCGATCGCCCTGGCTGAGCTTGTCCTGCGCTGTGGACGAACCAGTGGAACGGGGCCCTCTCGGAAGGCAGGTAAAGCCCAACAAAGTCTGGTGTTGGCGAACGCTTTACAGGTCGAGTTCCAAAGAGTTTTAGAGCCTGCCGTCTTTTTTTGACTTTCTTTATTTATGATTCTGGTCGTGTAAGTGTCTGTCAGTGTTGTGGCGTATGGAGTTGGAGGTATTATTAGCCTAAGAAGGGAACAGGCTCTAACAAGGGATGGATGTTTTACTCCGGAGAACTCGTAAGGACCGTGAAGTAATACCAATACAATAGGTATCCAGGGCGCAAGCCACTAGGAAAGACAAAGGCTAGCTAAAATTTGAAAGGTTAAAGTAGAGGAGGAGGAGGATCATGCTTCAGCCGGGAGTGTTTACTGTGTTGGATAAGGTAACGGAATAAGTTTGTCCACACCAGTCCCGCAGGCCAGATTGGTGGTGCCATGAGAATAAAAATCTTGTTTGCGCGATATTAATTAAGAAGGGACCGGTAGCCTAAAGAAGAATATGTACTGTAGCGCCTGTGGGAGGATGCAGTGGGTTGAACTCTAGCCAACGACTCTATGGGTCATTGTGCATATCCCTATTAGACTCATCGCACCGAACCTAGGACTAACATTGAAGATTAATTGCTGGCTCTTTCTGTTGAACGAAGTATTCGTACACTGTACTTGAAAGTAACCAAGTTGTAACTCGGCGGCTAAGATATCGCTGCTGTGGATAAAGGCTCTGTTCTCGCGGTGGTTATTCCTGATACCTAGTTCATGAACACTAACCGACTCGTAAGGCTAGCTACGAAGCAGGGATATCTACCATGCGCCAGACTTCTCAATCTCACCCAGAAGATCCGGTTGCATCTCCATATGGCATCGGAAGATTGTGTCCACGCGAATGAAAACACAGAATTCTTCGCGTGGGTTAGCAGAATTAGGACTTCCCAGCCCACTGGACGAGAATACTACGAGTCAGGTATTCCAGAGAACGATCAACTCCATACTCATCAAATAGATTCGTGCTTAGACGATGAGCACTCCGTACCAATGATATGGATAGGATGTATGGTCCGTCCATTCTTCAGCGCACAGGGTGTCAGTCTCCTGTCCAGGGCCATGTGGACTCCATACTGTACACCCCTTGGCTCGAGGACGCGTGAGCAAAAAGTGATTCACAAGCAACATTCCACAGTCGGACCTCAGTGGAGAGAGCCGGGGTCGAATGGCAACCATGTAAAGCCATGCGTCGCCGCGCAAGGGGTGTGACAGGGAAAAGCAAAATGCAAAAGTCAACATCGGCTCTTACATGCAACTGCATTCAATAGCCGGATCCTCCAACTTGGCGTGCGTCAACACAATTTGCAGATCACAAACTTACGACAGTGATTCTGTTTTGTTCACTCATCACAGAAATGGCGGAGCGATAGGGAATGAATGCCCCGCAGCGGATCTCAGGAACCAGAACGAACCACAGCTTGGATATCCGATCAGACGCTACGCTCGGAGAGTCAGGGCTATGAGGATCTGCGAGCGTATCGGAGACCAGAGACCAATGCCGACCAATAATGGACATTCTATCAAGAGGAAAGGATAAGATTTGGCGGGTGATCACTGAGGGGACTCGCGAGCTGTAGTGGATGATGTGGGCATGCTTTGCAGTGGATTAACGCTAGACCAGGAACCTCAGCCCCCAAAAGACGTCCCACTAGGGCCTGGGGCTTGTCCATGGATTGGTGAGACCCAGAAAGGAGGGGGAGGCTAAAAAGTCAGAAGTCCAATGTTGACCTCAACTTGAGTCTGTCAAGATTGGAATTTGCAGTTCCGAATGTGACAGATCGAGGGAAATGGGAGGCTGGACAGATCAGCTGAAGTGGGTTCACGCAATGTCCAGGAACACGTCGATTAACTCTATCGTGTGGACAAACTAGATCTGCTGTCACAGATCACAGATCACACAGCCATTCGGCAAGATGAAAGATGTATCGCATTCTATTCCGAGAGTTGACCAAAGAAAGGCGATGGAGTTGTCCGGGCTGAGGTCCGGCGATCCGCCCGAACTTGCTCGGCTCGACTCGATTTTCCATCCAACATTACACACTACAGTATACACTTTTCTGGACTTAAAGTTCCAACGATAGACTACCATTCCATTACGGCACACTAACTACCACTAAACTAATCGCATCTCCACCAATGACTCTCCAGCCGTCTCATATTTCTCAAAACTCACCTTCAGCCCACAGACCCCCGCCAACTGCCGCCACTCCGTCGAACTGCGCTCACGCCCCCCATACAAGGCAATCATGCTGGAGTGCAAGTTCGTATAGGTCAAGTTCTTCGCATACTCGATAATCAGCAGCCGCGATTCCGGGACCATCGCCCGCGCCAACTTCTGCACCAACGCCACCGCATCCAGGTCGGGCAGGTTATGGAGGATATGTTGCAGACTGTATATACGCGCTCCCCGGATCGGCTGTTCCTCAGAGATCTTGTAGTTCCACTCCATCAGCCGCACGCCAGGGACGTCGTCGATGGCCGCGTTGAATTCTTGCACGATAAGCTGCGATGCTTGGAGTTGGGGGTAGTGTGCTTGCACTTCGAGGAGGAGTTCGCCTCGTCCGCCGCCAATGTCTACCATGGCTACCTCGTCATCGCGGAGACTAGAGCTCGTACTGGAAGTATGAGGAGCTACACCTAGTACGGCGCCTAATTCGTAGCCAATCCCTGCCACACGTTCGGGAAAGGTCCCGAATTTGAGGAACTTGCCAACCATAAACTGATTAAAGCTGTCCATACGGCCCTGCGCCTCCATTATGGAGTACGTGTGCTGCTTGGCCAGATCCTTCTCGCCCATCAATTGATAGGCATACTGGAAGGGCCCATCGCATTCTGCAAAGGGGTAGGCGAAGTTCGTATCCTGGAGTTTCTTCATCAAGAACGCCCCCGCCATCATTCCTTCGGTGCAACTAGTGGCGAAAACCAGGGGGGTTAATTTGATGAAACCAATGCCAAGTGGTTATAGACAGGGATAAAGCAAAATCACTCACAAGTGTACGGCACCATGCTGCGCCGACGGCATGTCAACCATGTGGCGGGTAATAGCATTGTCCACGAAACAATCCTCGTCCACGCGCTCGACCAGCCCGAGACCGGCCATGATGTAAAGTGTGTCGGCTGCATGCCAAGAATGAATATTAATTTGTTTTTCATTAAGAAATTCCAGAAGTCGCCGAGGCTCCGGCGGGACTCAGCGCCACATGGACCGGGGGGCGGTTGAGATCAGGGTTAGATGACATACCAGCGAGGAGGACCGCTGTAAGGCTGGTGTTAGCTACAGGACAAGGCAACTTGTAGAAAGCGAGAAGAGTGCAGTAGAGTTTTAGGTGGCGGGATACTCAAAGAGCATTGTTCGCGACACACAGAATAGGCATTTCACTTACAGATCTCTGGTTTATTTCCACCATCCTTTTGAATGGCCTCGTTGACTGCACGAGCGATGTCCCCTGCGCTTGCTGGGCCTCCATGACGAACCAATTCCCCAAATAGATCAAAGTGCACGGCGACAGGGACAAAACCCAATGATGCTGGCTAATCTCTCATCAGTTCGGAACGCGACAATCAGTCTTCGATATATGCTTGCACTTACTATCGTAACAGTGCCTGCTAGCGCAGCACCTGGGGGTACCGCAGGCGTGAGGCTGGCCAGACGGTTGAGTAATGACATATTCAATACCTTGGAAGCTTAATTGGAACCAAGAGCAAGACCTGGTAATGGGGTGGGAATCGCTAGGTGGCTCTAGACATAGTCTTGTTGCATTACGGTGACTTTTCGCTTTCAACAAGGATGCCAGCGATGTACTCAGGCAGGCGGTTATGCCGTGTGTCTTATGTAGATTAGATTCCGTCGCGGCGGGCGGCCAAGAACTGCGAATAAGATGACAGATGTGAATTAGAACCAGTTTAAGGATTGTGCATTATTAGTTCTAAGATGTTGTGATAACGACTGTATGAATAGTCGAATGGTAGAGGGGTCAAGAAAGGAAAGTGACAGGGATCATAATCAAAATTCAACAATGACAAGAATTGACCATGTGGATTATTGTGACCGCGTATATACACGGGAAGGAAAATCGGCCGATGCCACTAATGTGGCCGTAGTGGATTAGCTGCTCAAGATGCCCCTTGATGTTGAAATAGCGAGGTGCTGATGGTAAGATGAGTCTAGAAAGTGTACTACTGTATTCACTTTGTGAGAATCTGGTTTCCAATTAGGCCCAGTCGTTGAGATTATTACTAATAATTCCGAGTTCAGAAAACCGAGCGGGAGGGATAAAAAGAGAGAGAAAAGAGGGAGAAAAACAAAAATACTTAATCTAACACATCACAACATCAGACGAATCAGACAGCGATGATGCGCAAGGGGCCTTGCGTTGGCGCGGCTTAGTGAACTAAAAAAGCACTCCGCAGGTAATTTACTTTCGCCAACTTTCCAAATCAGATCCGTACAATAGTCTTATTTAATTATTATTCAAAGACCGCACGGAACACACGGATGAAAAAGCATACAATTGTATTCGCATAAAGAGCCGAGCGGTCCAAGTTCAAGTACAGGATTGCCGTACACTTCTCTCCCAACCATCTTGCTCGTTTACTCGAGTCATGTTCATTTCGTTCTCTACTTTAGCGTATTGTAGCGGCCCTTGGCGCCACAAAGACATGAGGGGCCGGTAGTGCAGTCCTCCTTGGGGCGGGGCGTGCAGGGATGAGCGCGGTATCTCAGGCCCGGAAGGGTTGTGAGGTGTGGCTTTTGTTGGATCGCTGATTCCAGTGGTTCTGACGTTTTCGTGGATCCGGGAGCCAAGTGGGGGAGAACTTGGACCAGACATCATAAAGTATACACAACATTTGAGTTTAGATGATCAGTTAGAACTGATGGAGCAGGACTCCTTTGGGAACTGGCCAGGTTTATGTTCTAGATTCGAAATACCCGAGCCATGCAGGTGGAAAAATGTTACTCGTAGAGTGTTGTATTTACTTTGTATGGATGGACTAACTCCTCCTCATCACAGACTCTCTTGATTCTGGTCTCTCTCCGAGTGATGGCTGTTTAGTGGCGTAATGATAAATCACCCAAGGAGGACAGCCCATTCTATGACACTGATAGCTCCAAATCCTGCGCCGCCACAAGACCCTACTGACTACAATTTCTGGACGTGTATTTTGTCCTATCTTGACAGATTTTACCTCTGAAACGAGCCCACTTTACCTGTCTCTCTGTGCAACAGAAGCCACGCGAGAACCAGGTCCAACCCGTCCGATGTAAACTTCAGCTGCATACAACCATAAAACCTTCTGACATGCCCACTGCCGGCCCTCTTATCCTACTACTGCTCTAAGAATCCTTTTCTTTTCTTTTTTTTTATTTCCCTTCACCCCTTCTAGTATATTCCTTCCTTCCTTGTGCCCCTTGGTCATCCTCCCCCCTTGCCGGTGGACTCCTACGCAAAACCTGCACGACATTGTCATTGTGCGTTGCACTGTAAATCGGGGAATTCGTGCTGATCGCGTCGGATCTCGCAGATCGCCATGGAGAAACCCACACCCGTCTATTACACGAGCGAGATTGAGACTGACGGGGCAACCAGTTCCTCGCTCTCGCAGGACATGGCTCTTCCAGATCATGAATTGAAGAATGTTGATCCGTCGGATATGAAGAATCCGCAGAATTGGAGTCGTACTCGGAAGACGCTGCTCTTTGCGTCGCTGATGGGTAGCTCGCTATTGGCAGATGGGTAAGTGGAAATCCCGTTGGAATTATAATCACAATCCGAATGACCCAGAAAGCTTGCAATTGTTGAGCAGTCAAATCGCAAGATTGATTGAGCTTGATTGAATAATAGACTAATCAAATGCGTTTGGGTAAATGCAGAGCGATGGTCTGGGGTGGCACGCTCGTTACACCGCAGGCAATGGAATGGGGTATTAGCATCACGCACTCGGCAACGAGTATGAACTACGGTATTCTGCTACAGGGCTTTGGTGGCATGCTTGCAGTGCCGCTAATTGAAGCCTATGGCCGGTAAGTAGCCACAATTGAGGAAGACAAGAAGGCTATCTACGATTGTCAAATCATCCGGCTAATCCACTTTTACCCTCAAGGTTTCCTGTCTGGATCTGGCCACAGGTCATCACAATGTTCATGGTACTTGGTGCCACCCTCTCTCACGACTGGTCTACCTTTACGACCTTCCGCTCGCTGCAGGGTCTGTTTGGCACCATCCCGCAGGTCATCGGCCTGCCTATCATCCATGATATGTACAGTCCAGAGGGTAAGAACACACCATTCTCCCCGTTTCTATCCTATTACTCCTAACAATTCTTCTAGAATGGCCTCGCATGATCAATATCTGGGGCACAACTTTCATGGTCGGCCCTTTCCTCGGCCCCGCACTCGCTGGGTATATTGGCGCCGGCACAAACTGGCGCGATTCCTTTGGCGTGCTCACAGCTATCTATGGGCTATCTACTTTGACGGTGCTCGTCTTCGGCGCTGAGACTTACTATAACCCCGGCAAAGCACCTACCTCACGTGCCGGTTCGTACTTCGGGGTTGGAAATACCAAGCTCCCCAAGGGCTCGACATTGTGGCACTGGTGCGAGGTGATGGTGCTTTATGTCTTCAAGTTCCCATTGCTGATGACCGGTATTGCTATTCTGGTGACCTTTACGTGGCCGATTGGTATGTATAATATCTTCTCGAAGTTTCATGTCTCGAAGTACTGGTGCTTTACTTTCTACTCACCTCGCTCCTCATTTTTGCTAATATACTTCTGTGCAGGGATCACCACCACAATCGACAGTTTCCTCCACAGCCCGCCATATAATTTTGACACGATCGAGGCATCATCCATGCGTTTCGCCGGTGTGATCGGTGCTCTTGGCGGTAAGTCTTCCATCTGATTCTTTTTTTTTGTTCAAACACATACCCTGATAATATCCTAACAACTTCTCTCCAGGCTGGGTCGTCGGCTTCATCTTCAACGACTGGGTCTATAAGCGCCACCACGCCAATTGGTGGACCGAATACCGCCTGCACGGCGTGTGGTTCCCCCTCGCCAGCATGGTCTGCGGTCTACTCACGTACGGTCTGACTATGAACTTTGGCAAGCACTGGATCGGCATTGCCTTTGGATGGATCATGGTGAATATCGGTATGGTGGGAACAGTCGTGTAAGTGGCCTTCTCTTATCCTGTACATCTTTGCAACACAAAACCTACTTCCACCCCAACGAGAAAGTGGTAAACCTAGTGATCGTTCGCTCATTCTTTTGTAGCGCCGTCACAGCCTATGCCCTGGAGAAATACCCCGAGCAGTCTACCGTCGTCTCCGCCATCCTAAATATGTGGCGCACCTGCGGCGGTTTCGCTGTCGGATACTTCCAGCCGGCCTGGATTGCCCGGAATGGACTTGGTCTGGTCTTCGGTATCCAGGCTATTGTCGTCAGTGTTTCGGTTGTGCTGTGTATTGTGCCGGTGTTGATTAAGGAGAGGCGGAAGAGTATGCTTACTGCAGCATAGAATGACAGAGAAAAGGATGTTGTAGATATGACGGTGTGTTTTGTTGTATATTGACAGGCTGTGCCGTTTGGGAGTTTGTGATTATGAGTTTCTTTTCTCCGTATTTGATTGCGTCTGTGACGATTCGTATATAGTCAATGAAAATTGCCCAGCTTCTTGTGGAGTAACCAACAAGTACGACTTTGTCTTTCATCTTGGATATAGAACGGCCTGAAGAGTGGCCATTAAGCTTCAATCAAGATATTTGGGTACCATCAACATTGGTAAATTGATTGAAGGTGATATAGAGAAAATAGAAACAATATCTCAATGATACAGACCAAATAATCAAACGACACGCTCTACCGATGATTTTAGACGTTCGCTCTCTCTAGTAATTTCAATGTGTCACGTCACTCTGTTGTATACATCTTGAATTTCATAGTATTGATCGGCCCCAGTAGTAGGCCCAGGTAGCTCCAGGCAGTAGTGAAGTAACTATATAGTTGAATGCAAGCGAATGCACAGTCCAAAGACCAAGATCGTCGAGTCCGTCCAGCAGACCACAGAACGAAAATGTAACGAAAATGTAACGAAAGAAATAGCGCCCCAATATGACAAACGCCTCGCCAATGATTTGAACGCGCCCAAAAGAGTAAAAAAGAACTGAATAGGGAAGACAATATGTGCGGGGGTGGGATATATACAAGAATGTAATGAGGGATGGATATCCTCGAGGACGTGCGATGGCTGCGTTGAAAGGGGGGTGTTGAGCTGGTCCAATCATTCAAAGATGTATTGCACTTCCGGACATGATGATTGGAAGTTATTCAAGAGTCGCTGCACCCTGTGGGTCATCCAGCCCGAGTCAGTGCCGTTGGTAGCAACGCCGCCAAAAGTGGTCGAGGCATGTTTACAACTCTGCATCTCATGGTTGAATGAAAACTGCAGACACTCGCTGTTCTGCGAGCAAGCATCGGCACATGCCTCTGTCGAAGGCTCAGTCGGGGGGTCAAAGTCAATCATAGCCGGTGACAGATTATCCCAATCAGGACGTTCGGAGAGAGATTTGTTGTGGACTAATTCGCGGTAGACGTCGCCGTGCAGCAGGAGTGCGTTCTTGCCGCTCTTAAACCAGCCCTGGTCAAACCGCCACATCTCTTCGATGTCGCGAGGACTCATGTGGTGGTATGACACAGCTGGATAACACCAGGGCTGGCGGCCGTATGCTTCTGAGAAATGATCGATTTCGTATGGTCGGACAGTCATCATCATTGGCCATGCCCAGGTGAGTTCGATATGGATGTCTTTCAGCGCTTGGGCTAAGGCGCAGTCTCCGGCCCATTCTTGACTCGTCATGCGCTCCAGCTCTAGCTGGTGCTTGGCGCGGTAATTGTGCAGGTGATATATCGTCCGGCTGGACAGAATGATGCCTGCCCCGCCATATCCGAAAAGAACGTCACCGATTTGCATTGGACTGCCGAGATAGTAGTTTTGATGGTGGTCGAGGTGGGCCAGCCAATTTACCAGGTTCGGCCATACCATGTATGTATCGGCCTCCATGAAGACGTACCACTTGGCGTTAGGTTGCACTTCCAGCGCTCCGGCAATCATCGGGAGAAACTTCCATTTATCCAGCTTCCAGCCTGGGTTATTGATTTTACCGAAGGGGCCGTTCGAATCATCGCCCATCTCATCGTCTGTCAGACCATCGGGTCCAACTTCCTGCAAACGATGGTAGATTTCAAACTCGGGCGCCTCGTTCATGGCAGATTCGGAGACGTTCTGCAGAACGTCGTAGGTGCGCACGCCGCTGATGGTCTCCTCGTAGTCGGAGAAAACAGCATAATGCGGGACACATTGAAGAGTGGTGCGCAATTGCACGGGGATCTTTTCGCGGGCTTCGGTCGCACCGGTCTTCAAGACTACAAAGACATCGTCCATGTCCTTGCGCAACTTCCCACATCGTTCCTCATCAAATGAATCATCGGACATTTGCTGCTGGTTCAGCTTGTCGGTTTGCGACAGAGGGCGTGTCCCCTCGAGGATCATATGTTCCTGATGTGACTGTGTCCATTGGCCTTGACGGTTCAATGTGATTGGGTTGGTATTAGGTGCGAGAAATAGGTAGTAGACCAAGACTAGGGTAATGAATGGCGAGACGATGAAGATCCATCGTCGCGGGGAGGTGAACATGGTTGCTCACGCCCTCGGGAGGTATATGTTCGATATCGATAAGGGAAAGATAAGAGATAGCAGCGAATGAAGGAGATTTCGAATAGTTCAAATGAAGGAATGTAAAGAAAGAATAGTGAAGAGATTGAAGGTGAATTGGTCATGAACCATGAACGAGAGGAGAGCGAGGAAGGAAGTAGAAAAGATAGAAGGGATCCCAAGAAAAGACAGCAGCAACGGCGGTTGCTGAAACGTGAGGGAAAAAGGGACAATGATCCACATGGGATACAGCAAACGGGGTTCGTTCGTCCCCCATTTGCATCCCCATAACTCTCAAGCGGACGATCCATGTCCCGGTAGAACATGTAGCACCTCTGATTCGGTTCCATGCTTCAGAAACGCGAGGATGATAGGCTAACCGCCGAGGGGCTGCTGGGAATAGATCATCGACCACGCGGGCCAGGAGCCAACGAGGCGCCTTTGCCTGTTGGGGCGGTAGTTGAAGGAAAACCCGCTGGCCCCAGTAGCCCCACGGGTCGGCGTCATCGCTTGCGGAGTTTTGGGTGGACAGGAGGGAAGGGATCGACCTGCTGGGGGTGACGATGAGTGGAGTAGAAGTGTAACTCGGTGGAAACTAACGAGTCACTGGTCAGGTTTAGGAGAATGTCGCAACCCCCTTCGATCGCCAGGGGATCAGAAACATAGGGATTTGGGATAAGCCTGGAGGGGCTTCATTATTGTGAGGCTGGTGGTGATTATTTGGGGGCCCTGTACGGAGTAAGAATCTTGTGTTTGATGCCTGTGAACGAGCCGAGGCTGCGTCATTAAAGGAGGTGCCCTTGCGAGGAATTGCAGAAGATGATTTGATGGACTAAACAAGTTGGCCCCGAGTTTTTGGGATTTAAAGGCGGGAAGCGTACCGCCGATCGCCGATCGCTAAGAAAGTACGGGGCCTTGGAGACTCAGGCACACTTCAAGGCTGTGAGAGAAATAGCATTACAGTATGCAGGGAGGATCGAAGGGGGGTGACAATATTAGGGAGTTGCCAGATAATATAGTGCTTTTTATTGCAGTGTCTCAATTGTTCTGTCCACAGTTACAGTTGTCTCAAGTACAGTGGGCAATACCTATTGCCCCTCGATGCGGATATATGGGTACAAATACATTTTCATAGTGTCCGGGTACATACTCTCTCTACTGTAGCTTGCTTGGGATCAGCCAATAACCCACTATGAAGTCGATCGAAAGTCAAACCAAGCACGGTAGAATGACCGTGGAGCAAAGAATGCTGCCTAAATCGACCAAAGTTTCCTCATGGTAGATCAGGGGTTCGAGCAACCTCCCATTAGAGAGAACAACAATGGGAAGCAGAAAGATAATCAGTCCTCCATTCCACTATACAAGACGAAAGACACAGTTCTCTCCTTTGTGTAACAGCAACGGCCAAAGAGTGGCTTGTGTCTGACAGCTCATCGCGCCCAGATTCCTGAGGAACACCTGAAACACCACAGCAGAGTGGTACAGCCACAGTGGGTCTGTCTGGTGGAGCTTGAACAGAGGTTGGCTGGCCAGTGAGACCATGCAAATTGAGCGAGAATTGAACTACCCACTCGATAATTATGTCACCGAGACGGGTCATCCTGCACCCTGATCACCCATTCATCGTTTTCTCGGGGACCTCTTGGAAGGTTTCGGGGAAGAACCCAGGAGGTGGCCAGATATCCGCGATCGATGGCGGGTGTACTAATGGCTGAGATCCCACCAGACGGTCGGGATCGTGGCAGAACGCTTGGAAGGTACTATCATCCAGGAAGCCAAAGTCCTTGAGGCCTGCCTCGCGATTGTTGGACCACTCGGTGGTGTCCAGGTATGCCAAATCCTTGAAGATCGCGTCGAGATCACCCGTGCCAGCGGGATTGAAATGCATGTGGTCATTCGTCGAGACGGATCGTTCACTGGTGGGAGCGTTGGCAGCTAGCATGGGGTTGGAAATGGAGGAGTCCGGGGTATGAGGTTGTGCATGAGAACTGCCAGGTGCAAACAGCTGGTCTGGTCCACTGCGCGGCGTGACCTTGTCCGTGGGGATGATCGGCTGCTGTACAGATGGATCCATCATAGCCATCTCGGTATTCTCCATAACCGTATCCTTGGGCGTCAGCGATTGACCATCGGCGGGGATGCTAATGCCCAGGATGGATGATGCATAGCCCCCTTGATCAGGCGGAGGGATGCCGGGGGCAACGCCTGGAAGCTGCATGGCCCCGCGCATGGAGGTGGCTCCCGGTAGCAAAGAACCCGCATTCCCAGGGTATGTTTGCGCTGCTACAGAGTGGTTGTTGGGCTTTTGCCAGCGATCCATCGAAGATACCAACGACCCATATACCGGCCAACTTGGGGCTAGGACCGTTGTCTTCTGACGGAACTCCTCGGCCCACCGAGAGAAAGGGAAAGTATCTGACGGATCCACGGTTTGCCGCAGCGAAAGCGCTTGCTCGGAGATGGTACGCAATCCGAATTCAAAAATAGGTGGGAGCCCACACATGGGGAAGTTTTCCAGGTGCTGGGAGATCATCGACAGTCCCCGATAGAGGAGCTTCTTTGCGCCTTCTGTCGCCGGCCGCTGAGACCGATGAAGCCCTTGCTCTCCAGGAATAAGACGCAGGTACAGCCAAAGCAGCGTGGCGACATAGGTCAAGCCCAAGTAGCTTTGATGTGGTAGCAACGCCGAATGTCGCTCGGGGTAAATGCTTTCCGGTCCGATCAGTCGACAGCCCAGCGGCAAACTATCGTCCCACTGCTTCAGGTCTATCACCAGCTGCTGGGCAAAGTTGGGCGCCTTGTATCCCATGGACAAGTTTCGGGATGTCTTGTTGAGCACACTCGCCAATTCAACCAAGCGATTAAAGCAGCTGAGAGACAACAATGGCCCTCTTCGCGGAGGGTTTTTACCGTGTGGAACTCCCGTCGGGGGAAGAACATCCACCCATGAGTTCCACTCCTCCAGTCCATCCTCTTCTAACAAGCCAACGTTCGCTAGATCATTCGAGGACATGGCTGGGCAGCGAGAAAGTCGGAATGATAGTAAGGAATCAATCACAAAGCAGCCCAAGAAAACTGCTTTGCCTTGTCGCAGGTCATCAGAGCGGCGCGTGTCCGCAAAGGCACCCAAGCCCATGGCAATGGCCATGCGCACTGCTTGACCGCTCAGCAGCCATGCAGCTGTCCAATCTTCAAGACCAGTGTTGACCAAACTTAGTAGCAACAATGCTTGAATATGGCCAAGTTCGTAGCGTTCCTTTTCCGATGGGATGAGGTTTCGAGATACGGTATAGTACTCTTTCGCTAAAGAGACGGCCCCCGTGGGATTCACGCGGGTAGTGGATGGAGATTGGGTAATGGTATAACTGAGGATTGCCCACAAGGCAGCATGGTCCCCAGATCCTGGAGAAGTCGTCGCAACGGAGAAGGGGGCATTGGCATAGAGGTAGGACGCGCGAAGAATGTTGTGTTTGGCGACGATAGGGAACCACGAGTGAGTTGTGGCGAAGTAGATATCGAGGAGTTGTGATGTCTGCGGGGGTAACTGTAGACTATGGGATCCACCACCTGACTGCGACACGTCCCGGCCGTTCGTTGTCTGCGACATCCGGGCTCGTTTCGCATTCGGCGAGCCAATCGCTGGTCCAACAATCCGAGGCGCTTCAGGGCCCAGGGGTGTCGAATCCCTAGCCACGCGGTATCCCCATTGGCCATTCGAACCCTCTGAGTGATCGTCATGCGGGTTGCGCGATCGTTTGCCTGTGGTGAGAGGGGCTTCCGAATTCGATAGCATTTTCTCCAGTGCGCTGTACAGACGGCTTGTTTTCCAGGTCTCATGCAGACTCTCTGATGAGCTGTCATCCGACCACACCGACATTAATTTTTCACGGCGACCTACCGACTCTGCGGTGGTTCCCAGCATGGCCAGCATGGTGTCTTCGAACCCATCAATATTACACATAGAGAGCGCCCATAATTTCTCCAGCCCGCGCACGTAGCCCTCTGGCAGGCCGCGCTTCTTCGCATGGGGATCGTATGAGCAAGGTTGACCGGATGCCTGACATGCGGAGCAGGTGGGACGAATACCATCGCATTTATCCTGGGGATTTGGAATGGGGGCGACAGGTCAGCTTGACAAACGGACTGGAGCGCGCAAAACGAAACCCGCCACTCACCTTCTTACTGCGACACCGGTCACAGGCCCTCGACACCCTCTTCCGCCGAGGCGCCTTGTCGGAGCCCTCATCCATGAAGAGGGTTAGTTCATGCAGTGTCGCATGTCATATGCGGTCAACAGAGCGGAAGTACCTCAGACGCAGGGAGTCGCGCTGGCGATGTGATGTGCACAAGTGCCTTGTTGGTAATTGGGGTCAGCGACGATTGGCAATATTTCGAAGAAATTAATTCACGACGTGATGTCGCAGTGAGTCGTGCAGAATCGCAGATCGCGACGCATGTCCGAGTATTCAAGCAAGGTTGAGACGCAATCGGAAGGACCAGGTGGATTACGCAACGGGAAGAGGCGATCAGGGCCAGCCAGCGGGACCCAAGTAGCTTAGTCAGTGATTAGATAGCCCAGGGATTCCACCTTGTTGTTCCTTTGCAGGGACTGATGTGAGAACAGGAAAAGAGAAAAAAACAAGAAGAGAAAGAAGAGGTCTTCCGAGGCAGAGAGGGCAAAGCGGTATCGCCAAAAAGATGTCGGAGCAAAGTTTCGGGTGGTGGTGACGGTCCAACCGGTCGGGGCCCTTCCCCACGTCCCCACGACGTGGGAACGAACGAGAGCGAGGGACGGGATGTGGGAGCTCTTTCAAAACCTGCCTAACGGCGGAAAATTGGAATGAGAATGAGCTCAATCTGGATGAATACTGGATCAATGGCTTCTATCTCTATGTACAATAGCAATTGGTCCCTGTAGTGGGAATGGTAATTCGGAGTAGAACGAGAATACGACTGACTATACTTCGTATATACTCTCCTCGGCAGCACTCCGGCAAATGGACCAGTCCATCCTGACCTTTCCCTTCACCTCGTCCATGGCCCTGAAGGCTTCAGCTCCAACTGCCGACATCGGCAATTATACTTTTGTGCCCCTTTTTGTTTGTTTCCAACTCTCATTTCCACCAAATAACTATGTACGGAGTACAATGTACATGGATCACTAGATTGCCCCATCAATTGCTAGTTATAACTAGTCCCACCCACCACCTTCACGGACAAATGCGCAATACCCGATCGTCGAGTTCAACGCAGAGTGCCGCACCGGGCCAGTGCTCGGTCTACAGAAGGCAAGGAGACCCCCTGAGGACCCGGCATCCCGATTCCTCACGGACAACAACCCGAGGTTCTGCCCGAGTTTACGCTCAGTGGCCTCGCCCGTTCGGAATGGGCGCCGGACCCTCTGCGGAAACATGCCGCTACCGCCGGACTCAACCCCGTAAATCCGACGGGGTGATCGAGGGAATAAGATCAAGTTTCTCACAAGAAAAAAAAATACAACCAAATCGAGGATTTACAAAATGAATGGGAGCAAATTCAATTACGAATGCACACGAGCCTACAGCCGAGTCGCGTGTCTCAAGTCAAGGTTTATTTGAGGTGACGCTTGCCGGGATAAGACTTTTGCCGCTTGAAAGTACCCAGTGTATATACATATATGACTACTATGTTCGACTCTACGCACCCCAGTGTACGTACGGAGTACTCAGCCCCAAACTCTCATGCACTGCTACCTTCGGAAGCACGAAATGCTTAAAAACAGAATGTGGAAATGTATATTGAGGGCTTAGGCTTTCTTAAGATGCATTTCCCCGAGTCTGGGCATATGCGTACTGAGGTGTCCCCAGATGGCGGGCACAATCTCATTGAATCAAGTCTCGGCGAGTGCACTAGTTAAATGAACTGGATCCTTTGGTCATCTAGTATTAAATACAGGGTTTCAATCAGCGGGATTGAACGTTGATTGACGGATCACCTTGACCAAGCAACTTTGCTATCGTCAGTATCGATTCAAGTCAATGGCTCGGGTACTCATCCCTGGCATTCTGAGGCTACGTACCAAGATAGGTTAGATCAACATGAACTGCAATAGAAATGACAGGAAAAATCCATACCACCCGTGTGTACGGAGTTAGTAATCAACCTAGTCAGCGATCCCATTCTCTCCCTAGGTCAGTCTTAGCGAATACATACAAACCTTAGTTCAGTGGAGTGCCGAACTGTGTCCACCTTCCGACTGAAGGCATCCAGGCATCAAGAGCCCTCAACCTCATCAATGAAACACACTAAACTGACTACTTATTCACGAAGCTAGACTGAATCCGAATCCTACATAACATCGCAATATTTATGTCTCCTGTTCCATGCCCACTAGCTGTCTGACCTCTAAAAATAAGCCACTAGGATGATTATATAGTACCTCTCTATTGCCTCCACATCCTGAAACAACTTGTTTCTCAACACCCGATAGAAGATGCCTCGTATCCCCTACCACCCCTTCGGCGTAGACGCGGCCACAGACGTAGCAAACGTAGACACACCAGACGCATTCTTAGGTTGGCAAGAACTACTATCCCCCCACTGACACCACACAGACCCCCACGGGTAAATCGCGGTCAACGTCCACTTCGAGACAGCGTAATCCGACGGCCGGTCGAAGAAGCTATATCCGGTACCACTGCAGTCTGTTGAGTAGTAGACAGTGCATTGCTGAGTCCCGCAGTTCCATCTATCCACTACGATCCTTGTTGCGTTTAATGACAAGATGTTGGCACAGTATTTGTTCTGCCAGGCGGATTTTAGCTCGATTTCGGCGATTGTGGTATAGGTGCTGTTGTCCGAGAGGTTGACCTGGGTATAGGGGTCTTCGCGCTCGGAGATGCTTGTGTCAAAGGCTAGGGCGGTCGGGGTCAGGAGGGCGAGGAAGGTAGTTGTTATTAGCGTGATGAGCTTCATAGTTGGTAGGTGGTGGAGGTTAAGGGGAGTTAGTGTTAGTAGACAAGGTAGATGCCAGCAAGGAATTTATAGGGAATCAAGCTCACAATAAGAATATAGATATGTAGTTTGTCTGTAAAGGGGATATTGTTAAACACGGTGATGTTCTATTTCTTTGAGTCCTATATAAGTTTCTATACGGCCGTAGCTATATAAGATTTTATAACAATCACTATTCGGGCACAGCTGAGATACTAATGAGAAACGCCAGCTAGAAGTGTCATCCACAGTAGTAACGCCCATTGGACTACTAAGCACTAATCAGGGGTGAAATCTCCAACATGCGGCGTCGTTTCCCGCGCGGATCCACAACTTGGAGTCAGCAAGAAACACACACTAGTTAGTTAGGAGTCTAGCGCTTGTTGACAATGGTAGTAGATCTACATCATGAACAGAATAAAGTGGAGCGACTAGGGACCGCCTCGGCCACTGGCGGTGAAGCACCAGGTACCGTGACTTGAATGATGCGGGCCCAAGCTTTATTTTCTTTGCGCTGTTCCTTCAACCTCGAATCAACACGGCCTGTCTATGGACCACCACCTTCACTCGGTCTTCACCAGATACACCTTCTAGACTGGACTGCTATACTCTATACTGCCTCTCAGATGCCCAGTTTCTCAGAGCCCACTGGCTCTTTTGCAGCGACCTGGAAGAAACGCAAGCGTGACCATGAAGAAAGCAACACCTTGACTCGTCCGTAAGTTACCCAATTCCCCCGTCAGCCAGAGTCATTCTCAAGGCCATTTTGCAATGTCCTTGCCCTTGAATCCAAGACTAACCTTCACTTCTCCCCCCCAACCCAGATCATCCTTCATCCCCTTTCGCGTAGACCGTCCCGATTACGACGGCACCTGCCCGTTGCCCCTGTCCCGACACCCTGCAGAAGGGAACGACCTCTCCTTCCGCCCCCGCTGTCTCCCTCGCAAACGTAGACACCTCCAGCCTCCATATCTCGCCCTCCCAACTCACCAACCATCTTCTCTTCTCTCTCCAAATGTCTATGCCCCCGCGCAAGACCCATATTCCCCGCCCGTCTCACCCAAGACGGTCGTACCAATCACCTACCCTCCCACATCCCCCTCCGCCCTCCGACCATGCCATATCTGCCACCGCCGCCCGACAACACGACAAGTCCTAGACGCTTATGCCGATTGTGATCTCTGTGGTGAACGTGCATGCTTTATCTGTCTGCGCCAGTGCGATGCTCTCGGATGCCTGGGCTCTGCAAACACCCCCTTCGCCGATGAACATGAGCCAGATCTATTCTCGCCCAGTGAAGACTTTGATGGTGCAGTCATGGGCCGAAGACGAAAAGTCTGCTCTGGCTGTGCTGTTGAGGGACTTACAGAGACTGGGACTGAAATTGTCCGATGCCTCGACTGTGTGCAGGGTAATTCGGCGACTGGATGGACGCTAGACGGGATGAATCATGAGATGATGTGCGGATAACCATCTGCCAGATTCTTGTATGACCCAAATTGATGTATAGAAACGACCATATGACCCCCCTACGACCTTTATCCACCTTTCTTCCTGGTGGACCCTCGACTATCTACTCTTCTTTTCTTGATGATGAGCTGCTGCGTGCATGTATTGCGGGACCTGCCTTTTACACATAGGGAACAATCCCTTTTTTCACATCTTCGGGACTTTCTTTTGTTCCTACATTTTGTTCTTCGACACAGCGATACCATTTTATGTCTGGGCAGTATTCTGCGGTTCTACTTTTTTCTTGGTTTCATAGCGTGGCATCGGGATACCAACACAATATAACTGGATATATTTTAATAACCATCTCCTCCCCCCCCCCCCTTCCTGGGATCATTCGGAATTGGGTTATGCAAAGTCATGAATATTTAGACAATATAAGTACTATAAGTAATGAACACCGCATCATCGATGCTAATATGATATGGTATAACAGACAGTATAGAAAAACCCACCATGCAATTTGAACACCATTTCAAGACTCCCTCCTGAACTGTACTCCCTTTCTCCTCAGCGGCCAAACCGCATCTGAGCTCCAGCATAGTGCCACAGCCCACGCATGAACCCTTGATACTCCACAGCCTCTCCGTAGCCGATCATACCGTGGTTGCGGTCGCCGGTGCAATACATCTCGGTCAACCGAATCTGCCACGGCGGATAGCCATCCAGCTTCAAGAAAGGTCCGAACACTAGCAGGAGATCTGGCTCCGGCTTCATGGGGCTAGCAGCACGGCCGCCAGCTTGAAGAGGTCGGGTGGTGATTTCGCTGATCTCCGCATCCACCAGTTCCGGCGTGATATCCTCTGGTGACAACTTGCCATTCTGTGACATTTCGGCCAAGGTCTTGGTCAAGTCGACGATGGTTTCGCGCCCGTCTGTCGAGGAGAGGAGGAGCAGGGTCAAGGAGGGGTTATCGGACTTGGGGTTTGGTGCGGTGCCGTAGACAGGATGGTGAGGGGCGAAGAGTTGCAGGGAGGGTTGTTGAGAGGGCGTGCCGAAGTAGGAGGCCAGTTTGGTGGAGATGATCTGGTGCAGGGCTGGGATGCAGGATTTGAGGACGCCTAGAAAGCGAGTCGGTTAGCATTTAGATTCATAGTTCATAACGAGAAAGATCTGCCCGTTCGAGGCCACGTTCTTACCAGACTTCTCATATACACTGAGCTGTGGAATACCCGCGCTGGCACTCCAGGCTGCCAACTCGGCCACCTCGTCCATCAACACAGCCAAGGCATCGTCCTCCTTATGCAGGGTCAATATCACACTGAGATGCTCTGGCAACCGCTTCAAGCCCCGAACATCCTTGCGGATCAACTCCGGCGTGCGATGGTGGTGGTAGACGATAGCAAAGACCCGGTCGACAACGGCATGGTAGGCCTGTAACAGACGCACGACAATTCCAAAGAAGATGTGGGTAATTGCATAAGTGAAACGATGGAGCTGCGACTTGAGGAACGTGCGGATAGGCTTTTTGCGAGGCTTCTGACGCCGTTGTGAAGACGTGGTTCCGGCGCGGGATCGCCGCGGCGAGTTTGCGCTCGCGTTCGCCGGTGCCAGGTCGGCTGGGTCGGGCAGGTAGGGTTTTAGGAGGCTCTCGCGGTCGGTAGCATTGAGCTTGTCACCGCGCGAGCGGATCTCTGCGCGCAGGATCTCGCGGTCGGTCGAGGAGACCATGGTGGTGTGGTTGAGGAAATTGAAGGTGGGCGGGAAGGCGTACTTGTTCAACTCCTCCGGCCACATGCAAATCACACTTTCTGCGAGTACTTCGGCCTTGGAGTGCTCCTAGGTCCGCGCTTAGTCGGGACTATCTATGTGTTAGTATTTGCGATTTTCAAGAAGCAATGTCGAAGTGATGCAGCTGAATAGTTTGTAAGATTCTAACGTGGTTGCCTGTCCTTTTGCATTGCACTGCCTCTTGTGGCCAAGGTGTTCGAACGTCAGCTATGACGAAGTAAGGACACATGGCGACATAACAACGAGATTCAATATTCGATCTATAATATTCATATTGTATCTCCTTAGATAGGTGTAAATATATGAGTATTCCGAGAAGCTACACCTTGCTACTATACCACATCGCTCTCTAGTATGCAAAATGTACCAGTGGAATTAACATCCCCCTGACGCGGTGGAAATTACCCGCAACCTCCGAACCTCAACCACCGCGCATCCCAGCTTTCCCCGGATTCTTCAATCCACCACACCCCCAGAGCCCAGTCCGCTTCCAACCGTCCCTCAATAAAAGCTGAGCAGGCCAATTCCACATTGAGCCGGTCCCGAGGCGGCCCCATATGACTCCCTTGCAATCGCCATCGCCATGATGCCCGACAATGCATCCATAGTCTCCTCGAACCCCGCCCGCTCCGTCTTCCCCAAGGGCCCCAGCTTCACACTCGAGGATTTCTCCAGCCGGGACTTTATCGTCAAGGAATTCATCGAGGCTCTCTCCGACAGCGCCATCTCCCATCGTCGCTCCGCTGCAGGAACCGGCGGCGCCCCAAACCAGCCCTTCGATCCGAAACCCCTCATTCGCACCTTCGAATATGCCCAGCGTCACCTAGGAGAGCTCTCCGGGGACCTAGAGATTCGTGAAAATGAGCTGTCAGCTGCGGTTCGACGCGCCGAAGCTCAGCATTCCCAGAATTTGACCACCCTCGGGCGGAAACTTCGACAGACCATTGAGTCATTCCAGCAGCTAGACACGTCGCTTAATGGCGCGGGATTAGAGAATGCCGGAGGCACGGGGAATATGGCGGTAGAAACGGGTCGGCGACTGGAGGAGCTAGACCGGCAGCGCCGCCGAGCTTTGGATGCCCACTTCTTGCTGGAGTGCTGGGATGGCGTGTGCAATCGCGGCGAGATCTCGCTGTTGGAGAACCTACGACGGTCAGGCACGGCGGAGGCCAAGGTTCGCTCTGCGCATATTGCGCGCCAGCTGTTGCGCATCAGTCAACGGCTTGACCCGCAGAGCTGGCAGCAGTCATCGAAGCCAAGCAATGGAAACTACGGGGGGAATTCGTCGTCGTCGGAAGATTTGAGTACTGGAAACAACACGCCGCGCCGGAATACACGGGAGATTATTGAAAAGTTCTCGGAGACGTTAGAGAAGGATCTGCTGAAACAGTTTGATGACTTCTACCGCAAGGCTAATTTTGAGGGCATGAAGGATTGTGCCACGGTGCTGCAGGATTTCAATGGCGGTTCTAGTGTGATTGCGCTGTTTGTGAATCAGCACCAGTTCTTCATTGACCGAAGTCAATTGGTTACGGAGGAAGTGGGTGGTGATGCCGAGTCATGGGAGAAGATGGCCGATCCCGATGCGGAGCTGCCCGGTGTTGAGCCAAGCCTACAGTCCTTGCTGGATGAGGTCAAGGTCGTGGTACAAGAAGAATCTGCGATCATCAAACGAGCATTCCCTTACTGCGAACAAGTGCTGGGCAAGTTTCTGCAGCGAGTCTTCCAACAGTCTATCCAGCAGCGCCTGGAGATGGTCTTGGACAAGGCCAGTGGAGTCTCGTCATTAGCATTCCTTCGATGCCTACAGAGCTCTCGGGGGTACATCAGCGCACTGATTGACGACTTGAAGGCCCACGGCCTCACGGAGCATCCGGATCCCATTTCTTCTCAGACAGCAATGCTGCTGGACCAACAACTAGAGGAGCTCTTCGTACCATACTTTGTCGGGTCTTCGTACATTGAACGAGAGAAGCGTACTCTGGAAGAGCTCTTCCACGCGGTACTATTCAAGTTCACGTCTTATCATGCGCGCCGGAAGAAGGCTGCTACCACATTCATGGCCTCCTTGGCTCGGCCCGGGACCACGGAGCTGCTGTCCACCACTCGTGATGCGTTCATCAGCCGGCTCGACTCGCCGGAGATGTCCCCCACTCAGCGCCGTACGCTACTACAAGTGGCCAATATTGGCGATGTCCCCGAGTCTCAGCGACTGACGGAGATCAGAATCACTGAGGAAGATGGACAGCCCAACCTCGGCGATGCCAAGCGCATGCTCAAGTGGCTAGCAGAGGCTGTAGGTCGGGGGCTCGAGCTCAGTGTCAACACCGATACGCATAAGGATGTGTCGGCACTATTGACTCTGTTGCTGGCCACCATGGGTGATGGCTACGTCGATGTTTGCCTCGACGCTGCTCTGGAGGCGGCTACCGCACAAGAATCCGGGAAGACTGAACCCGACTTTGGCTATCTCATGTCTGTGCGGACGACGATCAGTATCACTACTTTGATGGTGATGTGTGTCAATGCGGTATTATTGCCCCTGGCAGCGGCTAGTATCACGACTCGCCGCGATATGGAAAAACGAACTACGCAGACTACCTCACGTATTGAGGAAAAGATCAACACGATTGAGCAGAAGACGATCGATGCCACTCTGGCATGGGTCGGTCGCCTGTTATCAGGTCAGAAAAAGAATGATTTCCGACCTCGGGAGAGCGATAACGCAGCATGGTTGGAGATGTTGCAGACACCGGTACGTTTCTTTTTTTTTTTTTTTTTTTTTTTTTTTTTTTTTTTTTTTTTTTTTTTAGTTTCTTGCTTCTTTATATTTTCTCCGTCCTCTTGAAGATCTTTCCCAATACTTCGAGCAAGAGCGGGACAGAACGAAAGAAAAGAAAAGAAAAGAAACAACAAACAAAAAAGCAATACGAAAGGGGAGAAAAGCAAATCACTGACACCATATCAATAGACCTGCGCCTCTATCTGCACGTTCCTCACCCGTCTGCACAACATTGCCCGCACCTCTCTTCCCTCGAGCGGATCCAACGCCCGTCAAGTCCTAACGGAGATTGCCCTTGGCACACGCGATCACCTCCTGGAGCACTTCAAACGGTTTGCCGTCAGCGGGCCCGGCGGGCTAATGGTGACCAAGGATATGACACAGTACGCCGACCTACTCAAGTCGTGGGACATTGATGACGAAACCAAGCGCCCTGGTGGCGCGCTGGACGTACTGCTCGAGGTGGGCAGTTTGTTCGTTATTGGCGTCGAGGCCCTCCGGGAACGTATCCGGGGTGGTGCGGCGACCGGAGCCACGGGGAGCTCGGCTGGGCCTGGCCGAAGTGCTGGTGGACAGATTGAGGCTAAGTTGAGTGTGCAAGAGGTGCGGGCGTACGTCTCGCGTCGGGAGGACTCGAATACGTTGGCTATGCAGCAGGTTCTGAATGCCTTGTAGAGAAAGTGCATGGTCGGGAAGTTTCTGGTTTGTTCGGGTGTGCTTGCTAGAATTGCCCTTGTTATTGGGTCGGGATTTGCTCTGGACATGTCATATATCGGAGTCCTATCTTCCTGTTACAGTACTTGTCTCTTGGCTTTTCTGGCTGCGCTTTTTTTTTTTGGTTCCGTTTAATCCCACGGTGGAGCTCCGTTTGGTGTCCGGGGCACTCTTTGTTTGCATGGCTTTGCTTAGGTTTGACTTTATTACCCGTTTCCCCTTATTTACTCTGTACTACGGTATTGGGTCTTTTAGACCTGCGGTAGAAGGCTATTATCTTGTTCATTTCTTTGCTTTACATTTCATTAAACGGTCCCCTCTCTCGTTACCGACAGGTTGGCTAGTGGCTTTCCCTAGAGGGGCCAGTTATCGATTGGGCGGTGTTTAGGGATCCATCCCATTTGACAGTTCCTGACGCGCATTGCACTAGACCGAACTAGAGAGGATCTAATCGAGCCCGCGTGGTGAGGCGCATCCGTGCAGCAATCTGTGCGAGTGCTCTGTCTTCTATGTGACTCGTTCTTTGGGGAGAAGTACGGAATAGTGTAGGTGCATGATGTATACTGTAGTGTGGTACATGCCCTTTCCTTTAGTCGGTCAAGGACGAGTACTACTGCTCCTCTGGGGGATAGATCTGGTGGCGGTCTGACAGCTTACGTCCGCCTACAGTGGAGAATGTTAGACATATACTCTGACATACAGCACATCCTATTGTAATAGTTGATATAATAGGTTATAATACTGTACTTCCGTTAGGATAATATGAACAGGTCGTCTTCTCAACACGGCTCATTAACATTGAAGTGGAGTATCGGTAAACTCTGCCGTCTCTCTATAATCTGACAGGTAACTCATCTAATCCCCATAAACTCTAGTTCCGTGGACTCTTAGCGTTTACACAAACTTTGATAGTTCCAAACCTCCCAAGAGCTCCGTCACAATGTCATTTGACAGCGTTCGGTTCGCTTTCCGCCGATCAGATACTGTCTGGACATTTCATGCTTTCTTCGGTACTCCATACATACTGTTGTACATATTGATACTCCAAACCTGTACTGTACTGCAGACCATCAAACCTCACGAGAGTCTATCCATTCTGCCTCGTGCCCCGCATCTTCCAAGAAACCGAGAACCCCCCATCGGGATTTACAACCCAACGACCAGTTGGACCCTGGAAATCTCCGACCCCAACGTGAGCCGGCCAGTTTGCCCTTCTCAGCGTTTCAGCTGGGCGATTCCGTTTCAGTTGGCGCCAGTCCAGACTCCAAACTGCGGTAGCCCTGACGATCCAGGGCTGAGAGCCTAAAAGAGGAGGCTCCTGGCCAACAATATTGGGTACTCCGTCTTATGTACATGAGATGATAAGGAGCTACAGCTGTTTCTGGCTTATGTATGGAAGAGGCCCTTGTCAAGCTGACCGGCGATCCCGACGCTGATCCTTTTCGGCTCAAATAAGCGGCCCACCATGATCTCACCCCCTCGAGTCCTCGTCTCGCTGCCCAAGTAGTGGTCCGCCTTTTCCGCGTCATCTGTAGGGCTGGGAGAGAAGGGAAGGGGAAGGCAGGGGCGAGGCATCCTGGGCCGGTCAGAGCAACGGCCCCAAGGAATGATAATACGACCAGTCGCAAACATCGGGACAGTGTGGGGGGTTAAAATAGGTTTGTTGGTCGTTATTCTGGGCGTTGGCCATCCATACAGTACACAGAAATCTGCGGAGTACTGTACATCCAGTGCAAGGTCAGGGACTTTGTATGTACCTTTGTACAGTACCTTTCATCAGTGGCTTTTTTCCACCCCCTTGCTGGGGCTTTCCATCGGACTGGGTGCGACCAGCCGAGATGAAAAGGGTGAGAGAAGACTGGAAGATTGGAAGAGTCAAGACTAGGGGCTGTTTTGTTCCCGAGGTTGCACAGGAGTAGATCTAATTGAATTGCCGCGTCGAGGGTAGAAAGGGGAATGTTGTCCAAAGTACGGAGTACAGCATTTCAGGCACTCTAGTACTTCGTACTGCTATGGAAGGATCTGAGCTTAGGGATCGGTTCCTGGGATCTCCGATTGTTAGCGACAAACCGGTTCATCGATTGGTTCATGACTGGTCATATTCCAGCGTGACGCATGTCTAGATCGAGGCCATTTTTGCTGTGTGCTGTGCTTGTCCGTGATGTATGTCTTGTTCGAGTCTGCTCCACTTTTGACAAGACAGTTACTGTTGATCATTCTGCCTAAGGAGGGGGGGAAAAATGACAGGTCTCAAAATAGATCGATCCCATTACTGAGGACTGACCCTTCGGTCTGTGCGTTGCATTTTTCCGTTTTCCATTTTCCATTTTCCATTTTTGCTTCTTTGTTCGATGTGTTGGCGTCATCTCCAGGTTGGGCATGCGCCGAACCAGAGACATGGGATACCCCCGGACCGATTACTCGTAATTGACCACAAGCGCGTGCGTTGGGAGGGGGGGTTCCAATTTCGGCGCTTGCGAGATGGAGTGGGGAAGGGTGCACAGCTCTGAGTATTCTGAGTACAGCGAAGCACAGAGTAGGGATTTCCTATATAGTAGTCCTGGGTGCGCTTCGTCGACAGGCGTGGACTCTTCTTTCTTGCATGATTCTATCCAAAGTGTATATGCTATACCTTTTTCTGCACCGGGTTTCTCGGAGAATTCTTTTGTGATTCACTATTGATTCTTGATACTCTTGTTTCCTGACAACTGCTTGGACCGGTCTCACCTTCCTATACTCCGACGCCGTTGTCCCCGTCGCCTTGATTTAACAATCTCGAGATCAAGCATCGAATGAGCGAGTCCTTCCAATTGATCCTATGACCCCGACATTTCTAAACTCCGGATCTTACGAATACCTTCTACTGAACCCTCTTATCGTCCATCCTCTCTCTCTACAGTCCATCCAGTCCACTCTGGACATCCCAACATGATCCCTGCGGCCAGCGAGGAGGACTTGAGATCTCTGCCACCTGCTGTGCGACGAAAGGTAAAGGCTCTTTTTTTTTCGCGTTCTTCCTTGTTGGCATTCGTTTTGATTTCATCGTTCTCTCTTTCTTTGTTTGCCATCCAACTACCCTGGCCCATCTCATTTCCCCTTACTGAGGGGGGACGTGCAGCGGACCGTCGATAGTCAACTTGATAGTCTCGGACTAGGCCCTTTGGCTGGTCGATACGAGGTTCCTGTTCCTTCCCAAAAGTCCCACCTGTTGGGTTTTGTTTTCTTGGTGCTTGGTCTCCACTTGGACACCGCGAAACCCTGCACATCCTTGCACATCCTTGCACATCCTTGCACATCCTTGCACATCCTTGCACATCCTTGCACATCCTTGCCCTCCACAACTGCCAGATGCTTTTGTTTTCTTTTGACATGGCTGGACTGGCGGTTTCTCCACACTGGGCGCCACTGCTATCCCATCACAGTCCTTTTGACGGCAGAAGGTGTTCGTTGGATCCCCCTGAACCGCTCTGGCGCTGGTGGAGCCCGCCATTTAGCCCCGTCACCCGCACTATCAAGTGATGGCGCCAAAACTCAACGCCCCTCCACTGCTCTAAACTGCTTTTCGAGTCTCCTCGTCGAGTCGTTTCCTCGAGTCGTTTGTTCCATTCTTTTGCCGGTCGGCTTATGAAGCCCCCCCCCCCCCCCACCCACCTCCCATTTGCTCATCTCCACTCAACACTCAATTGGAGTGGAAACCATATCCACACGATGTCCTCTGTTGAAAGGCCAGCGCTGACCCCAAACAGTTCTTCTCGAATGTCGAGCGCTTGCGCATTCGGCTAGCGCAGAGCGATCCCAGTTCCCCTGCGTGCTCCACGCACTACAATCACCTCCATCACGCCCGGACTTATCGGCCTAGTGGCCGTCTTGGGTCTGATCTCCTCTTCCACCATCCTCACTCGCACTCCCACCCTTACTCTCATTTTCATTCTCATTCTCGTACACTACGCAACGCTTCGACAACCTCCCTCGCCAGAGGCCGTGGACTGGAGAAACGGTCGACTGCCACTCCCAGAAAATTGCGCAAGCCTGGCTCGCTGCAACTGGCCTACCTAGTTGCCCAGGCAGACTCGCAATGCTTCCATTCTCTCCCCGCTAAAATTCAACAAAAGCTTTTCTCCTCCGAAGAACGCTTGCGTCTTCACCGCGCTTATCGTGAGAGTATCATTCTGGACGCTGCCGACGAGGCTTTCTATCGTCGCCCTTTCCCTCGGCGTCGTCCGTCTACCGACAGTCTCCCTTCAGAAACCACTCTCCCGGTAGCACAACCAGACACGGTCTTTTACGATTCAGACTCGGAGGACGAGACCGACGACAGCATGGATCAGTCAATCTACGACAGCTTTCGCTGGCTTGATGAAGATGGTGACCTCGACTTGTCTCTGGATGAGTACCATGCCCATGTGGCGGATGCTGCTGCCAAATCCAAACCTCGGCGTCGCCCATCCTTCCGTCGGTCCTTATCATTTTCCACCCACAATCTGAGACAGCATCGACCCTCACCATCGATGCCAACCCGCACTCTTCCTCTATCTCACACAATTCAAGCTCTCGCCCCTCTTGCAACTGGCCATCGCTCTTCCTCTCGCCCGGGCTCTCGTCGCCGCCAACCCATCCAACATGCGCACAAGTCTTCCACATCAAGTATCGACCCCGCCGCACAATACTACCAAGATCCCGACGCCCGTCTCAAACTGCGTGTCTACCTGGCCTCGCCGCAGAAATTCGATGAGGCCATTGAGTTCGGTTTTCCATCCTTGGAACAGGATAAGGAAAACATCGCTCCAGACCATACCCCCACGTCCCCTAAGTCACCCACGGTGACAAGTGACTGGGCAGGGACGTTTTTCGAGGATGATGATGGCACTGTGCTCGGCACTCCTGGCGGATCCATTGAAGAGCCTGCGGCTTCTCGTGCTTCTTCTCAGCTCAAGGAAACCTCGCGGCCGTCAATGGATACTCCTTCTCCACTCCAGCGGCGTCAATCACTCCTTCTAGGCTCAAAGACGGGCCCCCAGAGACTCCCAGGAAACCGGGAGATGACCCTAAAAATGACTCTCACCCGGCCGGATCTGCGGACTGAGTCTCCCACTCCCTCCCAGACTTCCCCACAGGAGGATCCGCTGCGCCTGGCGGCACTGCCCCCGCCAGACCGTGCCCAGATGATCTGGGACTCGGATGAGGATGACCAGGGCGTCGTCAAAAAGATGTGGCGCAGACTTCGTCGACGAGTTTAGACGAGGACTATGTGCCAGGTCACTATTTTGTTCAAATCACCCTTCTTTTTTTCTTATTTCTCCCCAACATTCTTGGGTCTCATTGCTGTCATTCTTTTTAGCGTGCAAACATTCGTCCATTGATATCCGGGGTGTGTTTCTTGAAGGCGTCTTTTCTTTCTGGTCACTCTGCATATCGAACCTAGCGTTTCCTTCGATTTTTTCTGATTCGGGCCTATGCCCACCATTCTCATGTATCTATCCTTTTTTTTTTTTTCTGAATAGTCTGCAGCACTCTGTACATATCTCCTTGGCTGCCGTGTGGCCAATGCAACTTGCTTGGAGCTCCTCAAATCATCTCTGATGTAATTGTAACTATTTTCATCATTTACTATACCCCAACTGTCGCAAGTGGATCGATTGGTAGATCGAGTGATGTGCAAACCATGGTTCATCCGAGCGGAAGGCACGGAGTCTTTCTGCGATAGCGCGATAAAGCCGGTATTTCACGTGACAGGGGAGCGCTCCCCCAGGCTGAGGCCACGCAGCTCCCTCGTGTACGACATCACCATTCTCTCTTTAGCACATTGACCACGACTGGGCTTACTGTGTCCCAGGGTAGATCTCATTCCTCTCGCCCCAACCCCCCTTTTCGATTTCTCTCCTACTCCCTCGATACGCTCATTTAGCCCGCGCAACCCGGACCGGCCCGCTAGTGCAGCTTAGGCTGCTGCATCCTCCCACACTTCACCAACGACTCTTCCCCCTTCAGATGCCGACGTACCGCCGGTCATGATCCCTCGGTGGTTGCTGCTTGTGGCCTGTTTGTTGCTGGCTTGGTCCGCACAACCGGCCACAGCCAAGGAGGACAAACCCAAGCTCTCGTCCGAAGTCCTCGACCATGCGCCCTACGATCTGTTCTATTTCAAAGGCACGGAAACCGTTCTCTACCGTGACCCGAAGAAGCACACTGCTCATGTTTCGTTTGATGGAGGCTTGAAATGGGAACCTATCAAGGGTCCCGATGGGAAGATGGAGGGCACGGCTGCCGTCATCTGGCCGCACCCGTACGATTCGAAGCGCGCCTATGTGCTTGGTGAAAAGGGCCAGCATTGGGTCACGACCGATCAGGCTGAGACTTGGGAGTCCTTTGAGATCGCAGCTCGGCCTATGATGACCGAACGCGGGACCCCTCCGCTTGCTTTTAACGGCTGGCACCCCGAGAAGGTCATCTTCATGGGTCTGGATTGCTCTGGTATCATCGGGTGCATGCCGAAGGCGTGGTATACCACGGATGACTTTAAGACTTGGAATCCACTGCAGGAGATGTTCTACTCGTGTATGTGGGCGGCGGGCACTCCGCAGTTTGGATTCGACCTTGATCTGTCCAAGGAACTCGGAGACCGCGTTCTTTGCGTGGTGCCCGGATTGAAGGGCACCATGCATTCTGAACGTCTGATTTTCTCGGATGATTATTTCCAGGATGGTATAGATGGTACCGAAGTTAATCTTGACCGTGGACGGCCCGTTACCGGTAGCCAGATCATTGCGCGCTCCGTGAAGAAGTATCTGGTGGTTGGTTTACAGTCGCAAGGCACCACCGAACAAGCTCTTTATATCAGCGATGACTCGAAGGAATGGCACCGTGCTGAGTTCCGTGGACATCGGATCGAGCAGGACGCGTACACCGTTTTGGAAAGCACCAACTACAGCATCCAGGTGGATGTGCAAACGACATGGCATAAGAATAGCGTGGGCGTGCTCTTCTCGTCCAACTCCAACGGAACCTACTTCACCCCTAATATCGAACATACCAACAGAGACGCCAACGGTTTCGTTGACTTCGAAAAGGTCGCCGATATCCAGGGCATTGTGATTGTGAACACGGTCAAGAATTGGGAGGAGGTTGAGGAGTCCGACAAGGCAGACAAGAAGCTCGTCAGTGGCATCAGTTTTGATGATGGCAGAACGTTCCAGCCTCTCAAAGCTGATGGTGATGACCTTCACCTTCACTCAATGACCTCCTACGATACAATGCACGAGCTTCCTATCGGCCGCATGTTCTCCAGTCCCGCGCCGGGTATCGTGATGGGTGTGGGTAACACTGGCGGTCACCTGAAGAAGTATTCCGATGGTGACCTCTACGTCTCCGACGACGCGGGTCTCACCTGGCGTCGCGCGCTCAAGGGCCCTCACCACTTCAAGTTCGGTGACCAAGGCGGTGTCATCGTGGCCATCGCCGATGACGGCAAGACTGATAAGGTTCAATACTCTCTCAACCACGGCAAGGACTGGGAAGATTCTATCAAGCTGGAGCACAAGATCAAACCGCTTTATATCATTACCACCCCCGAGGCAACTAGCCTGAAGTTCTTGGTTGTTGGCGAATCCAGCGAAAAGGAGGGCTTCGTCATCTATACCATTGACTTCGATGGACTCCACGAGCGCAAGTGTACCAAGGACGACCTCGAGCCCTGGTGGGCCCTCCTCGACGAGGATCGTAAACCGAAATGTCTGATGGGTCACAAGCAAAAGTTCATGCGCCGCAAGGCTGACGCGGAATGCTTCATCATGGAGGACAAGTTGGATCCGCCTATCTTTGAACCGTGCGACTGTACCAAGGATGACTTTGAGTGCGACTACAACTTTAAGCGCAACGAAGAGAACGAGTGCGTGCCGGCCGTACCTCTGACTCCCCCTGCGGGTAAATGTAAAGATAAGAGCGACAAGTATAAGGGTCCGTCTGGCTGGCGACTCATTCCGGGAAATACCTGTCGCCGCACGGATGGCAAGAACTACGATGAAGAGATTGAACGCTCATGTGACGATACCACTGGCTCTCCTGGTGGAGGCATCGGTGGTGGCGATGGCAAGGTTCATGCCGGAAAGGCACACGAATTCGCGGGCGCCGACCTGGAGTACTTCTACTTGGAGCGTCAGACAAGTAACTCGGGAGATGACGAGACCATCTTCTTGCTCTCTAGTAAGAATGAGGTGTTTGTCACGCACGACCACGCCAAGACTTGGGACCAGCCCAAGGAGTTGAAGGGCGAGCAGATCGTGGGCATGGTCCAGCACCCTTACTATAGTGATGGTGCTTACTTCTTGACTGCTGGAGACACCGCATACTCGACAATCAATCGCGGCGATACCTTCAAGAAGTTCAAGCTGCCCACTTCTTTGGCGAACCGGGAGAAGAACGACCCGAACCCATTGGCCTTCCATGAGAAATACATGGACTGGATGATCTGGATGGGTAATGATGAATGCAAAGGCAGCGACTGCGTCCCCGATGCGTACTTCTCCAAGAACCGCGGTGCGGACTGGGAAGGCCCTGACCTGCGTGGTGTTGGTCAGTGTGTCTTTGCCTACCACAATGGCCGCGAGGATAGTGAAAATCTTGTCATCTGCGAGCAGTATGAGAAGGAGAGCAAGAAGTACAACCGCCAGCTCGTGTCCAGCGACTCCAAGGATAACCGGTTCGGGGACCGCAAGGTTATCAACGACAACATCGCTCACTTTGTCACTATGAACGATTACATTGTCGTGGCGACCTTCCCGACTGAGAAGCACAAGTATCTGAATGTGAGCACCAGCATGGATGGCCGTGTCTTTGCTCAGGCCAATTTCCCCATCAATGTCGATGTTCAGCAATACACTGTGCTTCCCGGTTCCACCGATGCGTTGTTCCTGTTCGTGCAGATTAGCGCTGAACAAGGCCACGGTTATGGCCAGCTGGTCAAGAGTAACAGCAACGGCACCTATTTCGTCTCGAGTCTGTCGGCCGTGAATGTGGATGATCGTGGCTACGTTGACTTTGAGAAAGTTGCCAATCTTGAGGGTGTCGCTCTAGCGAATATTGTTGCGAATGTCGATGATGTCAAGAACAAGGGCTCTAGCAAGAAGCTACGCTCTGTGATTACGCATAATGATGGTGGTCAATGGGCTTTGCTTCCTCCTCCCACGCGGGACGTCGAGGGCAAGAAGTTCGGTTGCTCTGTGACTGAGGGCAAGGGCACCGAGGCATGTGCACTACACCTCCACAGTTACACGGAGCGTCGTGACTGGCGGGATACTTTCTACTCCGGCTCTGCTATCGGTGTTCTCATCGGTGTGGGCAACGTCGGTGAATATCTAACGAGTGCTGACAGCGAGGATGTCGGTACTTTCCTGAGCAATGACGGCGGCATCACCTGGAATCAAGTCAAGAAAGGCCGTTACATGTTTGAATTTGGTGACTCTGGATCCGTCATCGCGCTCGTGCGCGAGTTGGAGCCCACCCAGTCTGTCTTTTATAGTCTTGACGAGGGCAAGTCCTGGTCAGAGTTCCAGTTCGCCGACACCGAGGTGATTGTGCTGGACATCTCGACCGTTCCCTCGGATACCTCCAAGAGCTTTGTCCTGTGGGTTCGGGAGCCCAAGTCCTCCAATCGCTTTGCCACCATCCCCGTCGACTTTAGCGGTATTTGGGATCGCGAGTGTGCGCCGCCTGATGGCAAGGAGCCTAGCGATGATTACTACCTCTGGACTCCCAAGCACCCGATGCAGGATGATAATTGTCTCTTCGGCCATGTGGAACAATACCACCGTAAGCGGCCCGACAGGGAGTGCTGGGTGAATTGGCGCGATCCACATGTGCATCGGGTAGACAGCTCGAACTGCACCTGTACCCGTGCTGACTTTGAATGGTAAGCAAGCATTGCATATCTTTAGAGGAAAATATCAGTCCCGCTAACGATATCATTAGTGACTACAACTACGAGATTCAAAGTGACGGTAGCTGTGGTCTCATACCTGGTTTCCAACCACCCGACCACAGCCTCTCATGCAAGGACGACCCCGACCAGGTCGAGTACTGGGAACCCACCGGCTACCGCCGTCTTCCTCAGACAACCTGTCAAAGTGGCTATGAGCTCGACAAGCTACAGCCACACGCATGTCCCAACAAAGAGAAGGAGTTTGAGCGCAAGCACGGCATCAGCGGCGTCGGTCTCTTCTTCGCCATCGTCATTCCGATTGCTGCCGCCGCGGCCTTTGGCTACTTCGTTTATACTCACTGGGACGGCAAGTTCGGCCAGATTCGCCTTGGTGAGTCCGGCGGTGCGTCGAGCCAGGGCTGGTTCACTCGGGATTCTCTTCTAGTCGCCATTCCCGTCACGGTCATTGCCGGCACCGTTGCCGTAGCTCAAGCACTTCCCATGCTTGCCGTGAGTCTGTGGCGCAGTGTTAGCGGCTTCGTGCGCGCCCGTAGTCGCGGATACCAGCGACCATATGCGACAAGGGGCTCCTTTGCCGCGCGCCGTGGTGATTATACACATGTTGTGGATGATGAAGATGAATTGCTAGGTGCGGATGATCTCGACGATGACGAGGAGGCGTAGATAATCACGGCCATACTGGGACAAAATCGGGTGAAAATCGAAGATTTGATTTGGGTCTGATGTGTGATCTGATTGGAATACTTGATGTGACATTATGAGCGCGACATGTTTTATTTTTGGATCTTTTTTTTCTTTCTTTGTTTTTTCTCCCTCTTTTTATTTTCTTTCTTTTCCTCTTTTCGTTTCTGTCCATGTACTGCATATCTTGCTGGCGCCGGAGACATATTTCTCTTGGCCAGAATTTTGACGCCTTGGGGCGCAAAGATATAGAGAGGGCTTCTTCTTCGTCTTTTGCTCGGTTTCTTTCGTTTAGATCATGACCTTTAATGGGAATTTGGCTTCAAAAGGAATTGCGTACTATCAATTCGGCATACTCGGTGCTATTTCTTGCTAGTTTTCAGCTGGTTAATACTCATGTCCGGCTCATTTGGGCAAGTCCTCTGGGCCAAAAGAATCCGGCAGCAACTATGGTCATAATGAGTTAGATAAGTGATGGTATATAAGGGAAAAGACGAGGAATAGCATACCTCGCCCATCGTCTTCACGGTATAGTTTCCCTGCCCGTCATACATGTACACCGGGAATGAAGGCGTAGTGAACTCGCGCATGCTAGTAAAGATATTAGCCCATTGTCCAGCAGAAAACCCGTACGTTCTCGCTTCGGAAATAAGAACATACTACTGTCGACACATCCCACACGGCGACGCGCCAGGCGTAATATCCGTCGCAACGGCAATAGCCCGAAACTCCTTGTGGCCGGCCACCTAAGAATCACCGAATCAGCTTCTAGCTATCAAAAGGCAAACCCTTTTGATAGGTCATATCTTGCAAACAGAACGGGGTATTATAGGTATTCGACGACATACAATAGCAGTAGCAAACGCAACACGCTCAGCGCATGTTCCAACGGGATAAGCCACGTTTTCCACGTTCGCGCCGACGACAAACTCGCCCGATGCAGTGAGAATGCATGCGCCGACGCGGAACTTCGAGTACGGGCCTGGACAGTCGTCAGTACGGATGCAACACGGAGGGAACTAGTTAGGTATAGCTAGGTATAGCTAGTACTAGCGAGCTAGCTAGCTATTGCCGTGACGGGACGTAAAAGCTCACAGTATGCGGCGGCTTTGGCGTCGATAGCCTTTGTGGAGAGGGTTTGGAGCTCTTGAGCTGTAACGGGCGCTTGGATGGGTGGCATTGTGGATGGAGGAGATTTTGTGGTGGGAGAAGCAGTGAAAGAAAAAAGTAGTTACATTGGCGAAGTGGGAGGTGCGGAGGAGGCGGGGATGAGACTGCGATTGTTCGGCTTATCGCGTTTATCGGCGGGGTGGGTTTGGAGGGAGGTTATATGTTGAGATTCTTGTCGCTGATCCGTTTTCAATTAATAGTAAAGATGTATTCTCACTATGATTCTGGTTGTAATTTTAGATTTGTCGCTATTCAATAAAAGCATTGGTAGGGAAGAGATGAGCAGGAGAGGGATGAGGTACAAGGATGTATATGACAGGACTCGCGAGAATATATCATGCTATGCTGTGCCCCAGGACAGCCCCTCATTTGTTTCAGATTATAGTTCTATGGTATATCCAGAGGTGATTCGCTACTTATCAAGCCTCAAACATCATCTGGTAGAATTCTACTGATGTTCGCTTCCACGATATGCTAGCTTGATTCCTGTTCAATCATTTCCTTTGAGATAATATCTTAGAAGAAATATCAATTGCAGTTTAGACTAGCATGCGCGAGGAGCGTATAGAATCGAACGGAATCAATAGAACTAGGCTGAGTTGATTAATTGTTGATTAGAAAGTAAAACCATCCATATGCAGAGGACACAATGATGTCCTTGCTAATAAAGAAGCGACTCCGGAGTTACTACTACCGATCTTCTAAGAAGCTAGCTTCCATACAAACTTTTATATAATGCACTCTACTTTCCCACTCCACGTCTCCCAACACATCTCATACGATATATTCTGCCCTTGAATCAAACTTAGCCATCAATCCACATAGAAGGACCCAGCCAGCAATACTCGGACCACAGGGCTGACACGACTCTCATAGCAATATAGGCCTTGGAAGCTATCCTGCAAGAAATATTTAGATTTTGATTGCTATTGTTGCTATTTTTGCACGCTGCTCCTGCCTTCCAAAGGGCCAAAGTACCCTTCTCGAAGACGGAATACCAAATTGAGGGAGACAATCAGTTTTTAGAAAGAGGAAACGAGAACCAGTTCATATAAATGACCCAAAAACCCCCAGTAATTCGAGCATAGCAACTGCGACGCTCAACTTTGTCATACACAAACAATGAGGTGCACAGCCGTCGTTCATTTTTGCCATAGCAAGTGATAACGTCGATAATCCCTTTTAGCACTGGACTTGTCCATTAGCAAGGGACCAGACAGGACCAGATACAGCATCCGGGTCAGGGGTGGTATTGAGATTATCATCCTTGAAGGCCTGAGGAACAAGAGCTCCCGCATGAGGGTTGTTCCCATTGGCAATGATCTCGGCAGCGTTGATGTTCGTGTTGTTGCTGCTTGTCAAGTCAAACTGCAGTGTCACCTGCGCTGGAAGGTTGAAGTCCGAGTAGAGTGTACATGTTCGGTGGCCAGACTTCACAGACTCGGGCGTGGAGAATTTGTAGACGTAATTAGCACAGGTGCCTAGCCGGTTCAAGCATTCCTGGATACAGTCGCATTCCGTTCGCACTTGCGGGAACTCCAGGTCGACTTCAGTCACGACTCCAGTAACATCAAACCCGCGAGTGTAGCGGATACAGCCTCTATCTTGAGTACTTAACCCTGGGCAGATGAGAGGAAGTCCCGAACCCGACTGGTGGCGATGGGTGGTAGGATTTGCGACGGCACCAAGGAAAAGAAGAGAAGCAAAGAGATAACAAGCGAGGTGCATTTTGTCCGATAGAGGCTCAAAAGTATATGAGATTAGGATAGTGTCATAAAGGGACTATTCCACGAGGTAGTTATCTGCAGCGATGGTTGGAGATGATATTTTGAAGGTGATTTTAAGTCGCTGTTGCTGCAGTTGCTTGCATCATTTTCTCCTGATCCACCAAAACAGTCCGCGCCTTTATACTTCGAAAAGTGTGACAGAACAATGAATGATTGGCCGTAGGTACGGTTGGGGATCCGAAGGGTCTGTCGAAGTCTACCTCGTGATAGCCCTAGAGAAGAAAATGCATGGAGCCTAGCCGATGCTTAATTTAGCCCATTGACTTGCTCCGAAGCTTAATTCACTAGTCGCACTGCTCAACCCAACGTCATGATACTCCGGATATATCCTAGGATACCACACACAACCTCTGATCAGATCATGCCACACTTCCTGAGCCTTATACTCCGTAATATTCAGCGGTCGCTTTCTGCGACCATCAGCTTACTGGCAATCGCATTAGGCCCGCTGAAGCTTACGTCGTTGGGATCAGCAATGAACGCGCTAGAGAGATCTAAATATCTTGCGAAGGGCGCGAAAGGCACTATTCTACAGCATGCTAGAATCTAATGGGGATAGTAGGTGTCTTTGAAGATCTAGACCCTGAGTAGATGACACGATTCCACAGCGATGTGTCATGTATCTCGTTTTCGTTTAGAAGGTTCTACCTATTCTCCGATACCCATCCAGGCTACAACCAACCACATCAGGGTTCCAAGTTACACAGGTAATCCCAAAGCTAGCGCCACAAATGGAGCAACGAGTTTTAACCTTCGAGTGATCTTAGTGTCACTTCAGTGGAGCGTCTATTCATGATGTACCTCCAAACTCTACCCAGATGTTCTGCAAGGAGGACATCAAAAAGTTTCCATGGCTTGGTGGCAACTAACAAGAATACCATGGTATAAGCGCAAAGTCACGCCTACAAGGTGGAATAAATTGACATGATTGATGGAAGAACTATCGAAAAGATAAGGGATATTTATATTATGTTAACTTAACTCCAGTTTACCAACCAAGCATGCTGTGTCCTAGGTCATGATCTATTTAGTCTTTAAATAGATTATCGTACTAGACCATCATATTATGCATAAATCTAGACATGGATACATCAGACAGATCCCTTTAAAGTTCTGTCATTAGCTTTCTCTGTCGTAAAGTCCCAATTAATCAAGAGGTTTTAGGTTGTCACCTTGCTTCTCTAACCGGTCCATATTGATCACCCGATGGGGGTGATGTGATTCAGAACCTAAGCTGGAATGCTCTCATAAAAGCGGTAGCAACCCAGATGAGAAAGCCCCATGCGTCACATATTTTCCTGTTTATATAGTCGCATATATTCCCTGCATATCCCTTCCTAAGCCCACTTCCCAATTAAAGCCATGATACCTGCGCCCAAAAGAGTACACACAGCCATAAACAACAACCGAGACCGGCGCTTAGTCCGACAGGGATCGAACAAAAAATCTCTCGCAAGCAGTTCAACCAGACCAGTGTAAATCAAGATACCGGCCGAGACCGCATTCAAAACACCTTGAATAATGAGAGACACCTTTGAGCCTGGAGTATACGTGTGCCGAACTCCCAGCCCAATGGCGATCGAAATGGGAGAGGTCAGACCGTAGGCGGCACAAAGGATCCAGGGAAGCCAGGTGTGATGACCGAAGGGAATGGCAGACATGCGGGCGCCGATACCTAATCCCTCAAAGGATTGATGGAACACAAGCACCGGATATCAAGTTGCGAACTCAGAGCCTGTGACGCCGAGATTGAGGCCAATAATGACGGAATGGAAGATGATACCAAACTCGAGCAGGAGGAAAGCGGCTATTTGTTGCCGGAAAGACCGCTCGGCGATGGTTGAGTCTGTCTCCCCAGAGGCCCGGTTGTTTTTCTCGTTGTCATATGCTTGCACAGTCTTTTCGGCATCGGGTACAGGTTGGACATCAAGGTGATGTTCGTGCTGCACAAAAGCGCTCGTGGCGCCTTCAGCCCGATGAACGCCATATTTGTGCTCGACATAAACCTCTGCTGCCAGATCGAGGAGGAATATCCCCATCACGGTGGCGAGAACAATAGCTGCACACCAGGAATATTCACCCCCAGTATCCCGATACGCCGACGCAAGTATTCGGGCCAATTCGTTTGTAGGCTGGGTCCAGCAGATGGACGAAGGCTGTGGCGACGATAACTCCCGTGCCGAAGTATCGAACAAAGATGTACACGCCAAACGGGATTTTCCACCTAGTCATTCGCTTAGAGATTACTGGAAAGACAGGGAAGGCTGATGAAGGCTGAGGTCACGAATAGAATCACGAAGATTGAGGAAATGCGAGCACCCAGGTGGCCATTGTACTGGTTATCTTCGATTGCCAGGTAGCACAGGACATCCTCTTTGCTGACCAGCTTCAAATTGACACTAGTAGGATCAAAGGAAGACATGTTGTATCACAGTCTTGAATGTCAAGGTTTGAGGTAGTCGAGATGTGCTGGGGAGAGAGATCCGGGTTGGTGATCAAAACCACCCATCTTAGACTTGTAAGTGAGGACCCGGGGAGGTTGATATCCCAGTTCTGTAGCCATCGGAATGTTCTCAAGCTTGATAGCTGTTGGGTAGCTGTTTTTTCAAGCTTTCCGGAGCATGTCAGTGGGTCTTGGGGACCCGAATGGCACTGCCAGAGTTGTTCTACCGATGATACCGTGCATGGTCTCCATAGGGCTGCACAGGGCTGAGATGGGTGGAGTCTGTCGGTAGTTAATGACTTTTATGGGCTCCATGACCGGCAAACTTAACTGAAGGACTCGTTGAGGGCAAGAGCTGTCTGGTGGATACCCTCCGTACAACGACGCTCTCACATATGGCCGATTTCTGGGATGTGACGTAAGGTGTCCGCCAACTCATCTGGCTTTCAAACGATAGAAAATGTGATACTCACTTCATTTGAACAGTCTATAACTTTTCAACTCATGGGGAGGCAGACGTATTAAGCTTGCACAGGCGTCAAGCGGAGCCAACCGCTCGCTTGTCTGATGCTGTGAGGACCCTGGGAGTTAGCGGGCCCCATTGAGCAGATTGGCTCAGTCTATCGAGGCGGAATAGGCGACGCGACTATATGAGATGCCAATCTGTCATGACTCGCCAGAAGCTATTGATATGCTGGAGTTTAAATCATCTTCTGAAATGGAAGCAGGATGCAGTGCTGTGGCTGAGTTGGTGGTTGGTATTCACCTGTATCGAAACAAGAAGTGACGAGAAACATTCATGGTTGTCTCGGCCACCTCGAGTGATTTGACTATCGAATTGGCTGAGAATGTCAGCAATGTTTCAATCTTGGGAGAAAGTGAGAACAAACCTTTGTCAGACGTTGATTGAGCTTGTGCTTGTGCCAACAAAGGCGGGGAGGGGAACCTCACCAATTCCCGGCGCAGTCGATCCAACCTCCTCCTTCCACATTCGCTTCCTTGAAAACAACGCAGTAGACGGCGGATATCTACATCAACCAAATAGGCCCTTCCAAATGCCTCCTCCTCCCCCAGCAGAGGTTATCGATGGGTGCAAGACCTTTATCCCTCTCGGTACGGTCCGTCTGTCTGCCTGCGCAGAACATGGCTGATGATATCTGCGTACAGAAAACAATCCTGATGTACTGAAACTTCTTTGTGCAAACCTCAGTATTTCCCAAGATCTTGTATTTCATGATCTATTCTCCACATCTCCAGAGTTCCTTCGAGAGTGGTATCCCCGACCTTGCCATGCCATGATTCTACTCGCACACAGCCCAATCTATAACGCTGCCCGTTCGGCTATTGAGCCTACCATCCCAGAATACGAGGGCTTCGGCCCCAATGAACCGGTGCTATGGATGAGACAGACCATTGGGCATGCCTGCGGGCTGATGGCGCTCTTACATGTCGTCTTTAATCTGGAAGATGGTCGATATGTCTCTCCAGGCTCAGAACTAGACACACTCCTTCAACAAGCTGTTCAGCTAGGCCCCACAGAGCGAGCTCAACTGCTCTACGATTCCAAGTTCCTTGAAGAGATGCATATGGATGCAGCCTCACGCGGATCCTCGGCTGCTCCCTCGCCTCATGATGAAAATCATCACCATTTTTTGGCCTTTGTCCAGAAGGATGGGCAGGTATGGGAGCTGAATGGAGGAATGAATGGACCCCTGCTCCGAGGAACATTGAAAGATGAAGAAGATCTACTGAGTGAGAACGGGCTGAAACTAACGGTTCAGGATTTCTTGACGGCTGCTGAGCAGAGTGGATTCGAAGAGATGAGCATCGTCGCAGTTACTGGGCACGGTGCTGCTACTTCACGTTTACCTTGAGAAGTACATGAATATCGAACATAAGGGCTTTTCTACCGCCAGAACTTTCTTACCCATGGTCCTGTAGATGCCTTTAAACAACATAGCGACATTATTAGGTTGTAGAGGTTGACACTAATAAGAAGGATTAACTGGGGAATGACACCGGGGCATTCAGGGTCTTTTGCCTTGACAGCGACAAGTGAATGACAGAATCTTGTGAGACTTCAAGAAGACCGAGGCCAAAGTGTCGCTCAGCTTGTCTGTGACCTGACGTACCCTTCTGGAGTTTCACACCAAGGATTGTGAAGGAAAGTAACGGGACTAGTTGAAGAAGATCATAAAAAGTAAATGAATATCATTAGACAGAAATAGCTTTTTGGGGGTGATATCGGGGTATAGAAGCAAAATAGGATAGATGACAAATGGAGGTAGGTGGAGGTAAATAGTAAAATATGTGCGACTAGATCTAACACTAACCGATCCGACAGTCGATAATCTATATGCAAGACATGCTCTAAAGCAACTCATCCAAAGTACGATCGTAATCCTTCATAGACGGAGAAAATAAAGGCTGAACTGGGCGCTGAGCGCGCACAGGTGATCCCGCACCCGCGATACATGCCCTTCAGACCTTGTTGTCTCCATAGTGCGCGTCCGACACTGACAAAGGTCTGCCGCTCCCCATTGGCAGTAAGTATCGAGATGTCGGCAGTTTGCATGCGCGACTTGATGGTGTCCGCCGGGTAGAACAGGAAATTATAACTGATACCGGCCGATGCTCCGGCAATCATCTGTTGATACACTGGCAGAGCCTCTGCCGAATCCTGGGCACTAGGCTGGGAGTAGCTGCGCAAGAGCGAGGAGACACCCTCGTAGCCACCAAACCAGGCGGCGCTACCGCCAGTCTCTCGGATCAAGGTGCCCAGCTGGCCGCGCCAGAATCCCAAGAGGCCTTCTTCACGGAACACGCGCGCGACCATGGCAAGTGGTCCCACTGGCTTATGTCCAGCAGATTCGACGGGAACTTGTATCTTGCATTTAATGAGCTCAATTGGAGTGAGAGCTAGGGATGTGACGGAGCCCGACAAAGCACCGCTGGCAATCAGAGCCGCGAAGGGCAGCTGCTCCATGCCGGGGAAGATGGTAGCCCGCAGCATGTCCTGAATGACGCGGTAGCTGAAAAACAGACAGCTGGTTTCCACTGCGGCCCCGAACATAGGGGCGCTGATACCCCGGTATAAGCCCCGGAACCCATCTGCCTTGAAGGATTGCTTGAAGCAGTCCACCGGTCCGGAATATCGAAGAGGGAGGTGTTCTGGTTGGGATTGGAGTCGGACTTTGACCGTGTCGAAGGGATACTCGATGAGTTTTCCTGCCATTCCTGCCGCCTGGAATTCGTGACCGAGGTCAATCTCTCTGCTTGTCACGCCAGCAATGTATCAATCAGTACTCACCGATCCGAAGACGATATCTTTCATCGCCTCAAGGCCCTGGTTGGGCGGAAGAGATGGCAGCTCCATTGCCACTGACTCATCGCTGATCTTGATCGCATGCTCGGCTGCCGCCATCAAGGCTTCCCACAATCACTCACACACGTACAGACGGGTTATCGCAGGGGCATGTTCACAGGAGGAGGAGTCAGAGAGGGTACGTGGGCGTGTCGAGAGGGATTTTAAGTGAGCGATTTGTCCGAGTCGGTCTCGGCGTTGAGGTGGGGGGAGGGGCGGTGAAAACGAGCGATTTGCTGTAGCCAAGCCCCGCCTGCAGTGACGAAAAGCAGGGATTTAGGGGGGATTCGGTTCGTTTGACAGGAGGAACAGGCCAGAAGCCGGACTAGATGGAGTAAAAAGAAGAGAAGTGCGTAGGCAGAGTGGAGCGAGCGAGCTGGAGAGAAGACTGGAGAGTGGCTGCCCGAGTGCAGAAAATGTTAGCGCCCAGCGCCAAGCCAACTTATCGATCAGATAATCTCCCGGTGAAATTTTCGCCCGCGCGCCGGGCCACGAGATTTGCGATCCGACTTTCTTTCTGGCTCTGATCTCGAACCCCCTCGACCCCTTGTCCTGCTGTTGTTTTGTTTCTTGGGTCCTGTCAAGTCATCGCATCGACCAGGGTACTGTCTAAACCATGTCGTCTGCTACCGAAACCCCCGCTACCACCCCCGCGACGGCCCCGGCCACGGGCATGCGCAAGAACGGTCAGTCTGCCAGGAACTCCCCCGAGGGTTCCCCACTACTCTCGGTCTTGATCTCCCGTCTGACCCGACTCTTTCCCGATTCTAGGCAAGCACTGGCATACCCCCAAGAAGGCCTTCCGCCCTAGCGCCGGGTTGACATCCTACGCTAAGCGTCAGGAGGCCCGCAAGCAACTCGATGCTAATAAGGAACGTGAACGTGAGATGAAGGAGGAGAAAGAAGCCGAGCGTCAGGTACGCTTTGCTATTCGACATTTCATTGTCTTGCAAGATCCACATCTAGCACGATACCCTCTTATTCTGCTCGTCTTATCTGTCCGGCCTATATCCTCAATTGTTTCACCATCACTTTTTGCTTCCTACCTGGTACCTAACATTCTCTTTTCTACCCAGGCCCACATCCAGCGCATCAAGGACAAGCGAGCTGCTAAGGAGGAGAAGGCTCGCTACGAGAAGATGGCAGAGAAGATGCACGCAAAGCGCGTCGAGCGTCTGAGGCGCCGCGAAAAACGCAACAAGCTGCTCAGCTCCTAAGGACGCGAAGACCAGGCCAGAAAACGGGGTCTGGTTTATCATTTTTGCCGTTCCATCATATCACCAACTTGCATGTACATACACCACCCAGCCCGAGTACTGTTGGGGTACTTGGGAGAAAGAACCGGACTTGGGCGTGGGTGGCTGGGTCACCGGCGTTCTCTAGGAGTGGTTTCCGAGGGATTCAAAATAGTTATTACGATATATCAACCGAGACAATTGCATATTACTCTATCTACCTGTCGTTGCATCATGTACTTGTCAGCGTGACAGCTGATCCATATTCATAGCGGTCTCAGGATTGCATGTCTCCACAGGTTCTGTTCCCAAGCAGCTGAATTCCATGACTGATAGTGGACTGGTACACAATTTTCAACGACGAAGTACCAAGAGCAAGATATCGAACAGTCAATTTGCCGTCATCCTGTGGGTTAGTAATCGAGAAAACATACTGCTAGTCCATAGTTAACGAGATATTCATACTAATTAATAGATCGGCGACGCAGCTGGGCGTTTTGAAAGTTCCCTACAGAATCATTTGGCTAGTAGACATAGTTTGTTGTCCATGTATATAAAATAGAATTCGACTTGCAAAGATACGGCTTAATTGTATTCATTGTGGGTGAGTTGCTGGCATGTCTACCATGTAATGATCTCTGTGTATACAATAATAAAGAAGCAACTGGGTCCCTTGGCCGCCGATCTGCCTGTACTTGGCGTCATGCGCCTTTCTCCGCCTCTCAGACCTCGAACCTTCGCCCAGCGTAGCTTCTCCTCTTTCTCCTTCTGTTCAGACCTGAAATACACATACTAATCAACAATGGTGGTATGCTGACATGGACTTTCACTACCTCAAATCCCCACTCCCCTTATCGACCTCTCGCGCCACTTTCCCGCTGACCCATGGATCATCCACTCCCCGATCCAATGACCAACCCACCTCCGACGAGCCGTTTGCAGTCCGCCACGACACCCTGACGGACCGGAACTCGTCTGGTGCTCCTCCTTATCGACATCGCCATGGCCGCGACCATCCCACCTCGCCTGACGAGTCTCTTACGCACATCCGCACCCGATCTCTAGCGAAGCAAGTGGAGCTTCCGGGCTTTGATGGAGTAAAGTCACATCATCGACACAAACATAGCAAGTCGCGCGAAATCCGACTGCCGCGCCCCATGAGCCATCTCGCGTCTTCGGCCAGTGCGCGTGGCCTGCTACCCACCTGGTCAGGCGGTCGGGACAAGGAGCGGGAGAGTGATGACGGGTTATTGAGGCCGATTACGCGAGAGACGACCAGGTCTCGCTGGGGATCGGATTCTACGAGCGGTTTGGGTTCGGGGAGTCGGAGGGGTAGTCTTTTGGATACACCAGAGCAACATGAGCGGCTGGGTCCCATTCGACGACAGGAGATTCAATCGATGGAGGATTTAGAGCAGGTCAAGAAGCGCCGAAAGCAAGGTGAAGAGTACGGAAGATCCCTGCCCCCAGAAGCAGATGACGCGGCGATAGTGGAGCTGAGCACAGGGCTGATGAAGGAGCTTTAGGTATCTCCGGTCTGCGCTTTCTTCCATAGGAACCCTTGCAACAGACCTGACCCGGCGACTGGATTACACATACTACAATCTGCTGGAGAAGATCACTGCGCTCAACTCAACTATTGGCTCGTTCCAGGAACTCTCCGACTCGGCGTCAACTCTGCTCAACGATTTTGAGCGGGAGACAGCAGGGCTAGATCAGGAAATTCGCAAGCAAATGAATGATCTCAAAGGGTTCGAACCGCAGATTCAAAAAGCGGACGCCCTGGACGAGCGCATGAAGAAAGGCCGGCAACGAGTAGAGGAGCTGGGCAAGCGGCTCGCAGCCGTGCGACAGCAGATTGACAGCTGGGAGGAGAGAGAGGCCGAGTGGCAGACTCGTATTAGCCGTCGGCTGCGCATCTTCTGGGGGATCGTGTGCAGTGCATTCCTAGTGTTGGTGCTAGCTCTGGTGGTGCAAAATTGGCCAACCCTCAGCACACCCCATCACAATCAGGTCCCAGTCCCAACCGAGCTGGTGAAGTTGGTGAACGAGTCTATCACTAGCTCTGCTGATCTGCCTGATACTTGGGAGTCAATACTGAATCTCCGTGACCCAGTAAGTGCATCAGGTTCGTCCTGGTACCCATCGAGTATTGCAGAGCGACGGCAAAGCCTCGAGGATGCGCAGGCTGCCACAAGTGCCCCAGCTAGTACAAGCTCTCGCGCTGAGCAAGACGATACGGCCGTTGAACACGATCCCTTCAGACTACTGGATGAGCTGTAAAACTCTCATTTCTGTGTCTCTCTCTTGCAACCCTCTACCAGACCTCCTCGATTCTCACAGCACGCTTGATCCATGTTGGGCGTTATCTTGTTTCTATTGTACTTTTTAAGTTGGTCATGTCATGATACCCTATCCGCTATAGATTCATTGTCGTCATTAGAGTTCCTTCATGCCTCGGCTTTCTTCTTCTTCTTATCCTCAATCAGCTCGATGTTGGCCTCGGGCGCCTTGCTACCGTAGACCTCCAACAGCCACTCCTTCACATCTTCGCTCACATCACCCTGCACAGTGATCTCCTCCGTGCCTGCAGGTGATCGAGTGACCGATGACCCCGTCGCAAACTTCTTGCCCAGCTCCTTCGCCAGCTTCTTGTTCTCGAGTCCGAAGATCTCCAGTCCGATGATGACCGTTACGTGCTTGCGCTTGTTTCGCTCGACGCGCTTGATCTGGATCTTAGAGGCGGCCTTGCGCTCGGCATCGCGGGCCTCGTTCTGCGCTGCCTTGGCTTCCTTCTTTGCGGCATCCTTTGCGGCACGTTCTTGGGCGGAGACGGAGAGGGCGGAAAGGTTGGCGTTCAAGGACTCTGGCAAAAGAAATGGGTTGTCAGATAATCGTTATTCCAAGAATATCCGTGTAGACTTCTGGGTGTATACCCAGCATCGGGTCAATAGGGCCGGATATCCGTTCATACCGTCAGAATATAACCGAGTCCAGAGGTCATCATGATTCTCCTTCAGCCAGTCCTCGCATTTTTTGGCCGTTCCTCCAAATTCACAATACTATTCCATTGGTGTCAATTGGGCGTCCCGCGCAACGAAAGATCCAGACCCTCTTGCTCGGGAAAGAGCGCAAGGACTGCAGTGCTTACCTCGGGGGGCAGAGTACACACTGTCGGGATCAATTCCGTTAGCTCTTTTACTCTCTCAAACACAGATTTGCCGAGCAAGAGCTCCGGCTCGCGAGAGCCCACCATCCAGGCCACAGGGATTGTCACTCACCTCCACAGTAGACGATATGCCGGGCCTGCGGCTCGACTGGGCCCGAATCTGCCACCTCAGCCATATTTTTTCACTAGGGGCAAGTGCAAAGGAGCGAAAAATCCGGCTTGCACGTCTAGACCTTTCTTGCGTCTCGCGGTTGACTACGCGGGGACGGAGGGGGCAGTCACACTAGTCCGATTTGGGATCGAGTATAGTCATGTGACTTTGGACCCGCAAAGTCCCGTCGTCGAAAAAGACTCGGGATAATCGAGTCGGGACTCGGCCTATCATCTCGAAGTACTCCGTACATCCACTCGAGATACAGAGATCCATACGTACATACTACGCACATATTCTCGATACTTTCCGAACTTTGTAAATCTTGCGCCAATTTACACTATCTCCAGTAATAACTGGAGAGCCGATAAAAAAAAAGAAAAAGAAAAATGACATTACTATCATGCATCGAGATATAATTGCTGATTTGACCCCCCACCCCACCCATAGTGGCGTTCAATGACTCCGAAACATGCTTTGTACTGTAACAAGGATAGCAAGAAGGAGGGGCATCGTTTTCGTCATTTGCCAGGGGCAATAGCCTTGTCTGTTTGCTTCACCTGCATCTCCGCGCGCCATGCTGGGCCGTTGAAGTGCATGGGTGCCAAAGTACGAAGGTTGAAGAAAGTAGAAGGAGGGTAATAACAGCAAGGAAACGGCGGCTGGGAGGGAACAAATGATAGAGCGTCTGAGTGATAGGGGATCCTGCGATCGCCAATTGGTGCCCGGTTGATGATAGATCCGCACGGCCGTTGACGAGAGCTGTTGGCAGTGGCACGCTGCGGCTGTGATAAAGATACCTGGGGCCAAGAGCTGCGGACTGCTGAGGATGACGACGATCCCCGGGCGAAGGGGTCGGTCAACAGGTCTGAGCCTTCTTGAGATTTTGAGGTCCGAGATCTCTCGTTATCCGGGTCTCCTTCGCTATCCACTTGCCTACGAATTGAGTTGAGAGATCAATAGCTTGGACGCTGCACAGCATGTTACCCGAGCTACAGTACTCGCCAGAGCTGCCCAGCCTGCGTCGGGCGGAAACGTATAGCTCTGAATGGCCTAATGGGCCTCCGCCGAGCAATTGAGCTGGCTGGGATCCATCAGTCTGATCTAATTCGGTCCTGGTTTGGCGTCAAATAGCTCGCGCTGCTCGTCATCTTGGAGCCTTGGAAGCTTGGTCGTCACGTCTTCGCACAGCTTCGCGGGAAGACTAACAAGAGGGCGGGCCCCCGAAAGAACCCCGGTCAACTGGAGGGATGGACCGGGGTCCCGGAGTGGGCCAGAACCAGATTCGGGGGCTTTGATAGCAACTTGCCATCGGATGTTTCAAGGCGCTGGCCTGAGGAGTCAGGACCACTGCGAGATCGTGCAGCCGGAGCCTGGCGCTAGTCGTGCTGAGAAAGACAGATAATATTATTTTTGGTCCTTGATAATTGGCAAATTCGAGGAGTTTCGATTTGTGCAAGGGCCTCAAGTTTGGAAGGTTAGGCTTTTTCTTCCCAAGGAAGTTATATGGTAACATGCAGCGATGCGACCATCTCACTGGCCCCGATCCTGGCCTGGATTTGCGCCTCGAGGGTTTAAGTTCGAGCCAATCATCGGTCCGTCGGGCCTCTCGGCCATGACCAAGAAACTAAAGGCCAAAAAGAAAGCCCTCACTCAGGACCCAGGGCCTAGGGCCCCAAGGACCATGCAGACGCACAGACAAAAGACAAATCTGCGTGTACGACTTCTAGTCTCTTCTCTTTTTTGCCCCCTCTCCTGGTGGAGGCCCTATCGCGGGTTTACAGTATGGCTCGGTGGACGAAGGCGAGGAAGATGTTCGGTCTTCTGCCTTTTACTGGTAGTATGGTTGGAATGGTACCAGCAGCTGTTATTTGTCTCATATGTTGGTCATAGGAGTCTGTAAAGTGGGCAATATACTGTAGAATGGTCGGTTCGTTCATCTGGTTGGTCGTGGTTTTGTTGCTTTCTCGTCGTCCTCCTTCCCCGCCAACCAGAAATTCCCCATCAACGGTCCTTGACAGCAACGATGGTAACCCGAGGGCTCGCGATGAACCAGATGGTCATGGTCTGGAGAACCCGGATACACAATGCACCCAGCCATCAGGGCTGGGCGCCCACCAGGTTTCCCACGACTAGCTGCAGGTTCTGAAGTCATCGACCTGGGCCATCGCAGCAGGATCGCAACGCATCGACCAAATCAAGATACGCTTATCTCTCGCGCGGAACACTTGAAACAATCCGTTTTCGGCCATCTAACCATGGTGACTCGCTATCTGACTCAGTTCTCCAATGTCACCGGCCCTATAATAGGTAATCGACACTTCCAAAAATCTACTCGCAACGGAGTACTCTTCTCCCAAGGTCCGTGCTGGTCGCTAGTGGCGGGTTTCGGCTACATCGAGCCCATCGGCCCGTCGATCGTACACGCTTTGCTGGGCGGAGTATTATTAAGTTTCGAATCTGCAGCCGCACGGTCCCACGACGCTGGTTTTGGTTTGTGGTTTGTGGTCCATTTTGTGTTGTACTTGGGAGTGGGGAAAGATTGCATATAGGACGAGGGCGAGGACGAGATGCTGCAAATTGCTGCAGCTAACGGAGTTTCCTAGACCAGCCGTGCCGTTATCTAGGTAGAAGATAATACGAGTCGGAGATGAGACCCGTGGGAATCATGATTTTGGTCTTGGTCATGGATTGGATTGTACAAGGCAATATCTACATGGCAGTTCAGAGGAAAGAGGACAGCATAACTTCTAGAAGCTGGACGAGTGCCACCGGGGGTAAGCATCCGACATCCGATGGTGTTGCAACGAGAGTACGGGAAGCTATCATGAGCATCCATGAGCAGGGTAGCTTCAAGTCATATGGGACAAGCAGTTAGCATGGTAGGGTGGGTAAGAGGACGATGACTGCGAGTCATTTATCCCTGCCCTATAATACATCGGGGTATATTGCAGCATCCAAGTTATGACGGATTATTTATGCAGATGAAGAATATACAGATGTATAGGGATGATGTCTTTGGTCCTCGGCAATATACTTGGCGCGTTTTACTTCGTACTTCCTCTTCATTCTAAACGTCCTTTTTCCTTATTTGTCTTCTTGCTAGTCGAATTTTCTATCATTGTATTATTTTGTTACATTATGATCAGCTCTGACTTGCAGGAGCAATCCGACTAATGACTGTCTGTGGTGTAGTCCCACGCACGCCCCAAGAGCCCGCTAATGCGCCCCTTAACCGCCTCTTGAGGCAACTAAGCGAGCTAACCCACTAGTGACCGCTCGAGGTTGAGTTGACCCTACGACGGAGCATGGGTAGTATCACAGGTATCGTAGGATAGTTCACAATGGCAATATGTTGCAGTCTGGAATAGCGTACTGATAATCTGTCTACAGCAGTTGGAGATTCACGCGTGACTGTCAGTAGATCGTGCTGTGAGACGTGGATCGCGTGTCCCACTCTTCCTACCGTCGTTCTGTGTCCCCCCCGGTCTGGAGGGGACCAGCCTGACAGGTGGAGAGCCAGTCTGGCGGGCAGCATGTCCTACCCCAGCCCCGAACGGTGCTCAGACCCTAACTGTGGATGCCGTGGCCCTCCCTTTCGAGGCCCATGGGCGAACGAGGAGGCATTCACGTTATGTTATCGTTATTGCTCTCGTTCATAATCTGTTTTTCGCCCGTTCGCTCAGGTCTATTAGCCACGTCGGACACCATGGGAGGGGGAGGCGGCGATCGTGGTTATATCATTCTATACTTTCTGTTATCATATTCGTGATTGCTCTTCTAATGGTACAGTAGGTCGATCCCGAAGGTGTTCTTGACTCTTGTCAATGCCATCAATTCTCTTTTTCCGTCGATAAATATGTATACTGTTGTGTATCTCAATTACTCGTTCTCTGTCTATCGCCAGTCTGTAGAACTCCGAAACCTTCCTTCATTCCGTTACCCTTGACGGCCCGAAAGTACCTACAGTAGGTCAAAGTACGGAGAACCTTTGAGAATCCATCCGTGATCGTCCGAAAGTCCGACCGTTTGCGCCCCCTCCCCCCCTTGGGAGCGTTGCGACGAGCTCCACTGGATCGACTGGCGTGTAGCTGTCGGGGAGTGGAGTCCGCTACTGGCGAAGGGGCTATCGTGCGGTCTAGCCTCGTTTATATCGCGGTCGCTAACTCGCTAAGCGGGGCCAGCTAAGGGGACAAACCTAGGGAAGCTCTGGAGAGAGAGGAGAGAGCGAGACTTTTGGAGGGGAGCGAGTCCATTGTTATTGACCATTCGTTGACATCCATCCAGAGTCCATTCTACAACGGTACTCTATCAGTTAGTGTACTTTTTTTTCATTCTTTGGTCGTAGTCATGAAAATTCAAATCCAAGACCGGGACTTCATGCCGGACTACTGCGCATTTTTGGTGGCGACTGGAGGTGTGTTCAGGCATTTTTTGTTTTCGCCAGAGACGCCTCGCCGAGGATGAGGAACGGAGGAAGTAGGGAAACCATGCGAGAGGACATCGAAATAATAACGATGATGATGATGATGATGATGATGATGATGATGATGATGGTGGTGGTGGTGGTGATAACCATAATAATCATAATCATAATCGTCATAGGTAAATAATAATAAATCCTTGACACGGTCGTGATCGATGGAAATTCAAGTTTTAGCATTTGTTCGAGGCGGTTATCGGATCCTATTGGAATGGATTTCTGGCGCAGCCAATGTCATCGCCCGACAATCATTCGTACCGCAGTAATTATTATATTTTATATATTATATATTATATTTATATATTCTAGACTGGTAGGTAGTATCTAGAGGAGTCGACAAACTCACGTTATAAGGACCAGCATTCCCAATCCGGCCCTTTTTTTTATTTTTGGTGTCACCACTTGTTTTCCCTTTTCCTTTCCATTCTGCATCTTCTTCTTATACGGTTATCTTCCCCCCCCTCCTCGTCGAATCTGGATGCTTTAGACTTTCCGTGGCTCTCGCAGTAGTTCGCAATCGGCAGTGTCCCATTCCCGTGGTTCATTCCTCGTCTTATCGAGACTCTTTCCTCCCTTCCTCCTCCTCCTCCTTTCCTCTTCTTCCTTCGCCTCCCCGCATCTTTTTCTTTTTCTTTTGACTTTAATTTCTTCCCATCCTCCTTCCCCCCCCCCCGCAAGACCCGCTCTCCGCCACTCTCCTCCAGGTTTTCCTCGCCCTTCTCACCTCCCTCCATTCTCTTCCTTCTCTTCGTTGTTCTTGCACGTCCTAAATCTCTCGACTGCCTCGATGTCTCGTCGCTAAGGATATTTGATCTTAACCCCACCCCCATTCTCGCCTCCCCCCTATCACCACGGCCATCTAGGAAAAGAAACTTTCTCTCGTTCGCACCGGGGAAATGACGGCGGTGCTGGCGACGCCCCGCGAACAGGCTTCGCAACAATTCGCTCGCGACTCCCTACGGTCGCCTACTGCGCAGCACTACTACCTGGGAGACCACGGCATCTTATCCAAGTCACCGATGCAAGATGAGTACTCGGCTCGGGAGTGCCCCAGTCCCGTAGCCTCCTCGACTCTTTCGTCGATTCCGCCCTCGCCGAGCTTCACCCAGCCTGCCCACGACCAGCTCCCTTATACCCCGACCACCCTCAGCACCCTCTCCCTAGACGACGATGAGTTGATACTCCCTTCCTACGATGCAGAAATTGAGAAGCTACGGGAGTCGATGGCACCGGAACAGGAGCCAGATACGGTCAGCGACGCGTCGGCGGAGGGCACATTACATATCCCCGCGTGGTCGTGCCACACCCAGGCCGCAGATGATACCTCGGTGGAAGAAGAACCCTCCAGGCATGTGGATTATCTCTCCCATGAATGGCGTGAGGAGGATATCTGGGCGTCCTGGCGCTATGTCACTGCTCGGAAGGACTCCTACAGCAATGGAGTCCGTTTAGAGAACGCTTCGTGGAGGACGTGGGCCAAGGCGAAGAACAACCTGGGGACGATTTCCCCAGAGACCCTCAATTGGTACGTTTCTGGCTTACAATGCTACCTCTGCTCCCTTCGTGATCATACATCGCCAGGAACTGACTCTGTCCTACAGGTTGAAAGATTGCGATGTCACATGGCTCTACGGACCCCTGAAGACGTCGAGCTCTTGTGATGCCATCGCAACGGATGCATCGCCACCTCCTAGTCGCCTGGAAACCCCAAACTCCTACTTGGAACCAAAACCAATCCTGAAGAAGAAGACCATGTCAGAGACCATCCTCCAACGATCGCTCTCTCAGCACACTCTGTTGCAACATGCGGGCGCCATTCTCAAGGCCCAGGAGGCCGAGAATAGCTGGACGCGGCCTGCTTTCCCCAGGTCCAACACCGATCTGGACCAGCTACACCATCGAACGGGGAGCTCCACCTACTCCCTGGGTGGCACACGCACTACATCGTCCTGGTCGGGACTAACCTCTCCCAGCGAACGACGTCACATTCACTTCAATAATGAGGTTGTACAATGTATCGCTGTGGAGGTCAAGGAGGTTGACGAGGAAGACTGCTGGCCCTCTGCCTTTGATGAAGAGTCTTCATCGGACGAGAGCGTGGTCATGATGCGACAAATCCCCGGGCAAGCCTCCGTCAGTAACCGAAGCACACCTCGCAACAGCTTCAGTAGTGACAGCAAAACCATTGCCCCTCTTCCATCCACCACCCTCAAATATCGCGGTGACACTCCCGAGCCACGGGAATCTATTCTCGACCGCTGGTCTACTTTTTCTTCACCACCACCATCCTCCTCCAAATTATCCCCTACCCCTTCCGTGGAGACCCTCCGACCCCCTCGGCCATCGGCCAATTTCCTCCTCGACGATGAGGATGAAGACCCTTCGCTGGACTTCACTGGCCATTACACGCATCGGGACCAGCCGTGGTTTGTTCCTGAGGATGAAGACGAGCTCACTGACCGTCCTCTCCGACTCACCGCATCAGGCATGTTCATGCCATATGCGGAGGGCGAGGGGGAGCCTGCCAGTCCTGGTCTCTTGGGCCGGGTTGTGGACACGGTCAATACGGCGCGAGACATCGCTCATGTCATTTGGAACGTGGGTTGGCGCCGATGACCCTTTGTCGGCTTCTCTTGGCGAGTTGGGGCGCTGGCAGGATTCCCAGCCTACCGTCAGGAGAAGCACATCTGGAACCAAATAAGGGATCTCCTTCCATTTGGTATAATACGAAAATCAGTCGCATAATTCTGTGGTGTTGGGCGCTGCAGACTTTCCGGAGTAATGGTACGGACGTGATGAGCTGCTTTGTATAGATTCCCTCGGGCAAGGAGAAGGAGGTTGGAACTGGGAATACCCTCACCTTGAACCTCCTCCCTTCTTTTATGGATGCCTTCATGTATGAATGAGATATGCATATATTTTTAATTCCACCGGCTTGAAGCCGGGCTCAAAACAATACGAATGAGTCCTATGAATGTTATCTTTGGCCTCAATGTAACTAATAAAACTCACACAATTCATTCCATCCATTGATTTATACTTTCGTGTCTCAAATGGTAGATTTCTTGTAGAATAGCCTATATCCCGTATCTTTGTCAGTTCATAGTTCGTAGTTCGTAGGGTTAGACTCGAGCTCCAATCTCAACTTGCCCCACAACGCCCCCCTGATCCTCCCCGAATCTCCACGCCTCTTTGTCCCTTTCCCAGACCCCAACACGCGCTGGGGGCAACTTCCTACAACGACCATGGATACTGTCAATGTCGCAGAATTGGTGGAGCGTCTGGGGAGCGACGAGGATGCCGTGCGCAAAATGGCCGTCTTCAAGCTCCAGGGCAACATCGGCGACCCTTCGTTTGCCGACATCTTTATTGTCGAGGGTGGATTGACGCGCCTGCGATACCTGACCCTGCACGCCAGTGGAAATACTCTTGCCTACAGTCTCACCAGTTTTGCGCGTTTGCTGGAAGTCGATAAAGGCTGGGAATGTGTCGACCAGGAGTTAGTTGAACGTGTAAGACTACAGCCCGGCCTAAGCAGCCACCAATGCTTGTCTTGTCATATGGGATATTTCTCAGTTTGTTCGCGTCCACCTGCTAATCGCTGCTATGATCGCATCGTCGCAAATAGATTGTCGAGCTGATTGTCACCCATCCCCTCGTGAACATCCTCCGCGGCGCCATGTCCATTCTGGTTTCCATCGTCTCACATCCTCACACCGGGAGTCGTGCCTCCGAAGCAGACCTGTTCGGTTTCCGCGCCCTCAAGCCAGCCATTGCGATCTATCCTCAGTTCTTGGAGATGCTCGTGAGTCGGCTGTCCTCGGCTGACCACGCGTTGTGCGCCAATGCGCTCCAATTGATCAATTCTCTCATGCGCGACTCGATCACTTTCGACTCCGAGGCCGAGTGGCCCAAGTTCATTCAGAAACTGCAAGACCTTGGAGTGATCCGAGCGGTCTATGTGCTCATGCAGGACTCGGCTCTTCAGGATCTGGCACATCCGCTCCTTGAATTCCAGTCGCTCACAAAGGTGCTTCTTCGCAAGTGGAGAGACATCCCCCTGAATCAAGAGAAACCGGAGCACCGGAGAGCGCTGAAGGGAATCTACGTGGCTAGCAATACGACCAAGGGTGGTGTCGACGAGACTTCAGAGAATGGCAATGATACACAGCGATCCAAGCGACACCACCCAGACAAGTGGCGCCGACTAGGGTTCGAGTCGGAGAGTCCTGCAACCGAATTCCAAGAGGTGGGATTCTTGGGCATGATGGATTTGGCGGACTACGTACGCAGCAACCAGGATGAGTTTCAGAAGATGCTCCTTGAGCAGTCCACCAAACCAGCACGTCAACGATGTCCGATCGCCCGGGCCTCGTTGGCCGTGACCTCCATCTTGTACGAACACTTTGAAGTGGACAAGTCTGAGATGGATGATTCTAAGAACTACATGATGTTGGAATCACGGACCCATTTTGATAAGTTGTTCAAGCCTCTACTTCTGCACTGGACACGATTGCATGTCGCAGGGCTGCAGGCCTTTTTCCGCCTGTGGAAAGCCACTGCGGCGGAGTCTGAGGATCTGGACAAGATTGTCGAGCTGGTTCGCATTCTGACAGAGTCTGTGGTGGGCGGTGCCGGTCGGACCAAGGATGTACAAGATATCGAGGAGGAGCTGGCGAACTACGAGTACCATCGGCTCCGGGAGCTGCAGATGGAGCTCCTGGAGCTCACATATGAGGATGCGTGGGGCCAGCACTTGCGCCAGGTCCGCGAGGAACTCCAACACGAGGCCTTGCAGTTTGTCAAGGAGCAGCGTATTCGATGCTTGCTTCAGGGCGCCTGGTTCTCTCTGGAACCCCCTTCCAAAACGGAGACAGGGACTGCTGCTCGGTCTACTGCCTCGCATCAATATATTCAACTGTCTCACAACCGACGATATCTTCACTTTGGGGAGTTTGATTCGGTGGGTGATCGAACCCCAGAGCTGGATGCGCTGCCAGAGAAGAGTAAGCTATTGACACTTTCCTTTTTACGCCCTCTTCCTCAATATCCAGTCATGAAGCGTTTTGCTAACCTCTGTATCTAGTCGATCTATCTACCGTCTCCTCCGTAGTATCTAATGTCTCGACCACTCCCGATCACGCATCCTCGGCCACTGTGAAGACCACACCTCGCCAGGCTTCCACGAAGATTACCATTCATGGCTATGCGCAATCATCAACAGGGCATTCGAAGAGTCACCCTCATACACGGACGGGCAGCAAATCTACCCAGAAGGAGGTGGTTCTTCTGACCCTTCGACCAGCTTCTCACAGCGTGGCATCTGAGTGGCTTGATGGCCTGCTGATGCTTCTCAACCAGCAGCCCATCACGGCAGAGACGACCAAACTGATCGACCTTGTTGGCAACTATGGACTGAAAATTCGACTGCTCAATGTCCGATTCGATGATGCCACCTTTGCGGGTGAAGCCCCTCCGGTGCCTGTGCGAGATGGGCTGGACGAGGATTACTATTACGATGTCTTTGGTGGTGCATAGCTAAGGATCAGACCCTTCCCTAACTTCTTGCGCTTTTTCTTTATCTTCCTTGTCTGATGATGTTGGAATCCTGTCGATATACCTATACCTATACCCATATGTAAGATTACCTTATGAACCTTGGAACTGGAGTTGTGTCTTTGAGAGTGAAAAGGTATTATAGTATCAGGCTGTTGAATACAAACCTCTGCGGAAATATCTATTAATTACATAAATGGACTATTATTTTGGGATTGAACGTCGATTCTGGAGTTGAGTTTCATTTGGCCGTAGCTGATACGCGGTGGATCCTGGCAGTTGGCGTCATAAGCTTATCGGACGCGCAGCAGTTCCTCCTGTGCTTTCGGCTTCTATTCTTCCCCCGAGCCCCAATCATGGACGGTCGTCCCTCCAAGAGACAACGCCGATCCACCCATGACGATTCATTAAGGGAACTAGAAGCACGGTCTCCTTCCCTCGACCTGTCAACTTCCAGCTCTATCGCGCTGTCGTCACCCCCCAAGACCAAAAACTCTCAAACACGCGCGGGCAAAACCAAAGTCACCCAAGCTCCATCGTCATCAGTGTCGCCAAAGAAACCAACCTCATCCCCTCAGACGATCAAGTCCAAATCCCTTCATACCTTTTTCCAACCTGCAACGGAAGCGCAGCGATGGTCCACCCAGAAATTCGAGGCGAAGCGCCCACTCGCCCCCACCCCGGAGACGACCCTTGACGCCGATGTAATTGAAGACGACTACGATTCTTATGATGAGATATTTACCCAACATCTGACGGCGGGAGGAAAGACGGATACGCAAATTGACTCGCCTGTTGCCCACGGTCCCAGCAAAACACGACGAGCAGCGCCGAAGAAGACGACAGCCTCTCGGCCAAAGAGTCATATTTCAAAGCGTTTTGTGATGCCACCGGAGTCAACAAATGGGACGCATCGCCAGTCGCCTACTCCAACTTCGTTGTTGGAAGTGGATCGACGACCGTGGGCGCAGCGATTCGGCCCAATGAATTTGGACGAGTTGGCGGTGCATAAAAGGAAAGTGTCGGATGTACAAAGATGGTTGGAGGATGCTTTTGCAGGGAGGCGGAAAGAGGTTAGTGCGCTCGTTTAAGGTTACGTTGGATTGTCTTCCTCTTGTTGTGGAACAATCAGACTATCAATCGAGTTTGTTTCACTGACAGTGGAGTAGAGGTTACTCGTTTTGCGAGGCCCTGCAGGCAGCGGCAAGACCACCACTATCACACTTCTTTCCGAAACCCTTGGCTTCGATTTGATTGAATGGCGGAATCCATCAGTCTCTGAGTTTTCTGCGCAAGAATACGTCTCCGTGAGCACTCACTTTGAGGAATTCCTCGGTCGTGGCGATCGGTTTGGAGGTCTAGACCTCGAGGACGCGGTGGAGTCCAAGGATAGTCGTGATGCAAATCCTCGAAGTCAGCGCGTCCTTCTTATCGAAGAGTTTCCAACAATACTCAATAGAAACTCCTCCAGTCTTGCTGCCTTTCGAGCGTCTTTACAGCGCTATCTTGCCGCCTCTACTGAACATTCCCTGGGTGGGTGGATGCACCCGCCCATTGTGATGATCGTTTCAGAAACGCTGCTCAGCTCGGCATCATCTGTCTCAGACAATTTGACGGTGCATCGGTTGCTCGGCCCTACTTTGTATAATCACATTGGCACTACGATTATCGACTTCAATAGTATTGCACCAACATATATGCAAAAGGCCCTGCGACTGGTGCTTGAAAAAGAGGCCCGGACCTCTCAGCGATCCCGAGTCCCTGGATCTGCGGTTCTGGAAAAGATTGCCGATATTGGAGACATTCGCAGTGCTCTCTCTGCACTTGAGTTCCTCTGTCTGAAAGGCGACAAGGCAGGGCAATGGAGCGGAAATCTCACAAAAGCCAAAAAGTCTCGGGGAGGATCTACCCTGACACCGATGGAGCAAGAGTCGCTCGAGATGATCTCCCAGCGAGAGGCAAGTCTCGGGATGTTTCATGCCGTGGGCAAAATTGCCTATAATAAACGCTTAGATCCTAGTCTAATGCCCGGTGATGTCCCAATTCCGCTTTCACCACCAGAACATCTCTCTTATCACCGTCGTGTTAAAGTCTCACAGGTCGCAGTCAACGAGCTACTTGATGAAACGGGCACTGACATCTCCACATTTATCTCTGCTTTACATGAGAATTACCCGCAGTCCTGTGACGGCGGTTCCTTTGCGGATAGTTTCAACGCGTGCATTGAAGCGTTGTCCGACTGCGACATTCTCAGCGCGGATCGCAGGCCCTCACATGGTGCAAGAACAGGCGTTGGAATCGGCGCCACCCATTTCAATGGTGGAGTCGATATGCTCCGACAGGACGAGATCAGCTTTCAGGTTGCGGCTCGTGGGCTTCTGTTCGCTCTACCGTACCCTGTTAACAGGAAAATGGCATCTGTGAATGGACGAAACAAGCCGAGGGATGCCTACCGGATGTTTTACCCGGCTTCGTTACGATTATGGAGGAGAACAGAGGAGATCGAGGGGTCTAGTCGACTCGTGTCTGAAACACATGCTGGACCCAACCAGCGATTCACGGCTTCTTGCCCGCGGGTCGGGTCCTACTGCCGAGTCTGCCGGTGTCAAGTCCTGGACAAATCTTCGACTGGGATACTCCAGAGCGGAGGAGAATGACGATCCCCTACATTCGGCTGTGACTATGATGTCGCGACTAGATGCTCTACTTCATCACTTGCCCTACATGGCTCAGATTCGCCGCAAGGAACCTGATGGGTGGCATCTCAACCAAATTACCAGTATTCAAGACGGACGTCTGGATGAGGACATGGACGACGATGACGATGAACTCACACCGACATTGTCCCGGCCCGAAGTTAAAGCCAACATGAACGCATTTGCGCCTCCGGTTCCTGCGTTAGAAGAAGAGAAACTGATTCTCAGTGACGATGATATTGTGGACGACTGAGCCTATCTGATGTCAATTCTATATTAAACACGACCTTGATACGAAGTATGAATGCCACTCCCGACCTGTCTATGTGAAGGCGAGGGTCGGATAGCAATAAAAATGGGCTTCCAGGGTGCCATGTACAGAGATGGGGATCTCAATTCCAGAAAATCAAGCATGTGAAGGTAGCCCTGTATACTTCTGAATTGATCGCCGTATATAAATCACCTGGCTAGAGACAAGATCAGAAATAGTATGCTAGTATCCTGACCAGTAAATTCGAGGAATCTATTCCCCAGAACAGCCCGGACTGGTCAATTATTGACTCACGATGATCGTCACGCTGCTACGGGCTACTTACTTACTTAGTTCCTGCCTATGGCAATAAGCTCTAGTTGAATGAATGCTTAAAGTAGCAGAGACCTAGATAGTGTATCCCCGTGAAATTGATTTAAGGTTAATCCTCGCAATCCAATGGGCTATCCGCGGTTGGCCCAAAAAGGAAATCGAGTAAACGCCGCTCCGCCGCTCCGCCGATCTCGCTTTCCTCCGCTTTGATTCTGACCACGTCACCTTTTGCAGTCCATTGGGATCCTGCGCGGCAGTTCAAACGATCAACCGACTCAAAATCACACCGTCTATGAACTCGAAAACGAAAGAAGACTGGCCCTGAAATAATTCACGAACGCCCGAACCCCCGACGCGCCGAGCAGGGGATTGCGGAGCAGGTCCGTCCCCTCACACGAGCCGTTCGTCTTCTCCACGCCCACCACGACTAACCTCGGGTCCACTCAGGATGATCAATGATACCGATGCTGTGAAGCGAAGACCGGATGCCTATGCGACTCCGCAAGTCATAAGACCCCCCAGCAGGGCCAATGGCCACGCAAATGGGTCTACGGCCCTGCAGTCGACGCTCAAGCCAGCCGCCCTAACCTCCAAGGCGAAGAAGGATTCAGGTATGACGGCGGCGGTGGCGCATGCGACAGTACCCTCCTGGGCCAACATGATCTTGATGGCTTCACTCATTTTCGGAGGATGCTGCACAAACGTGAGTCCCTGGTGGAGTTTGTTATCTTGGATGCGATCTGATGATAGCTGATGGCTGACATCTCGTTCAGGTCTTTGCTCTTGAGGCTATCATCAAGTAAGTTTGTCTGTGGCTGCGAATTGAGAGGCGAAACTAACCTAATTTTGCGCTTCAGGGAGCAATCTACAGCCGGTAAGGATCTATTGAATGATCCCTCTAATGTACACAGTCTAATCTAAACCAACCCGGCATAGGTCCCTTGATCACCTTCGCCCAATTCATCCTTTGCGCCATCTTCACTCTTCCGCATTTCCTCTCCTTCTCTGCCGGTCCCCGTGCCCTGTTTGTGAGCCCTCGAGCGATTCCAATCCGATCATGGATGATCTATACCGCATACTTCGCGTCGGTCAATCTTTTGAACAATTGGGCCTTCGCCTATAAGATCTCCGTCCCGCTTCATATCATTCTCCGATCTGGTGGGCCGGTGGCTTCTATGATCGTTGGATATGCGTATAATGGAAGACGGTATTCCCGCGGCCAAATTCTTGCTGTAGCCTTGCTCACGGCTGGCGTCGCCGCCGCCGCGCTTGCCGATGCGCAGGCTAAGGGCCAGTCCATCGAAATTGGAACCAGTAGCGATGTGACATTGATGACCACAGCCACCGGATTCAGCATTCTTGCCTTGGCTATGATTTTGTCAGCGTTTCAGGGGATCTACGCCGACCGGCTGTATGGGACGTATGGCCGTGATCACTGGAAGGAGGCTCTGTTCTACTCTCACACCCTCTCGCTGCCTTTGTTCTTGACCAGCTATCCGCAGCTATTATCACAGTGGCGAGTCGTGGCATCCACTCCTTCGGTGCTTTCAACGCTTTCCCATGGGAATTCCAGTCAAAGTTCGTCCAGCATGTTGAATCATAATTTGTTCTCTATCATGGCGGCCGCTCAAAAGCACAAATCGATTGAATCTGTACTTGACAAGATTCCGATTCAGTTAGCATATCTGCTCATGAATGCTTTGACGCAGTACGTCTGCATTCGAGGAGTTCATCTGTTGTCTGCCAAGTCTTCTTCCCTGACAGTAACGGTGGTTTTGAATATTCGCAAGCTCGTTTCGTTGTTGCTCTCGATCTACTTGTTCGGCAATGATCTGGCATCCGGCGTCCTTGTCGGAGCAGTTTTGGTAACCATTGGTGGTGGTCTGTATGGATTCGAGGGAGCACGGCTGAGAAAGACCAGCTTGAAAAAGACCGAGTGAGGCGCTACTGGTTCAAAGAAGCATGGATAAGTCGAAGTCAATCCTGGGTAGCATAGTAGCCCTCTCTAGTGCCATTTATGTAACTACACTAGACTATATAGACATCCAAGCATACGAAGCGATGGGATCAATCAAAGGGGAGAAAAGAGAAGATGATCCTCGGAAGGAAAAAAAAAAGAAGAGAGACATGAGTATATCAACAGCACATGTGCATCAAAGGCCCAAAATAATTGTACATCCACATAACTTAAGAAAAAAGAAAGAAAGGAGACGGCCACATTGCGATACTCAAACAAGGTACGAGATCTTTCCACCAAAGTAACCCCATCAGGTCTATAGAACTTCGCCCACAATCTTGGCAGCTTCCTTGTAAGTCTCCAAGAGCCGCTCGCACTTCTCCCGCTCAGCCTTAATGCCATCATCTTCGTACAACAATTCGCCAAAGAGGTCCTCCTTGTAGAGCTCGCTGACTAGTCGGTTCTGCACAACATCCTTGCTGTGGTTGACTAGGAGATGCATGATGGCCTTTGGTACTTGGTCGGCGATAGTCTCTCGTACGATATTGAAATAAGAGGAAATGAGGCGACGGATCAGCTCGGTTTCGAGGATCTCGCGATCTGTTAGGGTTGGCTCTGCGTTCTCATGAGGCTAGTAGTGGGGTTGAATGTTAGTCAAGGTCGATGCAACATTTAAAGAAGTTGAACACTCACGAAAGCAGAAATATCACCACCATACTCGCTTAGGGGTGCTGGATATTCTTCAGAAGGCATAACAGGTGAACGAACCTCCGGGCGACGAAGGCTCTGGCTAATGCTTGGCTCGCTGTGATGGGCCACCGATCGTGTCAGGTTGGACTGAGACGATGGTCCCGGACTGGGAATGCCGCCTTCTTTGCCAAAGAAGTAGTTCAAGAACGAATCGCGAGTAGTGTGCGAGCCACCGAAACCGCCCGCATGGTTCGCTTGGGGGCCATTCAAAGTAGCAGCAATGCCATTCTCGGTGACCCGTCCAACATGGGGCGACATGCTTCGCGTGCCTTTTGTAGAGTGGTTCCGGATAGGAAGGTTGTGCGACTTGGATTCAGCCTGTGCGTCCTCGTCATCTGGCGCGCCGGCAACACCATTAGCCGATCCGATCTCTTTCAGACGTCGCTTCTCACGCTTGCGTTTTTCCTCTGCAAGAATTGCCTTCCGCTCTTCCTCTTGTCTGTTCTGAATGATCGATTGCATAGCAGCCGCCGCACCGGGGAAGTTGGGATGGTTGGTGTTGATGTAGGCTCTCTGGATGGAGATCAGAGATTCCACATACCCGGCGCAGGGACCCAACCGTTCACGAAGAAGGTCGGACACGACTTCAATGAGCTTGCCCTGGAGTCGGGGGAACCGCAGGAGTTCCTGTGAGCCACAGGTGTGACAGATCTTGATGAGCTCCTCATATACCAGTTCCACACACCGCTGAGCAGGCGCCTCCAGCAGCTTGATCTGAGGCTTAACCAGAAGATCAAAGGCCAGCTCAGGCACGAACAGACTGGGTCGGGGACCCGTGGAGTTGCGGATTGCAGTTCTAATATCCGAGACAGTCAAGTTGTGTGTTGGGTCAATCGTCTCCAAGGAGTTTCCAAAGACCTCATTGAAGATATAGTAAATTCGGGCACCTCCACAAAGCTCCTTGGTTGAGATTTCAGAGGAGGTACCGTCTATGGATGAGATGAATGATGAGGCAAAGCGGGTCATGAGCTGCAGGATGAGAGATCCACGATGTTCCTTTCCGCTGAACTGCTTGTTTCCGTAGCTTGCCAACTCTTGCTGAGTTTGGCCCATCAGCGTATTGAGGCGTGCCTTAATGTCGGGCAGGCGGTCTCGAATATGCGCCATCAAAGTGGAGTTCAATGTCTTCGCCAGAAATTGAGTGCCGCATCGATTGGCCATGTTTCGATACGCCGGGTGGTGACGGAAGAAGTCTGCTTCGGCGCGCAGAGCCTCCGAAAGCGATTTGCCAGATTGGATATCTTGCTGCGAGCGATTGACAACACCGATGAAGCCCAGCTTCAAAGGATATACGCGACCCGACAGAATGTCCATAGCATTAGTTCCATGATCCATCAAATCCAATTTAGACAGGACGCCGATCGTCCTCCGGCCCATGGGATCCACCTGGCGGGCTAGTTTGAGTGCCTCCGAGTTTACCAAGTCCACGTTGGCGGGAGACACGGCGAGAATGATACTGTTCGGCTTGGCGATATACTCCAAGATCAGAGTGCGGGTCTGCTTCTCGATATCAGACGGCTGGTCGCCAATCGGCACCTTGGTCAAGCCCGGCAGATCAACCAAGGTCAAGTTCAAGACGTGGGGGAAAAGATCTTGAGGTTGATCGGCTGCCGGTTGATGCCCTTGTTGCTACCAGCAATGCGCGCTGTCTCCGCCTCTATCTCTTGCTTCACCATAGAGAAATCATCGAACTTGCGACCAGGGAGGTGGTGGAACTCTGCCCATTCATGTTGGCCGGCCACGCTAGCGGGCGTGTGCGGGACATGGACCTCGTCATTTTCGGGCCTGTCGGGGCGCTCGCTGGGGATGTTGATGAGTTGGAGGATCAGGGGGCGCCGAGTAACGATTCCACTACCGCGTGGTAAGAAGTCTCGTCCCACGATGTTCTCTAGGACGGACGACTTGCCAGACGATTGAGAGCCAACCACAACCTAGGGACGTCATTAGTTCCACGACGCGACTTGGCCGTGTCAGAAGCCATGAAAGGTTGTCATTGCTTACAATCTGAGGCAGATCGAGGGAATCGTTGCCAATAGTGTTGAACACCAAGTCCTGGAGCTTGTTCACAGTGACCAAGAGGTCATCGCCCAACGACGCCATTTTGGCAGAGTGACAGGCCGATATCCACGAGGGTCAAGGGCAGTGGTAGCTCAGAAAGAGGGGAGGATATCGGCAGGATGAGACTGCCCTTGAGGTCGCAAACGAAGATCTCTCTCTCACGAAGCCGGGCACGGAATCGGCCTCGGGCCAGCACTTGTTTATGGGCGCTTTTGCACATCACGTGATTTCCAATGAAGGCGGACAGTTGGATTATGTAATGGGCGCATGACGTCGGAGGAGCTGCCTTTCCACGGCTCGGACACTCACCGGGACGCCGACAGGAGTACTACAGTGGTAGGTAAATCTATCTCTCGTCTATTATTACAATTCAAGTTGCTTGGTTTCAGGTAGACCCGAGCATAACACCAATCCTTATGCCAGAGTCGACGCGCAGGCACTGTGAACATACACAAGATTAACAATGGCAAATGGACATGATCAGCGTCCCCAGTAAGATTGATTTTTTTTTGTAAAGAATGTATTCGAGGCTATTTTATATACACACACGCTTAGGATTTGCACGAGCTGAAAGACACTTGGGCTAGCTAATTAGCCAGCCCCGCATGGCACCAGATAGGGCTTTCATTTATCCAGCTCGACATAGTTAGCCGGGAAGAGTCCACGGGCTCCATGGTACTCTCCAAGCCACCAGTCGTCGTCGGGGAATTCCTAGTTTGGGAATTAGCATACGGCATAAAGGGTGTGATGGTAGATAATCACAATGGGACGCTGAAAGAAAAAGAGAAGAGGAAGCCGCAGTACATACCACATTGACAATCTTCGCTCCCTCGGGGAAGCTGAGCTCGTTATCCTCCGCGGCCTCATAGTCATATAGTGCGGTTGCAGTGGGGTTATGGGATCCTCCATTGGCTGCCGCTGCGTCCTGGACGGGGGCTGCCACCGGCTCTGGCTCCGGCTCTGCCACAGGTTCGGGAACATGGTGAGCGGCAGCTGTATCGTCATGGTCATCACCTTCAATGATCTCAACGTAGTTGCCAGGGAAAAGACCCCGTTCGCCACGGACGTTGACACCTAGCCACCAATCCTTATCAACCATTTCGATCTCAGTCACATGCTCTCCTTCGCGAAGCTCGATTTCGTTATCTTCCGCTTTCTCATAGTCAAATTGGACAATGGCTCGAATACCACCGGCAGATTGTTCTCCAGCGGTAGGCTCAACGATAGCCTCGGCAGCAGCCCGGCCAAGATCGTGATGAGTATCGTCCTCCAAGTCCTTCTCATCCGGAACTGCCTCCTGAAGGCTCTGAATGGGCATGGCGGGGGGTGGGGAGTGCTGTTCTTCGTGGGCATCGGCCACACCGCGACCCACGGGCATTGCCACGCGGATAGGCGAGCTCTCGCGAACAGGAGGGGTGGGAGGAGTTGGGGAGCGCGGCTGCGGTGGCGGCGTGGGCAGCACCTGCTGAGCTTCAGCCACGGGCTCGGGCTCTTCATGCTCGGCCTCGGGCTCGGGCTCGGTTGGTTCAGAGGACAAACCAGGCAGGGGAACCGGGCGACTTGTTTGAGGAACCGGCGGCGCAATGTCGTGAGCGAGCTGGCCACGGATATCTTGGACGTGTGATGACGGTGCGGTCTCGGCTTCTCGAGGCTCAGAAGGTTCAGAGGCCTTGACATCCGCGGCGCGGGACGAGCTAGACGCATCTTGAACCGTTTGAACAGTGGCCCATGACTTGCCGGTGTAGGAGCTCTTCCACTCGCCCTGACCACTGGTCTGGCTTTGAATGGGTTGCGGAGTCGATTCCACCGCAGGAACGGCCTCTCCGCGCTCCTTAGCCTTTCGCTCAGCCCACAACTGGGCAGGAGTCTTGCCGCCTTGGTCCGCGAATGTTCGACTGGCACTACCAATCTGTATAGGGGCGTTGGCAGTCGAGGAACCCATGCCGACGGGTAGAGGTGGCTTCGTGCCAGGGAATGATGGGCCAGAGCTAAACTTGTTGGCAACCTTGGGCTTTGGAAGATTTGTGAGGCGCCCAGCAGCCTGGTTCGAGGCCGGCCGCTCAGGCAACGTTGTAGGTTCATTGAAAGGCGCCGGACTGGGGGCAGCTTCCGTATCCGCAGTTTCCTCGGGCTTCTGCATTCGTGCACGAATGGCCGCGATATCGACCTTGCCAATCGGCTCATACGATCCTTTCACCGGAGCAGGTCGGTCGTCCTTCAGCTGTCCAGACTCAGCCGCTTGTTTCCGAATAGCCGCAATGTCGACCTTGCCAATGGGCTGGTATCCTCCTCGGACTACATCATCCCGATCCTGGGTTGCCGGCGGGGGTGCCTGGCGGGCCGGAGTTTGATTTTCTGACTTCAATTGCTGCAGATTCACGCGAGTGGGCTGATATGCGGGCTGGACTTTCTCGAGTTGCGTGCGAGTCACAGGGGGAGCATCGGGACCCCAGCCATCGTCATCTAATTTGGCGGAGGAGGAAGAAGGAGTGGTGCGAGCGATCGGGGTCGAGGCAATCCCACCAGATCGGGTGGGGGTGAAGACTGGCTTACTGGCAACTGGGGGTCGAGGACCGGTCGAAGTGGACGTGGTCGTGGCCACGGGTGCCTGGGATTCAGCGGAGTACTTGGCGCCCGAAGCGTCAGCCACTCTTTGAACAATTCCCGCTGGGGAAAGGTCACCATCCGCCCGAGCTGTGATCTGGACATGGTACCCCTAAACCATCGTTTCACGTTAGTGGGGACTTCGACAGGAAGCAATATAGGTAGCAGAGAGTTTCTCACGTGTAGGAATTTGGCGATGGCGGCAAGATGACTGGTGAAATATCCCTTCGTCCGTTCCGGTACACCCTCGCCGCACCAGGCGATGAGAACGTTTTTAGGCAACCCCGTGTTCGGGTCTGTCACCTTCACGTAGGCAAATTGCACGCGACCTTCGGAGAATTCCTCGATGAGATCTTCCAGCTCACCATCTACGGAGTAATTGTTAGCGTCAACGCCATTGCCTCGAGGACTTTCTGAGGGAAAACGGGCACCGACCTCCCGAGCTCTGGACCTTCAAGACACTCTCCTTGTTACCGGCATCTTGTTGGAAGGCATTGACAAGAGGGGTTGAAACAGAGAAGACCGCCCAGTAGCCATAGGTTGGCGATGCGGCATTACCAGTCGGAAGTGATGCGTTGACAACCGACTGGTAGCTTTTCGATATCGACGGACCATTGGTGGAGAGATTCAGGGATGCCATGATTTCTGGCGGATATAGGCGGCAGTGAAGAGGGCTACCGGATAGAATATATTGTCAGCTCGATGCGCATTTCACAGGTATGTGGTTTTGATCGAGAAGGTGGGGATGTAACGGTGTTCAATTTTGTGGAGAGCTGGTAAAGGCCACGAGGAGAATAGAGTTGACGTAGGCGGCGAGGAGGAGGGGGGTTTTGGTTTGCTTAGAGGGGGGAGTGGGGAGGTGGGAGGGATTTCCAGACTGACGTTGTGAGGGCGAGAATGCCACCTAGAAGAAGTTGAAGGGGGAGAGATTGAGAAGCAGCAGAACAAGACGATGAGAAGGAAGCTAGTAACAGGAGGAGAGAGGGTACGGTGTGTGTAGGATGAAAGGTGAGAAGGTCTGGAAAGGTGGAGATGATTTGGGGGGAGAAGGCGGTGTTTTGGGGGAGGAATGACGGTCGCCTGGGACGAAAGGCCAATGAGGGTCCACTTGGGGAGCTCTTTCGCGGGTTAGTGCCGGGGCCCGGAGCTTGAGTCGATCGAGGACGCGTATTTATTGATTGAATATTCTTGTTACAGTGATCAGCAGCAGTAGGCAGTAGTAACTAGTTAGTTAGGAACTCTATCTAGTAAGCTGAGATGGAACTAGTAGTGTATTGAGGGGATATCTCACATTGAAGCAATCCATTTTGTATACATCTTTTTTGGGGGGGGGGGGGGGGGGGGGGGGGGACGATTAATAGTGACTGAGCATCAAGCAAGCAATGGTTTGCAAAGCATTTACAGGGTGATAGCTCATGATGTATGATGGCTATAGAATCCAGATCGACTATACAGGAGATGCTCTACAGTTTATCATTCATTGATGGGACTTTTGAGGGACCCCTCTTTCCTGTCTTTATCGTCCCGCGATAAGGAAAAGAGGTACTCCTTCCTGGTAAACTGGAGCTAAAGTACGTACAGTATATTATTATTGGCAAGCTAGTAGTCTCCAAGTACTCCATATATTCTATACCAAGTCCCAGCAGATGCAAGAGAAGTTTCTCATGAAATCAACAAGGGAATCATATATAGATCTAGGTTATTGGTTTGTGTTCAACTACGACAGGAACTTACTAACTAGTTAACTCGGCGGTCCCTATTACTCAATCAAAATCGGACTCGCTGCCCTGCCCGTCTCACCGGTGGATCAGCATAGACATCTTCTCCGCCTTTTCCCAAAAAAAAAATCTAGCAAGACACCCAACCGTTATGATCGTTATATTCTTATACCACGGATAATTCGAGCCCTTCCTATTCTCTTTCCCATGACGGTCGTATAGGTTCCAGAAGCTAACATCTTCTATACCCCTCCCATCTTTGCCTCGCTCTTCTGTTCACCGTCAACCAAAGCTCTTTGGTCCAATCCCCAAAGTCAATATACCTCTGGTCACCTCCTCTCCCAAGCCCCCCGCCCTTCGTGCCACAGCTGCTCGACATCATGGATTTCTCCGATTCCGAGCTGCCCAGTCCGAATCCCAATCCGAGTGTCGACACGCACAAGAATGGGTTCTCCCTTGGAGACTCCGACGAGGAGGACTCGACGGGCTTCACGACCCATGAAACCCCAGAGGATCCTCAGGCCTCCGCGACGGACATCCTACCACGAGATCTTCAGCAAAAGACGGCCACCTATGACTATGCCTATGAGAAGTCCATGAGCCACGCCGAGGCGAAACTGTTCTATCAGCATCACCAGTTGGCATCGAAGGGGGACACACCGGCCAGCCCCATACCCACAGCAGGACGCCCTGCGGCGGATTCGTACGAATCCAAGGTGATGATGATGGGCAATGGTGCCAGCCCAGTACTAAGCCAGGCGACACGGGAATCTTCGGTGGGATGCGACCCTGAATGGCACCTGGGACCCTCGTCTCAGCATGACGAGGCCCCCGGAGCAGCACTTCAGGCTCAAAACAGCCAGTGGGCCGCAGACCTCTCCGCACGTAGCCACGCTATGCCCCTAGGTGGCGCCCATCCCTCCGCTCACGGATCCTATCTTACTGCTACGCCAGCCGCAGAGGGAATTCAAGGGTTGGGTCTGGGGATTGGATTGTCCCAGGGCGCTGCAGCTGGGTTTGCGCCCGGAGGCGATGCCGTCACGTCGGAGTTGAACGCCATCTACCGTAAGATTAAGGGTCTTCTAGAGCGGCGGTCCAAATACATGGCACTGTCCCTCCAACGACCCGAGGACGACCCAAGGAATGAGCCAGAATGGGAGATTTACCCGCCACCCCCGGAGCCCGCCTGGGACGAAGGCAAGGAATATCAACCTGGTAATGCGGGGGGCCCCTCCGACCTGGTAGGCAAGAAACGAAAAATGGGAGAGGACATTGGCGAAGACTTTGACATGAAGGAACTGGAGCCCCTTCCCAGACAATCCGCCTGGACATATCGTCTCGATGGCAACAGTGTCTATCAGGTATATTCCACGGAGGCTGCTGCCGATCAACAACAACCTGTGGTGCAGATCCCTTCGCTGCGTGATTTCTATATGGATCTGGATGCCGTGGTAGACGTCTCCACTGATGGCCCGACCAAAAGTTTTGCATTCAAGCGTCTATCGTATTTGGAGGGCAAATTCCAACTCTACACACTACTCAACGAGTACCAGGAAATTGCGGACAGCAAAAAAGTGCCGCATCGAGACTTCTACAACGTGCGCAAAGTGGACACTCACGTCCACCATTCAGCTTGCATGAACCAGAAGCATCTTCTTCGTTTCATCAAAAGCAAAATGCGCAAATCTCCCGACGAAGTAGTCCTCTTTCGAGATGGAAAGCATCTCACCTTGCGTGAGGTATTTGAAAGTATCAATTTGACGGCCTATGATCTGAGCATCGATACTCTAGATATGCATGTAAGGTCCCCCTGGACTCGCCTCCATCCGTCCTGGACCAATCTGGAAGGGTCGCGCCGTGTGTTTTTCCTTGCTGATCGATGGTTTTTCAGGCACACACCGATTCATTCCATCGGTTCGACAAATTCAATCTCAAATACAATCCTGTCGGAGAATCTCGTCTTCGTGAAATCTTCTTGAAGACCGATAACTACATCAACGGCCGGTATTTGGCGGAAATTACCAAAGAGGTGATCTCCGACTTGGAATCCAGCAAGTATCAAATGGTTGAATGGCGGATCTCAATCTATGGACGATCAATCCACGAATGGGATAAGCTTGCTGCCTGGGTGGTGGACAACAAGCTGTTCTCTCCCAACGTCCGATGGCTGATCCAGGTTCCTCGTCTGTACGATGTGTACAAATCAAGCGGCATGATGGAGAATTTCGAACAAGTCATCACGAACGTATTCCAGCCATTGTTCGAAGTGACCAAGGACCCGTCCAGTCACCCCAAACTCCATGTCTTCTTACAACGAGTGGTCGGGTTTGACAGTGTCGATGACGAGAGCAAGGCGGAACGTCGACTCTATCGCAAGTATCCCATTCCCCGCGAATGGGATACCAAGCAAAACCCGCCTTACAGCTACTGGCTTTACTTTATGTTTGCCAATATAGCCTCGCTCAACAATTGGCGGCAGCGCCGAGGTTTCAACACTTTTGTCCTTCGGCCGCATTGTGGTGAGGCTGGTGACCCTGATCATTTGGCTGTCGGCTTCTTGTGTTGCCACAGCATCAGCCATGGTATTCTGTTGCGCAAGGTGCCTCTGCTGCAATATCTCTACTACTTGGACCAGATAGGCATTGCAATGTCACCTCTCAGTAACAACGCATTGTTCTTGACCTATGACAAGAATCCTTGTGCCAGCTTTTTCAAGCGTGGGCTCAATGTCTCCTTGTCCACCGATGACCCTCTGCAGTTTGCGTTCACGAAAGAGCCTCTGATTGAAGAATATTCGGTAGCTGCTCAGATCTACAAGTTCAGCGCGGTCGATATGTGTGAGCTCGCCAAGCACTCGGTCGATCAAAGTGGATTTGAACTGTCTTTGAAAAAGAGATGGTTGGGTTCAGACTGTGGTCTTCCTGGCGTGGCTGGCAATAATGTGGCTAAGAGCAATGTGCCCGACATTCGAGAGGCATTCCGGCATGAAACTCTGCTGGCCGAACTTTCCCTGTAAGCTCAATTCCACATCTGGAATGACGCAACAAGAGGATCGCCCTTGGCTGAAAGAATACTAACCCGATGGTACTAGGCTCGAGCGCTATTCTCAAGGTCTGGGCACGGATGAACGAAATGCTCTGGCTCCTGGGTTACTCCATACCGCCAGTCAGGTATCTATGAAGCCTACGTACTCGCCATCATCCAAGAACAGTGGTAAGCTCCTAGCCTTAAGGTCGCCCGTTGACTGGCGGTTCAACTTACATTCGGTGATTTAAAATAGTCTCCTCCGAACCAGTTCCTGGAAAGCAATCAGTGCCCTTGGACCATGGGCAGAGCTCACGTCTTACCAGTGATTCCATGGATCATCCACGTTCTACTCCACAAGGGACCGCTCAAGTTATGCCGACCCTTCCAAGAAGCCAGAAACTCTCATCGCCACATCTGTCGGGAACTGAAGCGGCAACCTCTATCGGCGGCAACACCGTCACTGGCACGAGCCCGGACGGTTTACTGGAGCAGACTATTTTCCCGGGCATCGTTCATGAGACGGTTCGAAGAGGAAGTATGCGCGCTCAGGCAACCTGTGACGAGTAGAGGCATTGACTAAAGGCCACTTAATAGGACGATAGATCTACTGTCCACATTCCCCAGTCACGGGTTTTTCTGCATCGATTCGGACGTCTAAATCATATATACACAGTATTCAACCTCATTACAGATCGACAGACAATGTTACCCTTGAGGAACAGGTAGAAGAAGCGTGTCTACGTTGGCGTTGAATACATGATCACCATGTTGCTTATCGATCTAATGACGACGTATGCTCGGATTTGTAGCCTCATTTCCCAGTAATATGCATCTGCATAGCACCTCTTGTAATGTTACTGTTCGTACCCGAAGGGGGAAGTTTTTCGAAAGTTAAGGGAATTCTTTGTCAGATTAGAAGAATAGGAAACACGCAATGCAAGCTTCCCCATAAGGAGAGCCGACGAGAGAGGGTATTCGAAGCAAGCACTTATTCTGCATCCCTGAGAGTGAAGCCTGAGAAGTTTTTCGCTGACAGTGGACGAATATCCATATGTTCAACCTCTGGGGGAGTCTATATTACCGTCCATAAATACAAATAAGCACGGGACAAAGCATGAACATGACGACAGCAAAAAGAAAAAGGCCATCCTCCAATACCAGTACAGCTATACATCTCAAAAGCGCTTTCAAATCGCCCAACTCCCCCTCCGTTCAGGGACCCCCCAAGCTTCAAGGCCTGTTTCATCCTCTACCATGTTCGGCTGCTGTCGGGCCCACTCGTGGATATAAAGCCGCAAAGCCTTCCATCGAACACAGCCAACGGCCAGATTGTCAAGTGGCGCTACGACATAGCCCCGAGCATCGGTACAGAGGTCATCGCGGCGCAGATCTTCAAGAGAGATTCCCGATATCTTGGTAAGCTCATGATCATAATACCGGGCAACGCATGGATAGCCCAGTGACAAGTAATTGTAAATCTGAGTAACAAAGCCATCATCGAATTCAGCATCAGCCTTCCTTGGTGTAAGGCAAGTACTCGAGCTTTTGGAAAGTTGGCCTCTCAAAAGTCTCGGGTCCATATGAGACTCCAGAGGGGGGCCGGGTGTAAAGTTGAATTCTTCACACTGGATCATAGGGGTCAGGATCCCCGTCATTACTTGTGATCCTCGTTCGAAACCCTCGGCCTTACGACATGTGCCCATCCAAAGACCTGCTCCGCCCGCCTCATCGGGCTGGGCTCCCGCGCACCAAAGACCACCGCAATCATGACAAGGGTCTTGTTGCCCCTGACCATTGTTCTCGGACAACGAATCTTCGCAAAGAGTTCCATCCGGGGACAAACTTTGCGGTAGAACCAGGTCAGTACCCAGCATTGGTGGACTTGGACCACGATTTCGGGAGGCAGCGTTATGACTAGGAGACGAGAAGTCCAGGTGCTTGGAGGCAACCATGACCCGAAGTTGTTGTTCAGCCTCTTCCTTATGCTGACGCATATATTCAAGCTCCCAGGAGAGGTCTGCCGAGGACTGCCGACGAGACTTGATATGGTGTGGCTGGGGATAGATCAGATACTCATCATCACCAGAATCTCCCCCTTCTTCGTCGATCGCGAAATGATCAACCGGCTGGTAGACTTGTTCATTTGGAAAGGCAGCGAGGGCCTGCTCTTTCAGTTCTTTCTGTGCTGACCGAGCGGCCAAAGACAACAGATACGGTGAAAATTCGTCCGGGCGGGTTTCTCGGTTCCAGTAACCCTCCCGTCGAGACTGTACTGGCTTCGCCGATGACTTTCTGGGGGATGACGAAGGCGATGGTGTTTCGCAAGAAGTCTCTGAACTTTCACTGCCGTCCGAAGGGATCGAAGGGAGATCCGGGACTCGAAAGGAGTGCCTCCGCGTTTCATGCTGGCGAAGGAGATTCGCATACGAGAATCGAGACTCCGGGACGTCAAATGACGCGCTGCGAGGCGGGGTCTGACGAGCGGTGGGGCCTGGCCTATCTGCCGGGAGTTCGAAGCTGGCCTTGGATGGACCAAAGCTGACATGATGATGTCGGTGAGAAGAACTCCCTGGTGGCCCCTTGACTGAGCGATGGTCGGTTTCAAGGAGCTCGGGCTTGAATCGTCTCGGTCGGGAGCTAGCGATGCCTTGGTGACTACTAGCCTTGCTAGTTTCAATGGGTTGTGGTAAAAACCTCCGTGGAGGCTCGTCAGCTCTGTGGGACTGTTGCTCCGAAGAGTTTTTCACCTCATTTCGGAGGCTGCCCGGCCGCGGGGATGGACTGTCATCTGACAAAGCATTATGCTGGGCTTGGACACTTCGAGAGGAGGTTTCGATCGGCTGTGCCAGGAACCTCCGAGGCCGCTGGCGGGGGGCGTCTTCCTTCGGGGTGGTCGTTTTCACTCTCTGCTGTTGAGCTACCTCTGGTGAAGATGGGTTCTCTTTGTGATCATCCTGAGATTGGGTCGCGGAAGACTGAGGGCCCATTTTCAACGACCACTGTGCAGCCCGACGCCACTAGCACCATGCTCTTAGAATTGGGAATAAATGGGAAGAGATGGCATGTTTTAGGTGGGCTCCTGCCCGTTCATCGGCGAGAGGATCGAACGAAGGTGGCTTTGGTCAAGGGAACGGGCGTGCTGATAACAGGCGGGCTTCGCTGGAATAATAACAACAGTAACGGGGGAGAACCAATAAAAAAAGTGACAAAGGAAAGCTTTCCTTGAAGTCGGATAGAGGTAAGAATGTGGGGGAGCAAAATAATGAAATTGAGTCGAAGCAAGACTCTGAGAGCCAAGGGTCTAGGATTCAAGGATCGTAGCCCTCGATGAAAAATGTCAAGGTCTTAAGGGCGGGGGGGGGGATGTGGGTGTTGATAATCTTTGAGGATGAAGCTCGAGTGGAGGAGGCGGAAGGAGGGGCTCGGTGTGAGCTCCTCCGTCCAATCAGGGAGTTAGAGTGGGCCCGATAACAGATAGGGCGGTCAGGCGGGCCACCCTAGAACCACTACAGGATTTCCCTACGGCCACTACAGAGCTTATATAATACATCACATGACCTCCAAGACAACCTATATTCTATATTACCCTAGTAACTTGATTGATTGATTGATTTGATTGACTTGATTTAATTTAACATTCATATACTTAGTAAATATTAGTTAGTAAGATCTAACTACCTATAATATATATAATCTATTAAGACCTTAAAGTAAGGAATTTAATCCTCTCTTATACTAGAAGGAAGATAGATTATTAATAGCCTAATAGTTAACTAACTAGTTAACTAACTAGTATATAAAGTAATTACTAAGCTATATACTATATTTACGCTATTAGACTAATTAAAGAATTACTATATCCTATATAACTAGGATATAATTAAACGCTAAATACTACTATCTAAATTATGGAGTGCCATCTGATCGAGGATCTCCGGGGTCGTATGAGAGGGTGGAAAATCTCTCCCAGTAGATGATTCGGAAAGCGGCTTCGCTCTGCGCTTTGCAACATATGATGATCTGACAGGAAGGTACGGCTTGACCCCTGTTACCAGGAGATAAGTGGTATCATCATTGATATGGAACCTAGCACATTCTTTGCTAACATTCCATACCCAGTCACCCGAGGTTGCTTCGATTTGGCAGTCATCTTATCTTGGATGGGATCAATGTCAAATACCCGGCTCTTCCCAGGCTTCCTCTCACGATGAGCAAAGTGTGAGGGATTATTTGGCGGGCGTTATGTGTTACTGGTCTCGGTTGAAATATGGTCTGTGACTTGAGTAGGGATATGAGGAAATGGCCATCTAACAAGTGCTAGGGGCCTTTGATATCTCAGGTCATTTCATCTAATGTCCAGTCTCCCTCCGATACTATATCCACCTGACAGTCGCCCACATTTGAGTAACCTTGCGTTCACGTTCGGTTCGGAAGCTACAATCGGCGGGGCGAATTCATGGTACCGGCCAGACGAGCTCACCGCCGGACACTGCGTCCTGTGCTAGAGAGTGCTAGTGCTCGTCTGTGGAGCGATGACACTGACTGGACCGGTCGACGATCTAAACCCTTCTGCTGAGGGCTATCCGTGGTATCCGTACGTTCCATCACTGGAGCTACGTGTGTCTCCGCGTCTTCACGTGCTGGGTCAGAAGGTGAGCGAAGCAGACAATCCAGATCCCCGTCACTTCTGCTACATCGTGTGAGCACTCAAATCCACCGGGAGGCCAATTGGAACTTGTCAGGACAGGTGAGGCCTCCCGTCGCGTTTCTTCGGCCATTCTTCCGCACCCTTCTTCGAGCCTAAAGAAGAAGGAACAACCTTGAATCGTACTCCAGGTCCCCGCTAGCAAAGGGGTTGAAAACAATAAACCGAAGACGCTACCATACATTGAAATGGTTGACCCGACCCCGCTTCTACCGTGGAGACCGGAGGAGTTCTCAAAAATCGAAATAGATCCAGATAGGAAGGCTGCAACAGAGAAGGCGGAGGTGGCACGCTCTACTTCGGATGTGGTGATATACTCGGATGCCTCGGGACGACAAGGCCATCTGGGAGCTGCAGTCGCTGCGATTGACGAGACGTAGCAGACAACTGACAGGGTACCAATCCAGGTTGGCAGTATGGGCCGATGGTCGGTTCATGCCGCAGAACTGATTGGGATCCTGTACGCCATCAACATCTTCAATCAAGTCGCTATCCGATGCTGGACAGCATCTCACTCACGGGTGAGATCCGCCACTTTCTTCAGCGACGGTATGTCAGCATTGCAAGCCATTCAGAACTCCGGAAACAAACCACTCACCGCTTCGCCAGAAGATATTGCTAGACGCATTCAATAATAATCCAGTAAGTTCTCCTTTCCATGGTCATTGTACCTTAACTATTTCCCTATACTAACTGCACGCTCAAAACCTCATGAGTCTCACATGGGCCAGTCAGCTGCCCTTGCTGCCCTCAGTTTTAGCTTTCAGATGCGAAAACAAGACCAGCCATGTCGCACGTATGAGTGTCGCTGCTGTTGATCTGCCGACACGGGCGTAGTTGGCGTAGTCCGCAACAAAGTCCGTACTGAGCAAGCCGCCATAGCGACTATGCAGTTCACCAGGAAGGTCCCAGTAAAAGAGGGTGATGAGGGGTGCGATACCGGCGGCAAGAAGGTCGTCAACAAATTTGGCATAGTACTTGAGGCGCTGTTCATTTACGGGAATCCTTTCGACCTCCCAGAGGGAAGACACGGGACATAAGCAGAGAAAAGGAACGTCAGCTTATGAGACTGTTAGATATAAGGACAGCGAACAAAGAATCCACCAGGATATGGAGAACCGATGTGCCATGGCCCTGCATTCTTTTAGCAGGACAATATCCTCATGGGGACGGATGTATGAGTGGCAATCCACGTCGCCGTTGGCTCCACCCGCGATCTTGCCGGGCTCTTTGCAAAAGATGTTCCAGATGGAAGGTCCGCGGCCATCTTCAACAACAGCACCTTCGATTTGGTAACTATTCATCACTACGGCGAATCTCGCGTGAGCAAATGCCCAATTAAGACGGACAGAGACATCGAGACAAGGAAGAACAGGGACACGCAATGCCTATCTAGCTGTTGCGAAACCCCAGAGAAGATCTGAGGGGAGATGATCTGGTGTTACAGAGCCCAATGATCCGGTTTATCTGTGTATTGGTGGCGAATTGCATGTTTGGGCGTAAAGCTTGATCTCGTGGGAGACACCAAAGAAAAGAAATTGTTGATACGCTAAACAAGGTATCTTATCTTCCTTTAACCGCACTTTGACCTCACTTTGACCTCATGCAGATTCGAAACCTTGCCGTTTACATCAACGCAAGCCCTCAGCGCTTGGAAACATTCTTTAACCTCCAAGCCGAAGAGCCAAAGTTGGTTCCAATTCAGGATGTAAGAACCCGCTAGAATTCCACATTCTTGATGCTTAGACGTGCAAAACGGCTTCATCCAACATTAGACCGTTTTTGCTCACAGTTCTGCTCGCAAATCGATCAAGCCCAGTTCACCCTCAGCTCAGAAGAGTGGCGACAGATTGAGTATCTGTTATCCATCACCCAGCCTTTTTTAAAGTTCACAAGCCTATTATCCCAAACCAAGGACGTCAGAAGAGGATAGATGTAAACAAAAAGGCGAATCTGATCCCTTTGGGGCGGTGGATGTTTTCTGGGTTTTTATCGGCTTGCGCGGCCACAGATGCGGATTCTGCATCAGTCCTGGCCTGTTTTTGCGAGCTATCGAAGGTTTGCCCAGTCTCACCGAATCCGCAGGTATACTGTAACTCCATCCCGACCGCATCAGTCTTGGCATCGACGGCAAACGGCGACGTCCTCGAGTCCATTTTCAGCACTAATTGGGTACGTTGACTGCGTAAGAAGTGTGGTAATCCCACGAGGGAAGAAGAAATTTTGTATTATGCGTGGAGTAGCGGATAACTTTGGAATTCCGTGGCTTTTATGTTGTATCGAAAGGACGAAGAAAATGGCGGCGCGGCGTTTGGGCCGTGCTCACAGACAGAAGTCCTCATCGTGCATAGACGGGACTAGCATTCCGGGTCCGAACCCTGCATTGAATTCTCAATTGTACTGTATTACGGCTTAGTAGGCAATATCCAAAGGTACGGAGGCCCTACCTCCTACTCGTTAAGGTACAGTTTTAAAGAACTTAGTGGAGGAGTCGACGCCGATAATGGAGTCCGAGAATTGGTGTCGGAGTACTAAGCCACATATAGATTAGTACTCCGACGGCACAGGCAACCCAACCTAGCCAGCTCGGAATGAAAAGGCTAACGTGGAAAGTGGATTTTCCACTTCGAGCGAGCTACGTAGGCTACGTATAGGCCATCAAATTTAATCCTCAATAGTGTGATAAATTTTTTTAATCCACCTCTGCATGCAAAGCCTTCCAATATTTGCACTATTCGTAGTCGAGCCTAGCCACCTCTCAACATGACCGATAGAATTCGTCGCAATGGCCAGCCTTCGTCGTGTGAGCCTTGCCGACGGTCCAAGCTTCGTTGCGATCATGCAAGGCCACATTGTACCCGTTGCGTACGCCGCAACTTTTCACGACAGTGTTATTATCACCCATCGCCGATGACACGGGTTACAGACTTATATACTGAAACGTTGCGGTAAGAAACACCCTCACCCTCTTTCACCTAGATATTGAGCTTCAATGAACGTAACGTTACCTCCTCAGCACACCTCAAAGCGCGAGACATATTGACACCGCCACTATTTCGCCTGTGTGCGCGTTATTACCGACGGCTGAAAACCCACTGGCTGAGAACCCGCCGGATGGAAATCCGCTGGCTGGCGACTATGACCGTGGGACTGGGCTGGTAACCATGCATAATTCTTTGATGCCGTTCGCAGACTCTAATGGCACGCAACCTCACCGCACGGTCGCGTACTTGACTCGGGCAAGCGTATTTACACCTAAACGCGCATATCCAGTGACGCCGGCTGCGATTGCAGAGGGCGTAGAAGTTCTGCGATCCCTCCTTGACTTCAATGCGGACTTCCATGAAATTGTCAGGGACCAGTACGAGAATGACGCAGCTGAACTATGTGGTTCACTTCTTTTCAAAGCAGCATGGCGAGCAACGCAAAGTACCTTACGATTCCTAGGGCCCAGACCCTCTTTGGATCAACTAACAAGCACAGCTCTTGCAATTCTTCAACAGAGTGCCTGTCCGCTCGAGCTGCCTATATCGGCTGAGAATGATGCTCTCGAGCTGGCTCTTTCTGGACATCATTTACGCTGGGAGACCATTGGCATGTGTTTCATACGCATTGGTTTATTCAGCGCAACTGTGAGGACCAATGCCCAATTCTTCCATGGTCATGGACAGTCAAAATTCGATCCTCAAAAGACCATGCTTATGGCGTTCAATGCTTGCATGCAAACCTGGACATTCTGCGATCAAATCGAGCAGACGAACGACTTAACATTGTGGCTATTGACATCGGCGTTAACCCTGGCCACTTGGTGCTTTGGGGACGATTCTTCTCGTGCTTGGCGCTTAATGGGTGACTTATCATCAGCTATAGCTGCTCTCGGCTTCCATAGAGGGTTCAGAGGCGGAGAATCAGGACCGCCATATTTGGTAGAGCTTCGCAAAAGAGTCATAGCTCTTGCCCATGAGCGTGACAAGGAGCTAGCAACCTTTGTTGGCCGGCCGCCCCATCTTAGTCGAAGGTATTATGCGGTGGATCTACCACTCGACCTGCCCGATTCAATTATTATAGGACCGCTTGAGCATTTCGAAGCCGCTAGAGCCAAACTTGACAACAACGGCTGGAGTGGAGATGTTATGGTTAATCCAGTTTCCCGTCTTCGAGCAATTCTACTACTGAGTATGATCCGCGAAGAGGTCTTGGAGCTATCACTTGGTCCACCCGTGCCGAATATCGCCCAACAAGCTAGGTGACTCGCAGCTCGTTCCGTACAATCAAAACCAAAGATTTAGATGTTGACTTTTTCCCTAGACAAATTTTATCGAAATTGACATCTACTTGGGAATCTATCCCGCACAAGCAATACGAACAGTCAATGTGTGACAAAATGCTACCAAGTGCTATCTGGGTGATCCTAGGTCCTCGGCTTGAATATCTTTATTCCAAGTTCCTCCTCCATAAGCTGCTCATTAGTCAAAACGAGGGTAATCGCGATAAGATGATCCAGACGTCGCATGAAATCCTTCATTTAGCGCTCTCACTTCTGAAGAAGAACGATGTGATAGCTACGCCAAATCTGGAGGGGTTGGTTAGTTGCGAAATTGTTCCTTACCCTAAACCAGAACTGATGTTAGAAATAGATGGTTTTTTATGCAATGCCATGTGCGAGCGTGCTTATCTTAGAGCTACTTCGACAAAATCGCCAGTCTCATCGGTCTACGACGCTCAATCGGTCGACTTTAATTCAAGACATAAGTGTGCTCATCTCGTGCTGTGACTCTCTAGCCATAGCGGGACAGAGCAACTATCAGATCTGCAAGCAAGCTCGGACGGTTTTCTCGCGATGCATAGACCAAATTTTGAATTCAACTGAGGTATCTTCTCACGGCTTGGCGTGCGAGCCTGGGGGAGAAGAAGGACGAGAACATTTCTCTTTAGGGTCGATGGATTTCGGTCTGACAGATCTTTATCCCCATGATCCGGAATGGTCCACGTGGCTCGAGTCTTTCGACTTATACGAAACATGATGATGACGTGGGTCACCTGGTCCTGAACTATTAGATAGATCAAATAGCTTCAATTCTCTTTCCCTCCTTATCTACTCCGCCTAAGTGCACACATCCAGCTAGTAGATTACTCAACACCTACACTAAACTTTCTTCCGGATACTGCAGCATTATGCTCACTTGAACCTCCGCACAGAAGACCTCGTACCGACAAAGACCACCATAGCCACAATTCTTTCGCTGGCGTCCGGTCGCGATGCCGAAACGTCATTCCAGCAGTCTTTTGCGGAACAAACTCCAGCCTCTGTCCACACGAAAACTGCTCGACAAGCTCGATACACCGATCAATCGCCATATGGGCGCATCGTGTGTACAGCGTCTCCTCGTTATCTGACGGCAAGATCGAGGGAACAACGATATCCAAGATGGCGCCCCCATCCAATTTAGGCGTTAGCTGATGTAAAGTCGCTACAACCTTATCGACGGCCCCATCGTACAGAGCAGAGAAAATGCAGTGATTCCCCTTGTAGTGTGGCAAATTCCCAATATGCATATTAATCATCAACCCGGCGCGTTCGTTCAGCTTCGGTCAATCAATTAATCAATCAATCAATCAACACTCTATTAGCCTGATGCAGCCTAACTAGTGGCGTAATGGCTATGCAGGCGCTTCCTCCGGCGGAAGCAAGAGTATTCCGAACGCCAGTCCCGCGCATGAAATAGTAGATACATAGGAAAACGGCGTATTGCCATATAAAATCAGCCTAAAAATCAGCCCAAGATAGTACCAAAACGCCCGCAATATCCTTAATCCCACGATAAATCTTTCAATTAGCCCTCACACTGGCCTGCTGCTTTCCCTATATCTCTATCTCCGCCTTCCTTTACCATCCTCATCCTCCTGCTCCGTCTCGATTCTTGGCGTTCGTCGTCGACTGGCGTGTTGATATGTTAGATGTATTCTTCCAAGACCTCTCGGTCGGCCTTGGGCTTAGCGTTCCTCCTACCTATCGTCTTTCCTCCCTACGTCTGCTAGTCTATCCTGGCTCGTTGTTCCGTCGCCTTCTTTTAGTAGTTCTAGCTCGATTTCGACGTACCGGAATTGCCCTAGAAGGCCTTTTTAAAGTATAAATTCGGCTACGTAGCGGGTAACCTACGAGTACGATATAATTATATCGTAATCCGTCGAATCTCTAAGATCAGTTACCCTAACCTTATTAAGGAAGGTTTTCCTTAGATTAGCGTATAACGGGTACTATATTAAGACGTATCTCGGTATTTAAGACCCTTCTCTATAGTAATACTAATCTAATTTAACTACCTTAATTTTAAATAAGAAATAATTTAGTGCGATTTATATAGAGCGTATCTAGATTAGAATCGAGGTATATAGCTTTGATAGAGATTTGAATAGCAGAAGTACCTTCTTATCTAGAGCCTTTACTAATCGCTAGTTCGGCTTACTAGTTATCTCCTTCGCCTACTCTTATACCTCTCTCTCTTTAATACGCTACTATATATAGCGCTTCGCGATCGATACTAGAAGGACACAATCGCTAGAGGACCTACTATACGCCGAATCACTAGTAGGTAGTTAATCCGCTCTGCTCTCTACTCCCTCTCTCGTATATCTCTAGAAGTGATGCTGTGTAGTTTGGATTGCATGAGAGACGCGCGTTAACAGCAACTATTCAAAACTTGATCTCTGAGGGCAATATCTATGCAGCAATGTCTGAAGGGGATTACTCATCTTGAATTTCGAAAGGCTCTCTATAAAGAGCTCTTTAAACAAGGCCAGGAGGAATCCCGACGGGCTGCAGAATCAAATAAAAGAAACCGAGATCTCTAAATTTCAAACGAACCAGCATGTGAAGGTGACCATATAGCTGTTCGAATTCAGCTTCAAAAATCCCGTTACTAGTGCAAAGCTCGAGGTGAAAGGCAAAGGCTCAAAACCAGCCTATCCCAAGGATATTTCAAACCTACTATACTTGCAAGGCTTGCAATGTTCCCTTATGCAGGCAGGATCTGAGGTCGTGTTGGGATGAATTTCATCATCTAAGGTTTCCTCTTGGAGAGCGAGATGTGAATTGTATCTGGAATTGTTTCTAGAATACAGATATCTTCCGGATTACTTTGCATAACTAGTTGCACGATAATACTCTAGTGCGTGGGATTAGACTATGCACATAGTAAATGCATCGTCGCTAACAGCAGAAATTCCCGCCGAAGGACCTTGATAGAGATGGTTGAGCGCTGCTTCCTCGTCGAGGTGGCATGTTATGCTTAGCACGGAGCACAGAGTCCTTGCCCTGGTATTCTCGCCACTATCACTGAAATTGGACCACAACCAACCACTAGGGCACGGTGATGTTCGTTCAGAAAATATTCTTTCGGATTACTCCACACTCTCCGGATGTTGAACAGGCAGGAAGCTATCATGAGATTGACGCTCGTGTTTCCGGTTTCGACCTGCTAGGCAAGTCATGCCAGACTCTCCAGAGTCGCAACACGTAACCATCTTGAGCAATCTTAGCTTCCCCGCCCCACACCACTTTCAACGAAGGGTTCCGATGGACATGTGGGTCCAACGCTTCAATCCTGCTCACCTCACAAGTCTGTCTCGACAGCATTTCCTATCCCGGTAACCCCTTTGAGCCCTCCAGCTGGAAGTGATGGCACTCAGTGGATGAAATCGAGCTAGTTTGTGGGGGCCGTTCGTTTGAGTTTTTGGGGTAAGTAAGCGATGCTTAGTGTCAATCAGCCACGTTACATCGGTGGTCCAGTAAGGATTTTAGGTACGAGAAGATGCCCCAGTTATGATCTTGTTTTGACTGCCAGAACCAGTGAAAATCTCTCGCGATTGGAGATTCAGGGGGAAGGTCCTCAAGTCCCAAGACTCCCAAGTCTGGCCGCGGACCGTCGACCCACCATCGGTCCTCATGGCCCTGTAGTGTCAAAACATCCACTCAGGCCTTCTCTCCAGCTGTGACTGAAGGAGCATCTCCTAACTGTCAGCAACCCCGAAGGGGCATGGGTTGGTGGGTCATTTGATACGGTTGGCACTGGTCTTGTTTGCCCTGCTTGAATCTGGGTTGAGGTTGCATTGCTCTCGTACGCGAGGAGCGGAACAGAGACTCAAGCCGCTAAATGGCCAGCTATTAAATGAAGCTGCGTCCACAGGGTGGTCGGGCATCCCAGCAAACAAGTACACCAGCGTGAATAACAAAAAGCGCACTTTTCAGTATGCGGCTCTCGACCTCTCTGATCTTTTGGGGAACTCTCCACACTACCTGGGGGAGCTCTTTAATTGACTTTTCGGCTGCTCGTGGTGATTCCCCGTCCATCCTAGGCATTCGTGACCTTGAGGGAGCGCGTGGTGTCACTGTTTCTTCTAACACAGCCGAACTCTACATCGAACTGGGCACCGATCCCTCCGGAGTTGCTGCGCTGCATTGCCATCGTATTGAGGGGTATATTCGCGCTGAATACCATGCCCTGTCCGGGCGCATGGAAGCTGATCAGACGTACTATATTGGGTACCAGTTTTCCCTGGCTGAGATTGAACAAAGCCTCATGATCTGGCAGTTGTATGTATCTATTGTTTATACCCATGGAAAACCAGGCTGGAGATGGCTGACTCAAGAAATTAGTAAAGAGTATGAGGCCAACAATGCGGCAGACGGTGGCGCCAACATTCCACTGTCCCTAGAAATCCAGAATGGCGTGCTCCACTTCCAATACCAGTCTTCATACAGTACCCCACGGGTTCCTCAGTGGTCCATCACTCCCAAGGCCAACACTACGTACTCAGTGGGAATCGTGATCAACACAGGCTCTCCAGGATGGGTAGAGCTGTATTGGCAGGGTCAGCAGCAGACTTTCACTACCTCTGGGACCACCAAGGTTCAAGCTACGACCTTCCCGGGGAGGACGGAGCCCAAGTTCGGCAGCTACCGTGGTGAGGTCGTAGGGATTGACACATATATCTACAGAATCCAGATTGGAACCACATTGAGTGACATCAGTGCTGCAGCCGGTTTGAGCTCATCGTCCAGCTCGACAGCCACAACCAGCAAAATCGCCATGACCAGCACGACCTCCACCAGTGGCGCGACGAGTACGACTACCTGCTCATGGGCTGGCCACTGCGAAGGTTATTAACCCCGTCCATGTGGATTATAAATACATATTGTGAGACTCGATCACTAACGTGGGTCTCTCTCAGGTGCTTCCTGCTCCACTGGCAATGACTGCTCAGATTCTCTGGTCTGCAACAACGGAATCTGTGGTCCGGTTTGTTCCTGGGCTGGACACTGTGCTGGTACGTCCCGTGGACTGATATCCTTCTGGACTACTTATTCAATCAATATATTTGAAACTAACGGCTTGTGTTTTCTCCCAGGTGCTTCTTGTACAACCGAAAATGATTGCTCTGATAACCTAGTTTGCAGCAATAGGAAATGTGCCAGCTCGTAGCTTCGAATCTCAATCGATGCGATATCGGGTAACTGAAGGAAATGACAGGCTCCAACTGGAAGGCCAAGAGTCTCAATCTACCTATGAATTTGCTCTGGTCATTAACTCATGATTTAATCACGCATGACAGACATGATGAGAGGAGGTAGGACGGACTACCATGATGAAACAGTTACTTATGGTTCATATTTCTACAGTTGGTGGTTGATTTTTGGACAAGGCTCAGTTAAATTGTTTGAGATGGTGCCTCTGAATTTTATGATAAGTGCAGAACAAAGATGATGAACCGCCACTACTCCGCAAGCCTGTTTTTGACTGTTATCAGTTATGACTAATAAATTGTTCTGCCTCACTGTAGAGTAAATTAATTTCAGCAAGGTAAAACTATCATTTGTCAACTTGGCAAACGTGGTCATTTCGAGATAGGATTTAAGACATTATCCAATTCAGCATTGATTTGCTGTTAGGATGCTGAATTCTATCTTATCTTATACAGTTGTATATAATTATTTTCGGGATACACATATGGGTTTTACGTTAACCAGTCGAAGTTGAAGTTAGCGAGTGTTGCCGCTCGATACCTTGATTATAGATTTCTTTTCATTTCATCTTCGGAAGATGCTCCCACAGATTATATCAGTATATGACTTCTGGGGGCCACTCAAATGCCTGGTACTCAGCCACCATGGTTCTGTTTAAAGTATTTATCTCTGCGTTATTTGGCTGTAGATTGGGATGGAGCATTGCTACAGCACATTTACGTACGAAACTGGTCTTTAGTGGGAGGGAAACCCTGCTCTGACGTTGGAGTACTGCGAAGAGTTGTACTCAAGCTGGTTCAAACTTTAGTCTAATATGCTGACACCCCTAAACGAAGTAAGAACCTAGTATCTATCCAATCCGTCAGCAACGCAATAAGAATGCAACTAACGCATCTATGCTTACCGTGCTAATAAGACTTTCGCAGGCTTCCCTATCGCCACTGCTCTCCCACCATATTCCTCCACCTAGGCCTCTCGATATGATATATTGTGCCTTCGCATAAGCGACTTGGGGAGTATCAGAGCTAACAATCATCCTTTTTTTTCTGAATCGTAACTGTAGCTCGTAACTGGCTGATCAAGAACCCTCACGTTCACACCTAACAGCCCCTCCTGGTGAAGTTGGATTATAGACCACAACGCACTAGGCTAGGTACGGATCTGTATTTTGGTGTAGTTGGGTAAACTAACTGGTGACGCTACCTCAACTATAATTTAAACTGCAAAATGGAATGGAGGGAGAGTGAATCGGGAAAGTGATGAATTGGTACCTTGCCCTGAGGGTATTTCAACAGCGCCTTTATCCAGTATTTACCATAATAACCATCAATTCGATCATTCCGTTGATTTCATGTCGAGACATGGAGCAGTAACTTACGGGCTTGACAGTTTGTTATTTAGGCATCTCACTCAAAAAACCCAACATCACTACTCCCGGCCCGTAGGGTTATGAATTAATTCATGGCATTGTAGGAAATTGGGATACTAGAGGCAGAGCAAGACATACGCAGGAGGATATTACCAACATAAAGTTCAATGAAACGCCACGCAATAAACAAATTAAAGAAATAAGAAAAAAGGACAGCTAGGATTTTCAATAGTATAGAGCTACTGAGTATAAACCTAGCCTTATTGTTGGAATATTAAACGGAGATAGACATAGTAGAACCGTTTATGGCTGCTTGTAAGCGATTAGCATTAACTTGGACTAAGGAGGCGGAAGAGGCGTCAAACGAATTCTCGTCCTAAGTTATAGCCTTCTTTCCGAGTTTGATTCTTCTTCGACATGACGATACTGGGATTTCTGTTTTCGATGCAATATCTCCGGGTCATCTTGTCCATCGGCGTGGAGGATTTCTTCATGCCGAGGATGATGATGAATTCAAGAAGATTCAAATTAAAGTATTATACATAATTTTTGCTCTAAATTGTAGGCTTTGCGTATAATCAAGAATTCGGCTGGTATACAACCCGAAGTATTATTCATCTATTCATGCAATGAATCCAGCTTTTCCTTCAAGATACTGCTCGCCCAAGGAGCTGGGGAAATTGACGTCCAAGAAGTTCTGGAAAAAAGTATCAAAATATCCCTCTTCCGCAGAGGACAGATCATACTTTTCAAAAAGATGATCTAGATCTTCAGAAAATGCAGGCGCCGAAAGACCCCCATCCGAAGAGCTGAGATTCTCTGATGTTCCAGACGGGTTCACGAAGACTCCTCTCCCGGCCCGTAGTTCCTCGTGGAAGTCTGCATTTTCACCGCTCAGTCTCTCGGCCCCCGTAGTGCTCTCGGGTTCGGGTTCATAATGTGCTGCTAATTTGTATTCTTGTTCCTCGACGAGCTGTTGATGTGTGTTTTCTAGCGCATGTTTGCCTAGTCGCATCACGACGGCTGCCAACCACCAGATGCTACTCAGTGATCTGAGACACCGATGGAATATCGCGAGGTTATCTTTTGCTACAAGTTGAGCACTAGAGAGCTTCGCTTCTTTCATATGGCAGTACGTAACTGAAAAGGCAAGGGAAAGAGAGTATGCAGACATTGATATTGGCAACAGCTCCTCGACTCGCCGGGTACGGTAAAGAGCCGCGATTGTTAGAATTGATTGGCTCTGGCGGATAGTGGAGATGCGGGAGGCAGAGCGGCCTTGTAAGTGTTGCGAACGCGTCGCCAGAATCAATATTGCGTGGTGGAAGAGTTCGAGGGAATCTTTTCGTACGGAATATGGTCAGTAAGGATCATTTGTATCACTGTTGGAGGTGAGCCTACCAAGCAATTCCGGTCTTGTATTCCAGCAGTCTGCACTCTTCACAAGTTCCTCGAATGTGGGAATATCAAGTTCTTGCTCGTCACTGGCATCCATAATTGGTCGATAAGAGACAATCACTTGCGTGAGATAATGTGCGAGAAGAAGCCAAAGACGGAACGGCGGTTCAAATGAAGGAATTATCTCAGTTACATCCTGACCGATGTCTCTTTCGTGGATTATCACTGGTCGTCCATGAATAGCACAATTCCAGCGGTCGAGGCTCCATAAACACCAAAACAGCTTCTTCAGCAGAGACGCCAATTCCCTTCCGGGGCGTTTCAAATGCAACCCGATCGTCTGGGCGTGATGAATTGCTTGAGCCAGACATAACGAGGAATTTTCTGAGCCGTTGGGACCCCATTCATGAAGCGATAACAGCGCTAGGATCTGGATAGTCGTGACTCGCTTTCCATCCTCCCTTTGGCGGATGTTCGAGAGAATGGCTTTATAGAGTCGCTGGCTGAACCTTTCCAGTGGGAGCAATATCTTGTCCGAATTGAGGTAGAGAAAGGGTGCTGCCTTCCGATCTTTGGCGGCAACGAGACAAATAGACTGTAAAAGTGGGAGAGATATCGTATCATCATCTATCTGTGAACGCGTTTCTTCTGCATCGATAAGTGGTAGGAGTGGGTGTATTTGACAGAAATAAATATCGACGAGTACTGCTTGGCTTGTCTTTGGAGGTAAGAGCTGGGCACTGCCCGTTGGGTGTGGATTGTCATTTTCAGCGTGAGTAGGCAGGCTATGCAATTCATCCAAGTAGGAGTCAATGCGATCATCTGGCAGCCAAGCACCCACATCGCCTCTTCTACCCTGACCTTGCTTCAGTCTTGACTGCGGGTCATCTAAGAGGGCCACAACAGGATTGGTGTCACAGGCAAAAGGACGAGAATTTGACTCCTCCGCGACAGGTCCCGTGTGAGAACTCGACGCTGTCGATATTATTGGAGATCTGATTGCTGGATGCTCAACTTCTAATGTAGACAAAGTATTATGCCTCTCGAAAGTGGATCGCGGTGGAGAGTTTGGGCTCTGTTGTGGCAGGCTTTCGGATTCAAATTCTGGACTATTTGATCGAGTCTTTGCCGATCCGTCGGAATTGGCCGATATATCGTGGAAACATCGTTTCTACCTGGAAGTTAGTGTGTTCTGTAGTCGAGGAATGCAGGGTACTGTGTATTGGTATACTTTTTTCCGGCGGCAGGGGGTACATGCTCGGCGTGAGTGTGTTCGTTTCACATTTCGACCATCTTGTCCAATTAGAAATGTCAACTGAGGCATTGATTTGACGATTCTTAGTAACACGGCGGCTTTCAAGTTGGCAGATGGCGGATTAGGACGGAGAATTTTGAAAAGAGCAAGTTCTTGTGGCAAGGCGGCTACTTGCCCAAGATGGAAAGCCATTTCCGGCGATCCGAATACGTGGCAAAAATACAGAAAGAATCCTTGGCACAACCATGTTTCTGAAAACTCAATCCACTTTTTAATCCGTAATTGAATGGGATGGTGTGCAGTACATATGATGCGGCATAGCCCACGTAGAATACATACGTTGATAAAAAGATGGGCTGAAATTGCAAGTTTTACAATATATACAGTAGTTCACAAATCCTAGTATCGACACACCCCGCACCCAGGTTCAGTCTAGGTCAAGGCCCCACTCCCGTTGACGCATTTCCGAAGTGGACTTTCAATGTACACACTGTGGCCTTTAATACGACCGCGCATTTGATGATGCCTCACGTATTGATTACTACCGGAGAGAGCGTCCCAGTATCTTTTTTAGTGACGATGGTGAGATGACATAATTGTACTTTCCAACGGGTGTACAGGACGTCAATTATTCCGCGACTTACTCATTAATGAAGTCAATCGGACCTGCAAAGTCTGGCTAGTAAGGCTTATCAATCGTCACTGGATACTCGGTCCTTTCGATCGTATTTCTAGAAAACTAAATAAATTAGAACGTTGATTTCTTCACACCCTCCACTGCCATCTGGGCTTTAAGAACTTCGGCCACATCTTGGTTGTGCCGTGAATAGGCCGCATTCAACGCATTGCCACAGAATCCGCCCTCAATATTTACATCTGCTCCATGTTCTAACAGCAGTTGAACAATTCTCAGATGGCCCCCTCGTGCAGCCGCTTGAAGTGCCGTATGATAATAACCACTGGTAGCGTTGACATTTGCTCCTCGATCGAGGAGTTTCATTACAAGTTCATCTCGGCCATATCGAGATGCCGCTTGGAGAGCTGTGCCAAACTGGCCCTCCACAACATTGATATCGGCACCTAGTTCAATGAGTTCCAAAGCCGCTTCTGGCCATCCCCTTGCTGCAGCGGCTTGAAGTGCACACCCGTAGTAACCTCCTGTGATATTGATATCTGCGCCATAGGTAAGAAGCAGATGAAAGATGTCAGTTCTTCTTTCCACGCAAGCCGTTTGTAAAGGCGTGTTGAAAACCCCTGCTTGAATGTTCACATCGGAGCCATTTTCTAGTAAAATGCGGACAACATCGTTGTGACCAAAGAATGAAGCACCTGAAAGAGGTGAGCCGTATTGACCCCCGATATAATCGACATCGGGATCCTGAGAAAGAAGCGTTTGGACAACGGAGGACAGTCCCAACTTCGAGGCATAATATAGTGCATTTCCAGGGCGGACTGTTTCCTCGCCTAACCCGTAAAGGGATATCCAATGCTGAAAGGTAGAATTATTTTGATCCAAGAGGCGGAGTATCATTGGTTCAATCTTGGCCTGGTGCTCTGAAGGGAGAAGGCGTGCATGAGTAGACCATTCGCATGCGGAATACTCCAATAATGGGTAGTCAACGACAAGTTGCTCATATAATGTGAGATGTTCAGCCAACGTTGAGGTGGAAGACAATGTAGATGAGTGAAGGGATTCTGGCTCAGTCTCGATTGGTATTACGGGTTGATCAAATGACAGAAGATAGGTTAGACACCGCTGTGCAATGGCAAGATGTGCCTCGGAATCCCGTATAGCGAAATAACGTGCGGGCCCCCCACGCATTCTCTCTGAAATCAAAAATTCTCGTACGGAATAATGGGAGAGTTGAACCCAGTCCCCGTGCAGTTTCTCCGAGGCTAAAAAATCTCGAACGGAATAGTGTGACAGTTCGAGATTTTTTGGTGAGTGGGTGATCAGGCTAGAGCAGACTACTAAAAGATCTTTAGGGTCGAAAAGTCTGTCGATGTCGCTGAAGATACTAGCTCCCGGTTTGATGGCCACAATTTCAGACAACTCCGCCAAGTCAACAGGACGAGAAGAGACCATCAAAAACTGCAATGCAGTGAGAGCAACGAGGCGAACTTCTTCGTCTATTCTACAAAGAATGCGCTCATATGTTTCGTCTAAACTTTGAGGGAGTGATCGAAGCGTCTTTCGCACTGCAGACGGAGTTAAACAGGAGCGTAAAGCATCGAGCTGACATGCTGCCCATCGAAACCTGTATGAACCGGTCAGTACAGAAGTGGTGGCACGGTTGATTTGTTAACCAAAACGTACATTCCATTGGCACCGGCCGTTAAGGCCTCTTCAATCTCTCTCTTCATACCCACAGGGCGCTTAGACAGCACGGGATCATTCAACAGGACTCGGTGAACTAGTCTTCGAATATCATCATGTACTTGTGGGCCATGCAATGCTATGCTCTGAGTAGCCAGAGGTGAGAGGCTAGTCTCAATTTGCTGTTCCTTGCGGCTGGAAATCAAGGCGTTCACAGACCATCCTTTGCCGCCCTGGATCTTCGAAATAAGTTCTAAAATCTTCTCTTGCTCCCGAGTTTCGTCTAAAGCATCAAGAATAATGTATGTCGTTCCAGAGTGTTGCTTAAGAAGCATAATGAGTGTTTCTATGAGCTTTTCTGGAGTTGGATCTTGGCCTTTCCTTCCTCGGTCTTCATAAAGTTCGACAATCTCTGTTGGAATGACTGTACTTTGCTGACAAAATTGAGCAAGAGCAGATTTGACAAAGCCATCTAACGTTTGACGTTTTTGATACTTGAAGTCAAAGTAGTAATAGATGCAGATAGATCTTGGATCTTTGTTGCTGGCACAAAAAGCCTGGACATGCTCGATGATGGTCGAGCAATGCACTGAAAATGGTCAGAGGCTTCTCAGAAGTCCCATGTGGGAAATGATCAAAACGTACCGGTCTTTCCCGAACCAGGAATGCCGTAGAGCCACATTAGCTCCATTTTACCATTCAGCCAAATATCATAAGGATCGGAGGCAAGAAGCCATTCTCCAGTCCCCTGTTCATGCTTACTGCGAGTATTATAGTGGGTATCAGTGACATCCACAGATGACAGCCAGTCAATTGCCTGACTTTGATGATTTACTGGACGGGTTAGGCAGAGCTTTCTCACGGGTGGTTAAGTACGAACCGTCCTGTTTCAACCGTAAGGTCTGAAACTCTTCATGAATCTCTTTCGTCTCCTGTCGGATTTCCTTTGCAATTGCACTAGGCTCAAACATTAGAAACACACCCACAGAGTCAAGATTTTTCTCAAAAGAGGGACTGTATTCACTCTTGTGCCGTCAAAGGGACCTTGGTGAGCAATACTTACAGATGATCTACAGCTAGAGCTCCAGCCAGCAAACCCCTGGCAACGCGTGCAGTTTTCAACATATTCCGTGTCTCTTCAATTCTCCAAGGCCAAGTGAGCTTTTTCTTCAGTCGCCTGAGCTCGCCCTCCTTTCTCACTTCACGGCTCAGACGACCTTCCACTTTTGTGAGAAGATCTTCCAACATTGGTATCGGACCATTTTCGGTCATCATGTTGCGCAGGCACTCATTCCATCCTTCATTTACATCGGCTAAATCTGCAATACTTGAAAGAAGCGAGCGGGTTGTGCCGATTTCAATCACCAGGCAACGAATTTCGTTTGACGCGGAGGCTACTGCCGAAAGCAGCTTAATGACAGCTCCCGAAACCTGTAACAGGGCAACAACGCTGGCACTGATGCTGAGAGGGTCCATCTTCGAACAGGTTCCCTAGGCATCGGTCCTGGGTTTGTAGCAAAATTAAGCCCGGGATGTTGTGGTTGTGCCTGAAACATCTTGGTAGAGGCGGGGTCGCGGGGTACGAGGCTGTGCACTAACAAGGATCGCCCACTAAGAGTATCCAAACGAATTAAGACCGTAAGACTCCTAATCAGAACGTCGAAGTCTGAAATCTTTCTCAAATCATCATTATTATCATCATGCATTCAAAGAAAATCATGTTTTACAAATAGCCGTCAAAGAAATACTCATATTGTGCAGCAGGTATCGTAGAGAGGGGGATCGCAATCAGGAGCATCAAAAAAGGTCGAGGAATTGAGTGCCTGTCCACATCGAATCTGAATTGAATTCAGCACAGATGGGACGCCAGAATAATCAGGAGGGAAATCCATGAGCATTCGGTCAGAATTGTGATGACCGTAAGAAGGCGGAGGGTTCCCATGATTTTGCAAGCTCCTGAAGTCCTGGCGATGAACAACCCCGTCCTCTCCGATCAAAGCAGAAGTCATATAAATGCTGAACGGAATATTCTCTTCAATCTAAATAGAATTTAGCCTCGTCAGATGGCCATTTCACTAAAAAACTCCCCAAGGGCATACCTTGGATAATATCTTCCCACCGGGGCTTTGAAATTCAGCTGTCACAATCAGTGTGTGGGCAATTTTGATTGACTTTGTTGATACTGTCTGTGAACAGGTATTGAATTCACAAGGGAGTTGAATAGTCTTGTTAAGATTCCATTCAAGGGGCGCTGAGTTAGTGTCCGAAGATGCGGTCGGTTCCGAGAGATCATAGGTTTCTGTGAAAATATTATGGTTTCTTGTTGAAGTGACGTTCAATATGTTGTGCATCGCAGTCTCTGCAGCCGTGGCGGCGATTTTGAGTCGATGTTTCTCAGATACTGATATTGTGACACTGCTGAGTCTCAGGTCCTTTCTCAGAGGGGCAAACCAGCATTCCACGGGAAAACTGCAACCGAAAGGGATATTGGTATCTGGAATAGAAACACAGTATTGCATACCGTCATCGGTTTGGCATTGAACAACCTGCAATTGGTTATTAACAAGATTCTCTGATATCGTTTCGTATAGCCAATCATACCGTTCGGGGGAATGGTTGTGGATGGTTGATCTCAAGGATAGGCGAATTGTATATGCGAACAGGCTTCGAAACAATAAAGTCGCTTTTGAATCGACGAGAAAGAAGTATCTGCACGTTATACGAGTGATAGCTGTTCCTGATACCAGTCACAGTATCCATCATCTCGCATGGTAACGGAATGCCGAACGAAAATTCATAGTTCCCTGCTGGCATTTGGAATGATTGGAGCGTTTTTGATGATGCCAATGCTTGATCTCTTTCGAAGGTAATGACTTCTCGGTCATTTCGAATAAGATAATCATCTCGAGGACTGATATAGCTGATTTTAGCTTGTATTCGAGGCAAATTTTGCCTTGTAGGTCTTCTTACACTCGTAGCAACCCTATCAGCCTAACCCGAATTCCTTTCAACCATATTGCCTTGGAGAGGCGAAGACAAAACCGACCGGTGATGGTACAAGGCGACTCTTCGTTTAATAAACCACGAGTGAACACGCATGGTTTATCCAGCCTAAGCGACCATAATGTCAACATATTGATCCAAACAGGAAGGTTGTAAAATTTAGTCGAACTGCCGTACTTAAGTTCGTAGTCCTCGATGTCGTGTGTGAACATTGTCAGTATCCCGACCTGGTGTTGGCATATGAAATATCGTATGTACGGATTAAATGTGATCTTTTGAAGACCAAAGGTTTTATATACGCCGCGGCCGTTACATCACCCTGTCGAGGTCAGGCGCCTGCAAAAGGCGGACCTTCCTAAAACAGGTCGGATCTCGGAGCCAAGGCTTTGCGACCTTGGGCGGCACTAACACTAATATTGTTATGACTAGTTTTCGAATCAATTTGAAAAGCGATTTGTAATGCACTACTTGGCAATAAATCATACCTGCAAGTGATCTATTATAGAGATTTCATAGACAGACATAGAAACCAGCACGAGGGGGATCAGCCGGTAACCTGTGGAGTAGATTTGGGAGCCACAGCAGCGCACGACTGAACCATACTCGGCAATTTTCCGACACCACATTTGACGGGATGTTTGACAATAGCAACGCGTTTAATACATATTGACTGCATTGGAATATGAAAACGATGTCCAGGGGAATTAAAGGGCCGAATTTATCAAAATTCACGAAGCGTATGAAGGAAGTGTGCGAAAAAGGTTTCCTAGCTAAAACTCGTCTTTGCTTACTAATATACCTATAAAACGAGCGGAACCATTCTCCCATAATTCCACTACGCATCTATGCCTTCTTATTCCAGCGCTAGATATACCCGATCGCTCGTATATTTACCCCCCGAAGGGCGTGTATTGCCTTTACTGTCCTAATTAACCATAAAGGTAGTCTATCCAAACCAGTAGTATTCGTCGCTACTACTATAGAGATTCGGGTTTTATCCTTCTTCTAACTAGCCTAGCTATCAGTTAATAGGACACCGTTTAGCATACGACGCTAGTAAAGCCCAGTTTCGTCTATATTATAGATATCCTAAGGCTAATATTGGTCGTAGATCGCCTAGATAGGTTTGACCTCGTCATGTATTAAGGCTAGGACCGATACAGATTCGCTATAGAAGGTATGATACTGGAGGGAATGACGTTGTTTAAACCGGGTAAGCTAACTATCGGAGAAGAGCGGCACAGGAAGCCTAGTATATTCTAGTATTTTCTTCTAGTATTAGATAGCTTTAAGCCGAAGTAGTGGCCCTATAATCAGAAAGCTAGCATCCTGGTGTCGTTGCTGCTATTCGAATAGCTTTTCGTCTAATATAGGCTAATACTATAATAATTATCCTCTCTCTAATTTCGCTTATCCCTAAGTATAACGAATATAGAAGATTGGCAGCCTATAACGAACTAGCAAATACGAGGTTTGCTTGGAAGGCCTTCCGAAAGGGGAAGTTCCCTAGGAGAGTACAAAGGCCTACTTTCTACCACGTATCTCCTTGTGAGCAAGCGATGCTGCGCAGGTTAGGTAGAGAGGAAGTAAGATTAATTGATCTTCTTCCTTTAATTGAATAGGAAGGATAAAATCAATTCGGCTTAGAATCATAAAGATGAAATGAGACAAAGTAAGGTAGGACTGAAGCTTGGTTAATTGTATTGAATCTTGCTTGTATGTTATGAACATAATTATTATCTTGGTAGAGAAAGCAGGGCATATTTATAATCAACTTGTCTCTTGCATGTGATCGTTCTAGATGATGCATGATGATCTCATGTAGACAGATCTAGATGCATAGTGATCTTATGCAGTAGCTGTTTGATCGGTGGTTGCTTGATTGTACGATGTCATTGACTGTAGTGATGATGTAGATCGTATACTGTTGTATACGTCTTACTTGATGTCATTGACCACAGTGATGATGGTATAGCATAAAGCTTATAGAGATTCAGCTATCTTGTATAGGCCTTATGGATCTGGCTTGATATGCTGCATGACGGTTTAGGCATCTTGCCCTATATTTCACACCGAATATCTCACCCCCCCCCCCCCCGTAATCTTTATACTATAGTGCAGATAGTAGTAGAGTATAGAGATTAGTATAGAGTAGATAGGATCGATATATATATATACTGCTATAAGATAGCTAGATATATATCTTCCTAAATCTCGATCTCTCGGAGGTTAGCTAGATTCTTTAGGTCCTCAAATATTTCTCTTCTGACGTTTTTTGTCAGGAAATCTGCTAATTGCAGTTTAGTGGGGACGTATTGAACATCGACCCTTTCTTGTTTGACCTGATCTCTGATATAGTGATATTGTATATTAATATGCTTCGTCCTTTTGTGAAATTCAGGGTTTTCGGCTAGCTTAATAGCTGCCTTATTATCTACTAATATAGTAGGCTTGCTAGGCGTATAGCCTAGGCCTAATCTATCGTTTAGATAGTTAAACAGGTTAGCTAGATAGATAGCTTCCCGTATAGCTTCTTTTATAGCTATATATTCGGCCTCGTAGGTAGATAGAGCTACTGATTTTTGTAGCATCGAATTCCAGCTCACTATATTATTAGTGGCTAGATCTCTAGATAGGCTAAATATATAGCTAGTAGTAGATTTTCTAATATCGATATCGCCTGACTAATCAGTATTAGAGTAGCCTTTTATATATAGGTTATTCCCTGTCTAATCGTAGTGTAGACCTAGATTTAGCCGATATTGTAGATATTGCTATATCTTCTTTAATTCGGAGATATGTGATTGGTTAGGATTGCTTATATATCTTGAGTAATAGGCAACTAGATAGGCTATATCAGGGCTAGTCTTTAGGCTGGTATATAGTAATAAGCTAATCTCTTTTTGATAGAGATTAATAGTTTGCTCTAAAGCTTTTGATTGATTTTTTCTTAGGTAGATCCCTGCTTTACCCGGCGTTTTCTTTGGCCGTTTGCTGTCACGGGCCAGTGCCCGATGTTGGTTATGTGTATCACGGGACCTTGGTATGTTAACGTGGAGAACGCGCAGGATAAACTTCCCCTCCTTAAGCTTTTTGTAAACAGCATGTTGGCCTAGTTAGATTGAATTAAGTCTTGCTTTAGCCCTTCACATACAAAAAGCTTCCTTCTATACCTAGAAGTATTATTAGTTATTAGAAAGCCCTAGGAAAACAACCTAGGCACTTATTAGAAATACTCCTGAATCCCTAGCGATTTAGTGACGAACACATATCGGAACGGAATCCTCGCGTATAGATCTCTTAGCGCTCGAGACGTATTAGAAAGCCCTAGAAGATCTTAATTCCTAGGTATACTAGAATATTGGACGAAAAGCGACCGAAGCACTACCGGCACGCTATATAACCCCTAGGCGCTATGCAGCACTAGGAATCGACGAGCCCTCCCGGGTAGGCGCAAACGCTATTATAGTAGATAGTATAGACCTAGGCTATACAGAACGAAGAAAGGGAGTAGCGTTACTAGCAAGATACTGCTTAAGAGGAGCGGATACGTCGCCTCGAGGTAATACTAGAGTATCAGGCCTTACTAGCCGTAACGACAACTACGACGAACGAAGGGCAGGCGACACCTGTACGATTAGCTACCGAATCGGTGCCGATTCCCCTACGAACAGAGATTATTTACCGACCGAAACTACGTCTCCCGGACCTAAAACTATTCGGTAGAAGTACGAGCGATTAGCTAACCTAGCGTATTTCGATCGAGAATAAGCTTAGCGTAGATAGCGAAGCTATCGGTTCCCCCTAGGATTAATTTATGTACGTATTCTCTAGACTAGAGAAGCTTGCCTAGAAGAATACCGGAACCTTCGTGAAACTCTGCCGGAATACTAGCGAACCGTAAGCCTTACTCGACTATCTTGAGAATATCTACGGAGACCCGAATATTAAAGTACGCGTAGCAAGACGACTCTACTAGATTCGATAACTAGAGGATATAAGCTTTTCTAGGTTCCTTCCGAGACTAGAAAAGGAATTCGCTAATACAGACGCTCTTAAATAGCACGACGAGGCAAAAAGGTAGATCCTTCTTAGCGTGCTTAATAAAACTATAACGAATACGTTAATAAGTCGAGGTATCCCTACTACCTCGTCGGACCTGATCTCCCGGCTTCACGAGATTAGCTCGGATATAGATACCCTTAATATTAATAAAGAGGAACGAATACGTCGTCTGCGCTTGCCTAGATAAAATAGCGACGAAATAGATTAGACACCGACCGTGTTAGTAAACTATACCGAGCTATACACGAAATACCGCCGACCTAAAAGCAGAACGCCGAGATAAGCTTAATAGGTTAGTTAGGACGAGATAGATCGGCGACGTGCTAAAGGGAAATACCTACGATATAGAAGATCGGGATACCTTATCGCGAGGTACGCGCTTCTACTAGCCTAGCGGCCGAATAGTATACGCGTTACTACTAGCTCGAGTAAGAAAGGATAGGAGCGTATAGTTAAGGTAAAGAAATCGAAGCCTATAAGCGACCGAGATTTAGTAATAATAGCTTCTAATAATAAGGATATAACTACCGAGGATAAATCGGGAAAAGAGTAGCTCCTGTTCTAAGCCGCGAGTAGGAGTAAAAGGGGGTCGAAAAGCTACTAGAACGTAAGATATTACTATTTATAGTCGATGCTAGAGTAAATAGAACCTAATTTATATAAGCCCTCGTCGATAGCGGTTACTACTACTATATAATAGTAAACGAGTCTCTAGTCTAGTTGCTCGACCTCCCGCGTATTAAGATACGGCTACGAGTCCTTAACAGGGTAGTACCGAATTAGTACCGAATTACCTATATTACCTATTTCGACCTCGACGTCTACAGCTAGTAATAAGGCCA